CTGTTGCCACCGCCCCCGAATGTATTATACTGTCTCTTGGGTGGAGAGACAAGGTTATGGGTATAGCTCTTCCAGGGCTTTCGAGTCCGGTCGTGGTTATTACCATAACCACCGCATACTCTAAACGTTGTATCTAGGGCGCGTTCGTAGGGTTTGCGGTATGGCTATGATGACACCTGTAGGATGTTTACAGGAAGTAGGAGCCATCAAGGACTATATGTCCTAGTATAATTCATCCGAAGCCGGCCCGAGTGGTATGACCAACGGCTTCAGTCTGGTCCCGGTGGATCAAGGGAGTCTTTAGGGGATACCCCACTACCTGGGACCTCTCTTTAGTAGAGGGACTTGGTGTCGAACCGTTTGACCGTATGGACACGGGCACTTTGTCCGTGTTGGCGACGGCTCAAATCTGCTACCTGTAGGAGTGGTAGAGAGAGGAATCTGGATGGTACGGCTCACCACCGTACCTGAAGGGGGAACTGTGGTCACGATTTTCTTCCTGGCCTTTGTGCCGAAAAAAAGAAAAAAACTGGCAAGTATACTATGTGTGAAATTATTGTACTTGGGGGGTACAATAATACTAGCCAAGTTAATAAACTTGGTAGAATCAGCAAGGAAATAGGACCTTGTTGAGCTTGACTTGGTAAAAAGACATAAGAGGTACAGATAAGTGGGAGCTCCGGCGCCAATGAGAAACCACTGCTCTTATTGTTCTTTAACCATAGTATGGGATTAGGCTTTACAGTAAATGCTGCGAAGCCCCCATTGATTGGGCAATGGCTAAATGACTATAAGCCAGAGTTGATGCTGGAAACTATACTATATGGTGCTACTCATATACTATATGAGTACAAATAGGCTTTCGAGCTGAAAAGCATACCGTATCTTTGCTCGTATTCGCTGAAAGGCGAGTACATTCAGAGCTACATAGTAATGCTAGTATGGAGTAGTGATGAATTGCATGCAGTTTGCATGCAACTGACGGGGTATTGTAAGTAGTCGAGTGACCTTTGTTGCTACGATATACTGAGATTAAGCCCTTGTCCTTGAATTTGTTCTTTTGAACACCTTCATAATTAAAATAAATTATTTTTCTATTGAAATAGTTTACTTAAATAAATATTATCACCAGGCATCTGACAGCCGACCCTAATAAAACATTGTGATATTGCAAAGTCAGAAAGTAAGGTTAGATATTTTATTAACTTAGTTATAGACATATATATGTATTGATCACATTAGACTTTTTTTTTAGGCCAATAAATTAAATAGTATCCTCTCTCCGCTATTTGAAATGTACTTAATTTGAAACCGGATCTGAAATCCAAGTTCGTTTGTTCATCAATTGTCTAGAATAATACATTTGATTAACTTAATATTTTGGTCTTCAAAGCTGTTATAGGTAATAGACAAACTAACAAACTAACAAACTTGGTCTATTAATTTTTAGTCAGCCTTTGTCTGCTAACTCGATACCTTGATTTCAATTTGCATTTGAAGATCCAGCAATAACATTGTTTACAGCCAAACAAAAACCACTCTTCTTTTAGGAATTTTATATATAAATATACGCAATTTAACCACAACTAAACAAAAAAACAATGCCCAAAGAATTTTAACATATATATATAATGTAGTCACCATCAACCTTCTTTTTTTCTATCTATTTATTAATTAATTAATTAATTAATTAATTCATTAATTATACACATAAATATTATGTAAGTCAATAAATGGAAAGCGAAATAAATATGAGAGGGTATATATCTATATTTATATACTAAAACTAAAATTTGAGAAAAAAATGATGCAAAGGCCTATTGGAAACAAATTGATTTTCTGTGTTTGACAGTAGAAAAATTAAACATATGGAGCTTATAAAGACACAAAAACAGCATGCGATGAAGTTGTGGACAAAGGCAATGAGGTAAATAAATGAAACTTTTCCATAATGTGTATTGTAGTATAATACACGATGAGTTTGGATGTATTGATCAATTGAATACAAATTTCAAAGGTTTTATTATAAGCAGGTATATTAAAGAATATGGTTTTTTGGGAAAATTTAATTTTTACAAGATTTGTTTGAGATATTCAGAATTTTTTATGGATTAGTATCTCAATATAGAGAAAATTGGATACTGCGGAGAGTGTTATCTATTAAAGAGACAATATAATATTGTTTATATCTGTTACTATTAAAATCCCTATAATCCAAACCCTTGTTGTGTAATGGTTGGCTCACACTGTATGTGTGTGTCTGTTATATAATAGTTCCAGAGGTTGTTAACTTGCCAGGTTCATTAGCAAGAAGGAACCAGTGTTTGGTTGTGGAGTCTGTTCTTCACTCAATTGTGGTGTGTATACCACAGCTCAAAACGCTCTCAAAATATATTTAAAGAAAAGGATAAAATGAACTGCTGGACGAAGTGAACTTTTCTTTAGCTAAAGTCGCAGTGTTTGGCTTTAGATAAATTAAAAGGTAACTCACTGCTGAAGATTCTCTAATACTGCCTGAAGTTGTCTTTTCTTCACGAATAATTTTCTTCGCTTTTTTTTTTTTAAAATAAAATAAAAATATTAAGTATTTAATGACCACACTGTTATCAGCTTCTAGTGAGCATAATTCGTGGAAGCCTTGCTGTTTATTGCTATAGACTTTTATCTGCTGTAACTGTGGTATATACACCACAATTGAGTGAAGAACAGACTCCACAACCAAACACTGGTTGCTTGTAAATTCCAATTTTGGTCACCGATGCCAATTCTGAAATTACCCCCTTTCTGGTTTTGTGATCGTCCACAAGCACCAACGTCATTGGGAATTTCCGAGTCCAAGAGTCGCATAACAACGCGCCATACTAAACGAGAGGCAGTCGAGTTGTACTAGGCGTCTTTTGGAGCATTACCATTTGTATTGTATAGGCGGTCAACGTGAACCCAGGATGCAAGTGGTTTGCCTTCCATGCTTTTGAGCTGATACGTAACATACTTGTCTTTTTTTGCTCATCACAATAAACGGGCCTTTCAATCGTGCTTCCAAACCAAAATGTCCTTCGTGTGTGAGATTAACACGATCACCAATGTCGAATTTCACTTTCTCAATCACGGCATCCACTTTTTCCTTGTTTTTTGAACTAATGTCACTCATACGTAACTCGGTGGCTTTTCTGGCCCTACCGACATTCTCCAGTTGGTCAACGGTCTGGTCCGCCACTGCACGAGGGTCTTCAGGAAGGACATAATGGCGTCCATAGGTAAGAAAGAACAGACTATACCTGATTTTGAGATGAGTGCAGATGTGCCAGGTTCAGAGTGTGGCAAAAAGAAACTTACCCGAACGGTGCAGAACACGATTTGTATACTTAGACAGCATTTGTCTCAACGTACCGTTTAGGCACTTACATTTACCATTTGTGCGTGGGTGAATGCAAAGGTTGGTCGATGATTTGACTTGGTACGAATGAGATAAGCGGCCGCACGTTTGCTGGTAAAATTGGCTCCACGATCTCTCAGTATCTCGAGTGGGCACCCAAAACGCATTACTATTTCCTCGTATATAAAAGCTGCTACAATTTGGGCTGATGCGACTGGGACAACACAGGCAATCGTCCAGCTGGTGGTATAATCAACTGCTACAAGGATCCACTGATTTCATCTAAGAGTCCTATATAACCTGCCGATGAAGTCCAAGTGCCACCTTTGAACTGCTCCTTGAATTTTCAATGGGCAAATCTTGTCATGATGCTTACCATATTTTCTTGTATTGCGCTAACATTTATGATATGCGCTTAAAAATTCCTAGATGTCGTTACAGAGAGTCGGCTATCAATGACGAGGTCTTAGTATATCAAACATAAGAGAATGTTCAGAATGACCAAAGTCCTTGTGGTACAATTGGACAGTGTTGGTACGACAAGAAAAGAAAAAGAATATTACTTCACGAATGTCATCGTCATTTAACTTCACTTTTTGATAAATCTTGTGATTCTTAACAGCAAAGTGAGCTCTGTTCTTTTCTGCGATTTCTGTGGAATTATCAGGTACTATATCAGGATGAAATGCATAGTAGTTTGGTCAATCGGTAGTATGGGCGAGTGGGGTAGCATATATATAGTGCAGTTCAATAGGACCTACAGTAATTTTGCTCTCATTATCACTCACACGGGACACCGCATCCGAAACATCACTATCCTTGCCAGACTTGTACTGTATCTCTGGTGCATACAGCTTAAATTTGGCAATCCATCGGACAAAGCGTGGAGTTGGTGTGACCTGAGGACAGAAATACTTGAGGGGAAGGTGATCTGAAAACAATGTATATGGTCGACCACCAACAAGGCAACTTCAGGTTCGGAAGACGCGCACAATACCTAATAGCTCTCGTTCCTGCGCAGGGTAAGCTCGTTTTGCGATGGTAAACTTCTTCCATTCATATGCAAGGGGATATTACAAACCATATTTACCTTTTTGGAGTAACACTGAACCAACACCGAAATTGGAAGCGTCTGTATCAATACGATATGGCTGATGGACATCTGGGGCTTGTAGTACTGGGGGCACGGTTAGCTTGTCCTTTATGAACTCGAGGCTGTCTTGGCGCTCCTTTGTTCATAAAATCGGTCTCCGTTCTGAACCAGTATCATGAGTGAGATCTGTTAGCGGTGTTATTATGGTTGCTTATCCAGGGATGAACCGTCGATATTGTCGAGCGAGACCACAAAGCTGGTAAGCCTTTTGACAATTTGTTGGAACCGGCCGTGCCTTGAAAGCAGTAACCTTCCTAGATGTAGGTAGAATACTTCGTGCTGAGATATGAAATCCAACGATTTTTTTTCAGATTGACCACCAATGTTCTCCTCCCGCAACCTTCCCAAAACATGACGGACGTGAAGGCGGTGGCCTTCTTCAGTATTGCTGAAAATCAATATGTCATCGAGATAAACAAGAGTAAAATCATCAAGGCAGTCACTCAGAATATGGCTCATAAGGCTTTGGAATGTTGGCAGTGGATTGGTCGAACCAAAAAACAGGACAAGAAACTCTTACTGACTGTTGTATCTGGTGTTAAATGCTGTCTTGGTAACATCTTTTGTTTGTATTTTTACTTGGTGATAACCGCTTTTAATATCAAGACTGGTAAAGTGTGCAGACCCGCGGAGTTGTTTCAGACATCCATAGATTCTTGGTAGTGGGTGGCTGTTACGGACATCTACTTTATTCAACGCGTGATACTCGATGCATGTTCCCATAACACTGTCTTCTATACAAGCAACACCGATGCTCCCCATGGTGACGCACTAAGCCTACTTAACCCAGGGTCAATAAGTTATTTGATCTGACGCTTGAGCTCGTCTAGACCTAGGGGACTCTTCTTGAATGAGGCTCAGCTGATCAGTCTTGCATCCCCGGTATTGATTGCATGCGGTACATTACACTCGGGCGGAATACATGAAGGCTCATCTCTAAATACTCCAGGAAAAATATTTAACCAGGTCACTCCAATCTGAGTTGTTCATGTTGCTAACCATGTCTTCTTTGACGTATAACAGAAAACTGTTTGCAGCCTTGAACCCCATGGCTTGCTTGCTTAATGATCGTTGGTGTCACATAGTTTGCGCTTGCACCACTGTCGATTAATATGGAGATACGCTTTCCTTCATATATGACATCATACAGTGACAAGTATGTGTTTATGGTAGCAGTAAGTCTTCATTGCAAGCAGAATAATTATTAAAATACTGGTAAGGCAAATCTTTATCATTTTCTTTATAGCTCACACTATTATAATCATTTACATCCCTGTTAGAGCGGGGGTCTAGGTCTTCACACAATCGATTACCTTTTAATCCAGTTGTGTGGAATGATAGGTCATTGCATCCTTGGGTCTTGGCACATCCTTCGTTCAAGTGGCGGGTACTAGGAATACTGTCTGGGCAGAAATGACAGAGGTGTCCAGATTGACCATACCGAAAACACTTGCGGCTATCCTGGTCACCTTGTTGATGTGATTTCATATTGGGGCGGCCGGTGGAACTTCGACTGTTACGTTGGTCTGAGCGTCCACGATAATTGGTCTGCATGGATAATCTTTCTTCCATAGCATCAAGGTCCATGGTAGTAGGACCATCATTACGGGCATATTGTGAAATAAACTCAGGGCGTGCCAGGCGAATAAGACACTTTATCAATCTCGTATGCAAGGGCAGTGCGAGAGGAGGTCTCAGCAACGTCCAAAGGCTCACGAATATGAATTTGACCACGGGTTTCAGAACGTAAACCACCAGCAAATCAGTAAAACGCTTCATACTCGGTCATGGACAGGACTACCATGTGGATATTCTAGAAGGCGTCTATATATTTTTTGATAGAGCTTGTCTAGCACAAAGAACGATTTCTATTACGGGCATATTGGGTAATATGGATGGGATGGAAATTATCATTAAGCAAGCGTGTAAACTTGTGCCAATTCGAAGTCCTGTTAGCAGTGTCTTCCATACGGAGCCACTAGACATCCGCACGATTACGGAGAAGAGTGATACAATAGGATGTCTAACTGTCATATTCTATGCGATTTAGGTGAGCAAAACGTTCTACATAACGGACCCAGTCATAAATATCGTTGAAAGAACGAGTACCACGATAAAAATTGGGCGCTCTATATGGACAGATAGAGATAGAGAGATATTGGCGTGCGCAGGGGCTGGGGCGCCAGCAGAAGAAGGTAGCTGCGAGCTATGAAGAGCAGTAGTGAAGGCGACAATTAACGCGGTTATATTCACGGCACCAAGAGCACCAGGGTCAGCATGGTCAACAGGAACAGGTGTATCACTCATAGGTAAAGAGTTTGGAGTAGGTACGTGAACTGGATAGTCTGGAGCAGGGAGTGTAGAAACATGTACACCAGGAAGTTTGAAAACGATGTTGCTGGCTCGAGTATCCCAAAAAGCGACATGAGCAGGAGTAGAATGGATGCACTGTTCTTCAGAAATATGGGGTACAGTACGGGAAGCAAGGCATGAACTCGTTCTTAAATTTCAAGATTTTTCTTTTGAGCGTTGGTAAACTGGGCGCTTTTCTGGTAAGAGAAATCGCTTATTCAGCTACCATTTGTAAAGTCTCGATCTAGTATCTCTTTTCTGGCACTTGTAACTAAGTTGCCAAATCAATACTACTGTGTATATTCAAGTTTATGAATAGTGTTTAGATAAAAATAAAGATATTTTTTATTAAATATATTTCTTGCTTATTTATACAAAGCGATTGTCGCTTTCTAGTTAAAAAAGAAAAAGCTACAATAATATTTCTTAGATTATGAATATACAGTAATATCTCTATAAGAATATTCGCCATCTTCAACATCTAAAAGTATCTGCAACAGTTACATTTCAGAAATCATTAAGTATACATTAACAGTTTAAATTACCTTGATCGTTTTAAATTATTATCGTGCCTGAATTCGTGTTAGCCGACCAGGGCAACAATTACACAAAATTCTCTTTTGAGAACGACGGCCGACGTGATTCACTTTTGCTCACAAGATAATTAGAAAACATATAGCTTAAACAAAAAAGTAGAATATAAACCAAAACAGATATTTTCAATTATTGCGCAGGTTTAAAGACGATTATTTAATAAAAGCTACTTATCTTTCTGCCGTACTTCTATTCTTGTATTCTCGCTTAAAATTTCCAGCGGATTTGATCAATTTTGGCTTTGCCAAAGCATTGGAAGAACCATACAGATAGATCACATCAACGCTACCAGGAGAGACTTAACTGTGGGGGATTAAATACGATTCTGTGTGTTACTACCTGTATTGCTGTAGATCGGTTGCCTAATTGAAAATCCGGTTGTATAAAAGTATATAATAATACAACGCTCTGGTATAACAAGTCAATTGTGATATACATCTGAGCCAGATGGATCATTTATGCTTAACATTTAATCCAAACGGATCGATTCCAGCTAATATTTAAGTTAACATGGTGACAATAGCATAACAATTACACTAAACTAGCAAGAACTAGTAAACATTTAAATCATATATGTATCAACCAGTTAGACTTTAAGCTAAAAAAGTATTAACTTGTTAATATTTAAGCCAAACAAATTGATTCCGGATAACATTTAAGATAACATAGTAGCGACCGGTTAACACTTAAGTATAGCATGTATAAACCGGCTAGCATTTAAGTCAAACAAATTGATTCCTGTTGGTATTTCAGATAAAATAATAATAATAATAATAATAATAATAATAATAATAATAATTCTGGATAACATTTTAGCTAAAGAAACGGAATCTTGTCAACATTTTAGCTAAACAAATTAATTCCGGTAAGAATTTAAGCTAATATGGTAACAACCGGTTAACATGTTAGCAGATCAATATAATCTGGTTAATAGTTAAGCTAATATGGTAGTACCAGGTTAACATTAAAGCTAAATAAGTTGATTCAGGTCAATATTTAAGCTAATCGGGTAACAACCGGTTAACATGTTAGCAGCTAAATATATTCTGGTCAATAATTAAGCTAATCTTGTAGTGCCAAATTAACATTTTAGCTAGATAAATTGATTCCGGTCAGTATTTAAGCTAAACTGGTAACAGCTGGTTAACATGTTAGCTGGATAAATCGATTCGGGTTAACATTTTATCTAGACGGATGGATTTTGGTAAACATGTAAGCTAATCTGGTAGTAACTGGTTAACATTTTAGCTAGGTAGATACATTCCGGTCAAAATTTAGGCTAACCTGGTAACAGCTTGCTAACATGTTAGGTAAACAAATTGATTCTGGTTGACGTTTTATCAAGATGGATGGATTCCGGTCAACTTTAAACTAACCAAGTAACAACTGGCTACCATATTAGCTAGATAAATGTATTCTGGTTAATATTTAAGCTAATCTGGTAGTAACCGGTTAAAATTTAAGTTAAATAAATGGGTTCTGGTCAGCATTTAAGCTAATTGGGTACCAGCCGGTTAATATGTTAGCTAAATAAATAATTTCTGGTTAATATTTAAGCTAATCTGGTAGTAATTGGCTACCATTTAAGTTAAATAAATGGGTTCTGGTCAATATTATAGCTAGATAAACTGATTCTAGTCAATATTTAAGCTAAACTGGTTACAACCGGTTAACATATTAGCTAAATAAATTGATTCCGGTTAAAATATAAGCTAATCTGGTAGGAACCTGTTAACATTTTAGCTAGATAAACTGATTCTGGTCAATATCTAAGCTAAACTGGTGACAATCGGTAAACATATTAGCTAGATAAATTGATTCCGGTTAATAATTAAGCTGATATAGTAGTACCACGTTAACATTTAAGCTAAACAAATGGATTCTGGTCAAAATTTAAGCTAAACAAATTGCTTCCGGTTAACATTTAAGCTAAATAAATGAGTTCTGATCAACATTTAAGCGAACCAGGTAACACCTGGCTAACATGTTAGCTAGGTAAATATATTCCGGTTAATATTTAAGTTAATTTGGTAGTAACAGGTTAACATTTAAGTTAAATAAATGAACTCTGGTCAACATTTAAGCTAATTGGGTAACGACCGGATAACATGTTAGGTATATAAATATATTCCGGTTAAAATATAAGCTAATCTGGTAGTAACCAGTTTCTATTATAGCTAAATAATTTGATTCCGGTTAACGTTTTATCTAGATGGATGGATTCCGGTAAGCACATAAGCTAATCTGGTAGTAACCGGTATACATTTTAGCTAGATAGATACATTCCGGTAAACATTCAAGCTAATCAGGTATCAACCGGTTAACATTTTAACTAAACAAAGTAATTCCGGTTAACATGTAAGCTAAATGGATAAATTCTGGTAAACATATAAGCTAATCTGGTGGTAACTTGTTAACATTTTAGCTAGATAGATACGTTCCGGTAAACATTTAAGCTAATCAGGTATCAACCGGTTAACATTTTAGCTAAACAAAGTAATTTCGGTTAACATGTAAGCTAAATGGATAGGTTCTGGTAAACATATAAGCTAATCTGGTAGTAACTGGTTAACATTTTAGCTAAATGGATAAATTCTGGTAAACATATAAGCTAATCTGGTAGTAACTGGTTAACATTTTAGCTAAATAGATACGTTCCGGTAAACATTCAAGCTAATCAGGTATCAACCGGTTAACATTTTAGCTAAACAAATTGGTTCCGGTTAACATGTAAGCTAAATGGATAGATTCCGGTGAGCATTAGAGCCAAATGGATAGATTCAGGTGAAAATTTAAGCCAACTGGTAACAACCGGTTAAGATTTAATCTAAACTTGTATTAACCGGTCTGAGGGCGAACCGTTTGGACCAATTCGTTTCCTTATTTGGAACAAATTGAATTTATATTTTAATTTCACTCTTAATTATTCAATCCCAGAAAAAAAAAGTTGAAAAGTGTAAATAAACGTTTTTAACCTTTGGCGAGACTACTAATGACCCCCCTATGATATGTATGAGAGAAGATGATTGAAATCTTAACAACAATTAATTTTGGAGTTTTTTCAAAAATCTTTTCTCAGAGAGTACTATGCGTGGGGTATATCTTTCCCGATTTTACCTGGCGCCTCTTTTGCTCGGATCAGCAGAGATTTTATTCTTTAATAAAAACATCTACTGGTCTCCCGGCGCATATTTCAAACCGTATACTTTTGCTTCGGTAAATTTTCGGGACGATCTGCTGGGCGGTAGTCTTTGTACTGCTAATAATCTACAGATTCAATTTATTGGATTTGGATCAGGGAAATAAAGGTTCATTAAATCAGTTATGATGAACATTATAAGTAATTACTACTTGTATAACCGTGGTAATTTCGGAGCTAATACATGCAACGAAAACCTCGACTTTGGAAGGGGTACCCTTATTGGGTAAAAGCCAGCTTGATGTGAAGGCCATTTTTTTCGTGATTTATAATAATTCAATGGTGATCGCATGGCCTTGTGCTGGCGATGGTTTATTATATTTTCTGCCCTATCAGATTAAGACTGTAAGATAGAGGCTTGCGTTGTCTACCATGGGTAGCAGGGAATCAGGGTCTGGTCCCGAAAATGAAGGATGAAATCTAAAAGAACTGACGGAAGGGCACCAGCAGGAGCGGAGCCTACGGCTTAATTTGATTCAACACGGGGGAACTCAGCTGGTACACACATTAAAAGGATTGAAAAATCACCTTTTCAGTTGGGTCAAGCTTCGGCTTTTCTGTCTTCCTAAATATACTGCCTGCGCTAAGCAGGGTGATGTTGGGCAATAACAGGTCTATCATGCCCTTAGATGTTCTGGGCCGCACATGCGCTACACTGACATAGTTAATGAGTATATAACCATGGCTAATAAGCTTGGGTACTCTTTTAAAACTATTTCGTACTGGGAATTGAGGTATGTAGCAAGGTTTCTGTGCGTAATCTTACGGAAGAGCCATTGCTAATGTTATCTACAGTTTAACGTTTACGTTGTTCTGGTAGTCTAACAAAAAACTGTGATATGTCTTGCACCTTGGGATTTAAAAAATAGCCTATCGTTAAAAGGCCAAGCTAGTCTCAATAGACTCCCAAAATCTTACTGAAGAACTGAATTGACTGGCAAAACTAAAAGTGAACATAGCCGCATACCCGTAAAGCAACTCGCTCGTTCGGGTATGTTTGGTTATGGATCAAACAGAATCAGTATATAAATACTGAAATACTCATCTTAAGCAAACATTGCTAGGATAATATTGTTGCTGATAACAGAAAGCGTTATGAAAATCACCAACGCCCATAAACGCCGGTGCTAGCTTTATATGCGCACCTAAAAACGGTTCACATAAAATAATGAACCTTGGCTTAAAAGCCATAATTAAAAAAAAACAAAAAAAAAGAAAAACAAAAAAAAAAGAAACAAAAAAAAAACGACCTGAAATAAGTCGAAATACCCACTGGACCGAAACGTTAAGCGGAAGAAAAGACACTAGCAAGGATTCCCCTAATAACGGCTAGTATGAACAGAAAGACTAAAGCTTGGTAAGAGACCAATAGCGAACAAGTACTGTCATGGTAATAACTAATCCATGACAAGTAGGAGTAGCGTTGTGGCCGGATGAACGGAAGACTGGAAGACCGGAAGACCGGAAGACCAGACGACGAGACGCCCAGATGGCAGCAACCGAGAGTGGAAACGACGAAGAGGAGAGGGCGGTTGTGGGTGGGAATGACGGAAGGGAGGAATGTTATTAGGAAAAGAGGCAGATGTAAGCGTAGGAGCCTGTGGTGAGAGGGATGCGGTGAGAGGGATGTGGTGAAGTGGATGTGGTGAAGTGGATGTGGTGAAGTGGATGTGGTGAGGGGGATGTGGTGAAGTGGATGTGGTGAAGTGGATGTGGTGAAGTGGATGTGGTGAAGTGGATGTGGTGAAGTGGATGTGGTGAGGGGGATGTGGTGAGGGGGATGTGGTGAGGGGGATGTGGTGAAGTGGATGTGGTGAAGTGGATGTGGTGAGGGGGATGTGGTGCTGTGCGAGTAGAGGAAGAGAGTTTTGGGGGAAGGCGTGGGCAAGTAGAAAGGATGACGAGGAGATAGGACGTCGGAGTGAACAGGAGTAGAAGGTGGCAGTAGGGAGCTGAAGGAGTTGACTGTTGTTACGTTATGTGGGAGAGTTTAGGGGATACCCCACTACCTGGAACTTCTGTTTTACAGGAGGACTTGGTGTCGAACCGTGTGAGCGTATGGATGCGAACGTGCTGTTCGTGTTGGCGACGGCTCATATCTGCTACCCGTAGGAGTGGTAGAGGGAGGAAGCCGGATGGTACGGTTCACCGCCGTACCTGAAGGGGGAACTGTGGTCGCGATTCTCTTCCCGGCCTTCGGGCCGAAACAAAAAAAAAAAAACTGGCAAATATACTATATGTATGAATATTGTACTTGGTGAGTACAATAATAACAGCCAAGTTAATAAACTTGGTAGAATTGGCAAGGAAATATGACCTTGTTGAGCTTGACTTGATAGAAAGACATAAGAGGTACAGATAAGTGGGAGCTTCGGCGCCAATGAGAAACCACTACTCTTATTGTCTTTTCAATGAAAAAGAATGTTGGATTGGGCTTCACGGTGGATTCCGTGAGGCCCCAATCAGCCTGACAATGGCTGAAAGTCTCTTAGCAAGAACTTTTGCTAAAGGTGAACCGACCAGGAGTGAGGCTGTTGCCACCGCCACCGGATGTAATATACTGTCTCTTGGGTGGAGAGACAAGGTTACGGGTATAGCTTTTCCAGGGCTTTCGAGTCCGGTTGTAGCTATTACCCTAACTACCGTATACTCCAAACGTTGCATCTAGGGCGCGTTGGTGGGGTCTACGGTATGGCTATGATGACACCTGTAGAAAGCCTACAGGAAGTAGGAGCCATAAAGGACTACAAGTCCTAGTATAATGCATCCGAAGCTGGCGCCTAGTGGCATGAGCAGTGGCTTTAGACTCCTTCCGACGGGTACAAGGGAGAGTTTAGGGGATACCCCACTACCTGGAACATCTACTAGACAGAGGGGCTTGGTGTCGGACCGTTTGAGCGTATGGGCACGGACATTCTGTCCGTGTCGGCGACGACTCAAATCTGCTACCCATAGGAGTGGTAGAGAGAGGAATCTGGATGGTACGGCTCACCACTGTACCTAAATGGGGAACTGTGGTTACGATTCTCTTCCTGGCCTTCGGGCCTAAATAACAAAAAAAAATTAGCAAATATACTACATGTATGATTATTGTACTTGGTGAGTACAATAATAATAGCCAAGTTAATAAACTTGGTAGAATCGGCAAGGAAATAGGACCTTATTGAGCTTGACTTGGTAAAAATATATAAGAGGTACAGATAAGTGGGAGCTTCGGCGCCAATGAGAAACCACTGCTCTTATTGTCTTTTCAGTGAAAAGGCATGTTAGATTGGGCTTCACGGTGGATTCCGTGAAGCTTCGATCCGCAGGATGATGGCTGAACGTCTTTAGGCCAGATTCTATGCTGAACCGGATCCACACGAGGACGAGGCTGTTGCCACCGCCCCCGAATGTATTATACTGTCTCTTGGGTGGAGAGACAAGGTTATGGGTATAGCTCTTCCAGGGCTTTCGAGTCCGGTCGTGGTTATTACCATAACCACCGCATACTCTAAACGTTGTATCTAGGGCGCGTTCGTAGGGTTTGCGGTATGGCTATGATGACACCTGTAGGATGTTTACAGGAAGTAGGAGCCATCAAGGACTATATGTCCTAGTATAATTCATCCGAAGCCGGCCCGAGTGGTATGACCAACGGCTTCAGTCTGGTCCCGGTGGATCAAGGGAGTCTTTAGGGGATACCCCACTACCTGGGACCTCTCTTTAGTAGAGGGACTTGGTGTCGAACCGTTTGACCGTATGGACACGGGCACTTTGTCCGTGTTGGCGACGGCTCAAATCTGCTACCTGTAGGAGTGGTAGAGAGAGGAATCTGGATGGTACGGCTCACCACCGTACCTGAAGGGGGAACTGTGGTCACGATTTTCTTCCTGGCCTTTGTGCCGAAAAAAAGAAAAAAACTGGCAAGTATACTATGTGTGAAATTATTGTACTTGGGGGGTACAATAATACTAGCCAAGTTAATAAACTTGGTAGAATCAGCAAGGAAATAGGACCTTGTTGAGCTTGACTTGGTAAAAAGACATAAGAGGTACAGATAAGTGGGAGCTCCGGCGCCAATGAGAAACCACTGCTCTTATTGTTCTTTAACCATAGTATGGGATTAGGCTTTACAGTAAATGCTGCGAAGCCCCCATTGATTGGGCAATGGCTAAACAACCATAAGCCAGAGCTGATGCTGGAAACCATACTATATGTGTTGCTCATACACTATATGAGTATAAATATGCTTTTGAGCTGAAAAGCATATTGTGTCTTTGCTCGTATTCGCTGAAAGGCGAGTACATTCAGAGCTACATAGTAATGCTAGTATGGAGTAGTGATGAATTGCATGCAGTTTGCATGCAACTGACGGGGTATTGTAAGTAGTCGAGTGACCTTTGTTGCTACGATATACTGAGATTAAGCCCTTGTCCTTGAATTTGTTCTTTTGAACACCTTCATAATTAAAATAAATTATTTTTCTATTGAAATAGTTTACTTAAATAAATATTATCACCAGGCATCTGACAGCCGACCCAATAAAACATTGTGATATTGCAAAGTCAGAAAGTAAGGTTAGATATTTTATTAACTTAGTTATAGACATATATATGTATTGATCACATTAGACTTTTTTTTAGGCCAATAAATTAAATAGTATCCTCTCTCCGCTATTTGAAATGTACTTAATTTGAAACCGGATCTGAAATCCAAGTTCGTTTGTTCATCAATTGTCTAGAATAATACATTTGATTAACTTAATATTTTGGTCTTCAAAGCTGTTATAGGTAATAGACAAACTAACAAACTAACAAACTTGGTCTATTAATTTTTAGTCAGCCTTTGTCTGCTAACTCGATACCTTGATTTCAATTTGCATTTGAAGATCCAGCAATAACATTGTTTACAGCCAAACAAAAACCACTCTTCTTTTAGGAATTTTATATATAAATATACGCAATTTAACCACAACTAAACAAAAAAACAATGCCCAAAGAATTTTAACATATATATATAATGTAGTCACCATCAACCTTCTTTTTTTCTATCTATTTATTAATTAATTAATTAATTAATTAATTCATTAATTATACACATAAATATTATGTAAGTCAATAAATGGAAAGCGAAATAAATATGAGAGGGTATATATCTATATTTATATACTAAAACTAAAATTTGAGAAAAAAATGATGCAAAGGCCTATTGGAAACAAATTGATTTTCTGTGTTTGACAGTAGAAAAATTAAACATATGGAGCTTATAAAGACACAAAAACAGCATGCGATGAAGTTGTGGACAAAGGCAATGAGGTAAATAAATGAAACTTTTCCATAATGTGTATTGTAGTATAATACACGATGAGTTTGGATGTATTGATCAATTGAATACAAATTTCAAAGGTTTTATTATAAGCAGGTATATTAAAGAATATGGTTTTTTGGGAAAATTTAATTTTTACAAGATTTGTTTGAGATATTCAGAATTTTTTATGGATTAGTATCTCAATATAGAGAAAATTGGATACTGCGGAGAGTGTTATCTATTAAAGAGACAATATAATATTGTTTATATCTGTTACTATTAAAATCCCTATAATCCAAACCCTTGTTGTGTAATGGTTGGCTCACACTGTATGTGTGTGTCTGTTATATAATAGTTCCAGAGGTTGTTAACTTGCCAGGTTCATTAGCAAGAAGGAACCAGTGTTTGGTTGTGGGGTCTGTTCTTCACTCAATTGTGGTGTGTATACCACACTCGTGAATTCATTCGCCCTTTTTTTGTTTTAGTTCTCCCACAAGATGTTTGCCAAAACCATTAGAATTTCTTTTTACATACACACACTCTCTCTCATCTCCCTTTTTTTTCCTTTGTTCTTAATTTTTAATTTCTATATTTGGAGTTTACAGAGTTAAAATAATGCTAGAGGGAAAATGGCCATTCTGTAACATATTCTAAGCATGTAAAAAGCGAAGCAATGTTTAAGCAAGCACATTATGTAAACCTTTTAAAGTGCAAAAGAAAAAATATCTTTTAAACTTGCTTCCATTTTCAATTTCCTTTTCACTTCCACATTCCATTTTCTTTCACTGTATACTAATCGTCTCCAGAATATATTTGTACATACATAAAAGATAAGATGGAATATTGTTTAGTAAAATAAAAAGAAAGCTAAAAGATGAGATATAGAGATAAAGAGATATATAGGTTTTATTCTATTATTCTATTAATTTATTATTTTACTGTTTCTCTTCTTTTTCTTTTCTTTTCTATTTTCTTTTCTTTTATTTTCTTTTCTTTTCTTTTATTTTTATCTTCTAATGGGCATCAGCACGATGACCAATGTATTCAATAGCCTGCTTGGCAGTCTTGATCTCATCAGCCTCCTTGTCGGGGATCTCGACAGAGAATTCCTCTTCAATGGCCATCACAACCTCAACGGTGTCCAAACTGTCCAAACCGAGATCCTTGACGAAATGAGCATCGACGGCAACCTATTTTATTTTCATTTATGCAAGAAATAAATAAATAAATAAAAATTAATTAATTAAATTAAAAAAAAATTGAATTAAAATTGAATTAAATTAGACTTGGTTATAATATATATATATATATATATATTGTATATAAAATTTACAGAAATATTCCCAATAATAATACCAATAATAATAATAATAATAATAATAATAATAATAATAATAATAATAATAAAATATTATGCATATTTTGTTTTTTCTTTGTTTTTATTTATTTGATTTAAAAATACATATATATATTTATATAAATGTCTTTACCTTGCTCTGGTCAACCTTGTCGAAACCCTTGAGGATATCCAAGACGCGAGTCTCAATGTCGGAATGGGACAAACCAGCACCAGCCGAGTAAAGACGGAAGGCGACGGGAGATGCGCGTACAGCCATCGAAGACTGGAATACGGCAGCCTTGGCAGCAGCGTTGAACAAAACAGTAGGACGGAACATGATTTTTTTTAAGAGTTTGGAGGGGAAAAGTCAAGGGTTTAAAAAGTAACAAAAAAAATGAAGACGGGTCGGGAGCGTTTGCTGTTTACCTAGTCTCACAGGGGTTGAAGAAGAGGAAAGCCAAACCACAAGCCACAAACCACACTGAGATGGGGGGGTTGAGTGACTCTTCAATTTTTTCTCCCCAGAAGCAAAAAAAAAATAAAAAAATAAAGAAATATATACACATATACATATTATAAAACCAATTCTTTTTATTTTATTTTACTTTAATTTGAATTGATTTTTTTAGTTCTTTATTCTTTTCTTCTTTTTTTTTTTATTAACGAATAATATTTATCATGGCTCAAGCACGTCAATTGGAACAAGAACAAGGACAGGGCTCATTTGTCCAGTCTGTCAAGTCTGAACTCTTCTCACCTGAGAAGCGCCAGGGAAACCTGAACATCGCCTTGTCTCTCAGCGTATTCGCCGGCGCCATTGTCTTTTTGCGCAACTTTGGTGAATTGTTGGCCGTCTAAAATCGCCAGACCAAAAATGAAATAAAAATAAGAAAGAAGAAAGAAAAAACGAAACGAAACGAATATATATAAAAACGAACAGACGGACGAACTAGACCTTGTGGATCCTATCTTTATTTTCTTTTTCTTCATTATTATTTTTATTATTATTATTTTTAATACATCGATATTTCAGACCAAACCAACCTCACTACAGAACAACCAACAATAACAGCAACCAAAAAACGAACAGAACTACAGACGTATACACAGACGCAAACAGACAGACCGACACCCAAAAAAAAAATGAAGAATACTATTTTCTTTACTATCCCCTCTTTTATCCTTTATTCAACAATGGCTATTTTGTTCTTGTTCTTTTTTGCGTGTGTGTATTGTTTTTTTTTTGCTGTCTTTGGCAACCGAAAGAAAGTGAGAGAGGAAAGTAAGAAGGATGAAAAAGGACAGCCATACATATATACGCGTATATGTATCTGGTTAAAGTTGCATGATGGAAGTGATGATTTTTTGTATGCGTGGGTGTATGTTTTATTATTATTATTATTATTTGATTTATAGATACAAACGATGATGATGTTCATCTACTCGACCATTCTTTCCAGATTTTAATACGTCATTCATTTTTGTTTCATCATAATTGAGAGAAAGTCCGAGTGCTTGGAGACCTGGAAGATATCCGTCTAGCGTGTCGGTTGTTACCAACAATTTACCAAGCATTGATTCCTGGAGAGTGAGGAAAGAGTAGCATGGAATGGCATGGATTTCACACTATGATTTATTTATTTTTGATTATATGTGAGAAAGTTGAATTATATATATTTATATACAATAGATGTAAGTGAACAAAAGGTCGTTGGGACTTACGTAGGTGATAAGAGCCGCTTCAAATCCCTTGACCATATTGGGTGCTTCAAAATGAATAAGTTTTGGGTTCTACAAAAATTGGCAGTGGGAAACTTGTAAATGCATAATCCCAAATCACAATTCCAATTACAAAATATGCACATCAATATGCACATCAATATATGCATATATATATATATATAAACTTACACTTTGTGTGGCAGAGGTTTGGAGAACACGCATATAAGGGGGTTGCAGGTCTTCTCCCCACACATCAGATGTGTATTCTGCAGCCGTAAAGGAATCAAGAATAATCACTCTAAATTTTTATTTATTTCATATAATATATATATATATATATTTGTGTATTAGGTTCCAATCAATTCTCTCTGCTAACCCAGAAAATAAAGAAGATAAGCTTTACCTGTCCAAGGGTATCTTGAAGGACTTTAATAGGTTGACTGCATATTGAGATGCTTGTTCCTGAGGTACAGCCAAAGAGAATGGTACACCAATTACAGAAGGGCTAAGTTCCAACACAGGTACCTTTTGAGATTCTTCACTATTTTTCTTTCGAAATTCAAAAGAAGAAAAAAAACACAAACTCATTAACTAACGATCCTCTTATCATCCCTCAATATTGTCTTATTACCTGTACATTGACTTCACCAACTGCCTTTACATTACCCTGTTGTGCCTCCAAGAATACACTTCCTGGTCCGGCCAGCCCGAGAATAAGAGTCGTCTTGGTAGTGAGGGTAACGTTTGTTGTGATTGTCACGGTATCTCGAGTAACAAGTGTAAGGGTATCATCGTCACTTTCACCATCATCAAAAGCATAACGGACAGGTGCTGAGGGGAATGAATCTTGGTAGTCCTGTAATATAAATTATGAATGAGGATTTCTCTTATTCTTCTTTTTTTTTTGTTGTTTTTGTTGTTGATGCTGTTGTTGTTCTTGTGTCTGTTTGAATGACTGACTGCAGTTGTCTAAATAAGACTTATATATATATATGTATGTTTACCATTAAGTTGGTTGACAATAAAGAAAAAAAAAGGAAAAGAAAGTAGAAGAATAAGAGGTGAAAAGAGCTTAGATGACGCGTTCTTCTTTCTTTCCTCTTTCTTCTTTGGCAGGTCACACACTTTATTTAAATATAATAAATATTGTTGTATATATAAATCGTTACGCGTATTCAAGCTATCGGTATTAGGTTATCATTTAGCATAAAGTCCACATCAATGAAGTCTATACTCCTTGCAGTCCTTTATAACAAAATTTACAGCCACACATACACACCCACGTATACTTATATATATATATATATATATTCAGCAAAGACATTAGTCGAGTATATATACAATACTTTTAAGCAACGCTTAATGAAGTATTATCAAGACAATAAGATTGTATTTTAAATCTTGTATTTCCATTGACCAACAACTAAAATAGCATACAGAATACATATATATATATATTACAAGCGAGTAAGGAACATGTACATTGCTTACTATACACACACACACACATACACACTCACTCACTCACTCACATACTAATATATATATGAGCTTGAAATATCAAACCATCTTTGAAATAAATAAAGTAAAACAAAATAAGCTATATATGTGTGTATTAAAAAAAAACAGGCGGTTGTTTCCAGTCCTGTATAAATCCAAGTAAAAGTTACCCCACCAAATATATTATGGTGAGTATAAAAATAGGTTAAATGGATATTTACAGTAGTATATATATATATTTAGGTGTAGACAATATAGAGACCGTGTCCAATAATCACGTGTACAAGACACAAAGTGAACCTTCACTTTATTTTCTTAATACCCTTTTTTTTCTTCCTTTTATTATTTTATTATTTTTTTACTTTTCCTCCCACCTTTCCAAATCCTTTTTTGGATATTAACTGCTCAAACTATATATATATACGTATATATAAGTAAAAAACACAACACACAAACAAACTCTGGTCACAAACTAATGGCGACCCAAGAAGAAGAAATCATTGAACTGAAAAAGGAGCTGGAGGGAGCTATCGCGCTGCGAGAGAAGCAGGTCGAAAAGGAGCGCAGTGTTATGCGTGGCTTGGTAGAAAAGATCAAGGTCGTCACGGATGAGAAGAATGAGATGTCCCGACTACTAAAGGAAGCAACCTCGAATCCCAAGCTCATGGCCTCAAACCAAGAAAAGCAAACCCAAAAGAGTCTGGCGTCCTTACGGAACCAGGTTGAGGAACTCCTGTTGGAAAAGGAAGAGTCCAAAAAGAGTCTGTTGCACTTTATGAACAAAGCCGATGATGCCGAGACAGCATTACGGCAATCCCAAAAGGATTTCGAACAGCTCAACCAGAAACTACAATCATCTGACACAACCTTGGTAGAAAAAGAAAAAGTAAAGGTCACCGAACTCGAGACCAAACTCAAAGAGGCCCAGGAGACTATCGACCGACTGGTCAATCAGAAAAACCAGGACGAGGCAAAAAGACTGGCCCAAGACAAAGAGAGACATCAAAAGGCAGATGCTGACACCAAAGCGTTAACCTCTCAGCTGACCACATTAAAGTCCCAGTTGACTGAAGCAGCGGCCGAAAAGGCTGCACTGGAAAAAAGAATCGACCAGGCATTAGAATTAGCAGCTCAGAAGGAAGCCGTTGAGAAACAGCAGTTGGCTGATAGAGCAACCCAGGATCAGGCCGCAGAAAAGCAGCTTGTCGACGCAATGATCCAAAAGGAAACCGCAGAAAAGCAGCTGGCTGACGAATTGACCAGCAGACAGCTTATTGAGAACCAATTAGCTGACGAAAAGGCCAGTAGACAGCTTGTTGAGAACCAATTGGCCGAGGCGAAGGCCCAAAAAGACGCGATCGAGAATGAGAAGAAAAAAGAGATCCAAAAGATCACCGAGTCTATGAACAATAGCGCAGTAGAAAACGCTGCTGTACTCAAGAAAGAAATTGTCCAGCTCAAGGAGAAATCTGAAGTAGCAGAGAAACTTGAGGCCGAAAAGAAAACCTGGGAAGAGGAAAAGACTCAATTGGAACAGAAACTAGGTAAGAAGCAATATGCTCAAATAAGGGGGTTTTCTTCAAATACACAAATATACATATGGACAAAAATAATTTCCAGAAAAAAAGGGATTAAGACTGTGTAAAATAAATGAATGAACAAAACTAACATTTTATTTCTTTTCTTTTTGTTGTTGTTGTTGTTGTTGGGGTAAAAAAGCAAAAACAATTGAACAGCTTGAACGTTCACAAGAACAATCATCTTCAAATGAGGTCTTGGAAAAGGATCTCGAGGCCAAGGAGAACAAGATCAAGTCTCTTCAAGAAGAGTTGACCAAGCTTTCTTCCGAATTGGACTCAAAGGCAGCCAAACTTGCCGAGGCAGAAAAGGCTTCTGCAAATTCCAGCCAAGAGGACCAAAAGAAAATCCAAAATCTCAAGGCACAACTCAATGAATACGAAGCCGAGAAGGATGAGGCGCTTTCAAAGATGCTTGACGGACAGGACACAATCAAGACCCTGACTAACAAACTCAAGGATGCTAATGAATCATTGAATGTTGTAAAAGCCATGCTCAACGAACGAGATGTTGAAATGGATGAGAGGCGCCAAGAGGTAGAATCGGTACGGGCATCACAGTCAGAGCTTGAGGAAAAATCCAAGAGGCTCGTGGTCTTGTTGAACAAGACCAAAAAACAAATTCTGAAGCTAGAGAGAGAAAAGACAGATGGTGTAGAGACGGCCGAGGCAAACAAGGCACAGCTAGAAAAATATGCTGGTCAGGTTGGAGAGCTGACAAAGAGCGAAGCAAATCTAAAGGCGGAGGTCAGTCGACTGACTGCCAAGATCCAGAATACAGAGGGGGATGTCAAGATACTCCAGAAGGAAAGACGGGAGGCATTGGAGCAAAAGGACCAAATGTTTGATGAGTTGCAGATCAAGCAGGCCGAGTTTGAGAGCTCCCAAAGTAACGCAGACAATCTTCAGCATCGTCTAAAGGAGAGCGAGCGACTGGTTGAAGAGGCCGAGGAAAAGGCTTCGGCCTGCGAAGAGTACCAAATGATGGCTGAGGAAGCAAAGAAGGATCTTAGAGAGCGCGAGAAGATGTGGAATGAGCAGCGTAGGAAGTTGGAGATAAGCATAGAAGAAAAAGACGGTGTATTAGCAAAGATTAAAGAGAGCCATGAGCGCATTGAAGAAGAGTTGAAAGCCAAGGCGAGCGAGGTGACAGGTCAGCTGACTGCCCTTGAAAGCGATCTGAAACACCTTCATGAAGAATTGGAAACAAAGACCAGAGAGGTTAATGTATTGGAGAGTGACAAGAGCGGACTTTTGGAGCGAATTGACATGCTCGAGGCTGACCTTGAGAAGAGTGAAAAAGAGGCCCAGAGTAATACTCTGGAATTGGTAAGTTTCTAATCTCTTTGTGTGCGCGTATACAACGGAAATGCAGTAATATCTATATATTTCTATACTTATATATATATACATATATTGCTTATTTCTTAGGAGCGTCTTCATAAAGAATATGATGAATTCAATTCCACTAGAGATAACTTAGCAAAGGATCTAGAAGAGATTACGATGCGCGAAAACCATTTGAAGACACTCAATAGGGTATGCTAATTTTATTTTGGTTGTTGAGATAAATATATAGAAAGATATATAGTGTGGGTGTTTATTGTCTTTTGTGATATTAATTATTGATTTAAAATTGGTATATATATGCTGTAATAGTCTTTGAAGGATGAAATTCGTAAATTGTCTCGTACTCCAATTGCCACCAATACACGTATATCTTCATCCCATCCTACATCACCTTCTCCGTATAGTGCATCAGACCACCGATCTTTGCGCTCGGGTGCCTCTACACCACCCGGTCCCGATTCATTTGGCTCCAGTCCACCGTCGACACCTCGAAACAAGGAAGAAGAGGTTAATCTGGAATACTTGCGGAACGTGATTATTAAATTCTTAGAAAAGAAGTCAACAAGAGTAAGTTATCTCACAAAGAAGTATATATATACTCAAATAACAAAAACCATCTTGCTTACATATTCTATTCTTTTTTTCTTATTTAGGCACAATTAATCCCTGTTCTGGCAATGATGTTAAAGTTTACGCCCGAGGAGATTGGTCGTCTCCGAGCAAAGGCATAATAGACTTGCGCTATAATATTTATTCCACCCTTCTTTATAGTATATTATATTCTGTTCTGTTCTGTTCTATTTCTATTTCTATATATACATATACATATATACTATACCTTTCTTTCTTTCTTTTTTCATCAAAAAAGGAAAAGAAAATAATTCATCACCCACCGCTAACAACTAACCACTACTTGCCACTCCTACCATTAACAATCATCATTATCATTTCCACCACTAGTACAAATATTACCATTACTATGACCACACCCACTTTTTATTTTATTTTATTTTTTATTTTCACTACGGGAAAAAAAGAGGTGCTTCCGGGGGTTTACTGGGGGTCCGCTCAGGAGGTCGTCCAGGTGGGTGTTTTTCGCCTACACACTTTTTCACCTCCTGCCTGTTATGGATTAGTTTATAACTCCGCTCTTTAACAAATAACCGCCAGAGAAATTTCTTGTGTAGGAATATAGATGTACCTTACATGCCCATATATAGATACAATTATCTGCGATAAATTCTGATCGAAATAAATCACGGATTTAAAAATGCGTTTTCAAAAAAAAATGGTTCAAAAAAAATTGTGTTTCAAATAAATTGGTTTTTATTTTTTGTTTCAAAGTAGAAAAAAATGCTAAGCTATAGCTACACCATATAATTTATGAGCAGAAATATATAATAAATTAAATCTAGTTATTCTAAGCTAAAGATAGGGTCATGGAGTCTATATCCCTTATAATTCTTGAAGACAAAAGCACCTAAGAGCACCCGTAATAGTGGAGTACAAGAGCAATCTAGTAAAATATAAATATGAATGAGTATTTCCAGTTTAAAAATATATGTCAAATGAAAGCTTACCTTTGAGTTTGCCGAGATGAATTTCATAAAAGTTAGAATCTCTACAAGTAAAAATGAATAAAAGATGGTTAGTATTCAATTACTTTGTAAACTAGGTGTGCAGGTATTACCTCAACTCATTTTGACCAGATGATGAAAAGGCTAATTGTCAGCTAATGAGACCCAAGATGAATAACTGCATTACAAAGTACAATATTGCTTTTTTATTATACATACCTCAAAAACAAGAATATATAGACACGTTTCCTAAAAAGATAATATACTATATGTAAAAACACATAATGAACAAACTTTTGTCGGTAAAGTAGAGTAAGAAACAACGCGAAGTCATTCTCTCTCGGTTTGCCTTATTTTTATAAGTTAAAGAGGTATGTTCTAATAGCAAATAATTGAAATTACAGCTGTAACTTATTAAAAAAAATGTGTATATATTTATGTCTTCATTGGGTTGAGTTGTGCCTTAGAAGGTTGCCTTTGCTAGGCATTCTTTACTAATATTATGTAAGAAACAAAAAAAATCGTATATTTTTTCTTATTTGAAATTTTGACAAAGTCGTTTTATATGCTGAAAATGTTGCCTTTACCAAATTTTAACAGAATTATTTTTTCATTACACAATACAGCCTCCGCATTTCCTTATTCAATGTTTTGTCTTACTTGCACAGCTTTTTGTTGTGATCAAAAAAGTTTGAAGTAGGACCAAACCTTCTTTCCTCCTTTATTTGGAAGAAAAAATATTCAACTCACGAAATAGAAAGAAAAATTCTCTAGGCCAATAATATTGTTTGGGTACCATACCCTACCATATTTGGCTTCCAATTTTTGTGGTGGTGGAATTTTCTGTTTCATTTTGATTTTTTTTGGTGATTTTTTAATTATTATAGGCCAAAAATGAAGTCACAATTACAAAAAACACCCCTTTTTTCCCGTAGTGTTTTTATTTTACTTTTACTTTTATTAAAAACCGAGAATAGGGACCTTGGACACATCATATAAAATTTATTTAGACGGAGATTGTGCTCTTAAAAAGGAATAGTGTGTTTCAAAATCGCGTTATTTTATATGATATAAAAGCATGATATAAAATGTGTTGACCAATCATCTTTCGATATTTTATGTTGTTAAGCTAACGATGACATAAAACTTGAAATAAAGAACAAATTATGTTTTCAAGTAAGCATATAAAGAAGTCCATATAACCCCAGCATTAGGTTTTTCCCCCTTATTTGCGCAAGCATTCTACGTATACAAATATTAATTAGTATCTATTAGCTTTAATGTCTAAAAAATTAAACAGCTATTACAGTTTGAGGGTAAAAAGTAACAAACTTTGGTTCGCACTAATTACATGATTTTAAGTTCGTGAGTTTAGGGAATTAACATGGCCAATAAATACAATATCACACATTTTCATTGTATATGGAAGCCTTGGATGTGAAACATGAGACCGTATAAAGTTACATATATGGTTAAATGTTTCAAAAATATTTTATATGATGTGTCCAAAGTCCCTAATTCGGGTTCTAGATCAAAAAAAGACAAAAAAGCAAATTGTTCAATTTTCCTTTCTTGTTTCTATTGCTTTCTCTCTCACACACACACACACAAAATTACATACAAAATCTCAAAAGAATATATATATACTAGTCCCGCTTTGATTTTTATGCCACAATCGTCATCGATGTGAGAAAAAAAAATGAGAGCATAAAGTGGTATAAATCTAGAAAAGGTCCGAAATACGTATCAAGTTTCATAATTTTGTTTTATTTTCTTTTTCTTTTTCTTCTTCTTTTATCAATATCCTATTTACTTACTTCTTACTTTTTGTTACCTTCTTACCTATCTCTTTAACTACCAACAACCGATCGTTATTATATAAAAAGAGTAATAATCAATGGGTTCATTCAATCACATACGTGTGAATGCGATACTATTATCGACAGCATTAACTACACTTATCCACGCGTCTCCAATATCAACAATCAACTCACCAGCAAACTCAAATACCAGTTACTTTTCACCAGAATTTCTCATCAAGTTAGCCAGCATTGTAGGGTTGGTTCTGCTAGGAGGTGTCTTTGCTGGTAAGTACTTTGATGACACACACACACACATATATATATAGCAGTTTTATTTGATTGATGGTAAACCCTTAATATTTCTCCATGTCTTTTACAGGCCTCACTCTTGGTCTGATGGGTCTAGATCAAACCAATCTTCATGTGATGGTAGAATCCGGAACAGCCAACGAGAAAAAGGATGCTGCTCAAGTATTGAAACTTCTTGATCGTGGTAAACATTGGGTGTTAGTTACACTGCTGTTGTCAAATGTAATTGTGAATGAAACACTGCCGATCATCCTTGACTCTGTTCTGGGAGGTGGCTGGCAGGCCGTTTTAATATCCACGGCACTAATCGTTATATTTGGAGAGTGAGTATTGGTGTATCGCTAGAGTATGGAAGCAAACGAAGTCCTTACTCGTTTCTCTTTGTTTCTTGTTAGGGTGATACCACAATGCAAGTTTCAACTCCAATACACCCAATGATTTGATATATATATAAAGAAAGAATATTCTCTTGGTAACCAGTTTATTGTTTGGTTATATGATATAATATAGCAATCTGCGTTCGTCATGGACTTGCTATTGGAGCTAGGTGCTCTTTGTAAGTATATAAATATTGGTAATGTATAATATTCAAATTATATATATATATATATATACATATACATAAAGAGTAAGGTCTTAAATAAGTGTGTATTGTAGTATGGTTCTTGGGCTTATGTACATTATGTATCCAGTCGCATACCCTACAGCTGTCTTGCTTGACCATTTTCTTGGTGAATCTCATGGAACGGTATACAAAAAGGCAGGCAAGTAAAGATGTGTATACCAAATAAGATCTTTACTGTCGCCTAATTTAGGGTATTCAAACCCATACCCGGGTGTTGCTTTCTTTATTTTTGATTATTTGTTTAATTAATTAATTATTATTATTATTTAGGCCTAAAGTCGCTTGTGTCACTTCACAAGACAAATAGCGATGGCGATGTCGATGGACTGACGGAGGATGAGGTACATATTATTGGATCTGTCTTGGATCTCCGAGAAAAGACAATCGCCTCCGTCATGACACCCATCGAAGACGTCTTTACACTGCCAATTGATGCTGTCCTTGATAGAAAAACCGTAGACAAGATGCTCACGGCTGGGTACTCACGTATCCCAATCCATGCCGTCGACAATCCGACCCAGTATATCGGAATGCTTCTAGTCAAACAGCTTATTGCCTATGATGCAGACGATGAACTTCCGATCAGTAGATTCCATCTGAGTACTCTTCCAGAAGCAGCGTCTGACACAAGCTGTCTTGATATTCTAAACTTTTTCCAAGAAGGCAAGAGTAAGTTGACGATTAGGATTAAGTATGCATTATTTGCTCTTTAATGAAATAAAGAATCTCTTTAATAGGTCATATGGCATTGGTTATTGATGTCAATAATCAAAAATCAAGTTCAATTGGTGTCATAACTCTTGAGGATGTGATCGAAAGTCTTATTGGAGAGGTAAGCCAAACAAAACAAAAAGAGAATATATGACCAAAAACTCACCACTATCCCATATATATATATATAATCAAAAATTATACTTGCTTACTTAGGAAATTGTTGATGAGACCGATGTGTATGTAGATGGTAAGATATATATATAGTGGCAACAACAACAAGAAAGTAACTGATTGAATGAATGAATAATTAACTATTGTTGCTTGATATATAGTTCACAAAAAGACCAAAGTTACACGCGGACGTACCAATCCAGCACCACCTGAACTTCGACCACTTCTTCGGGTGGTCAGAACCAAGCAATCAAGGAACCAGATCCCCCAGAACAAATCTTGGAGATCTCAAAGGAACAAAAATAGTCAGGATCCTACAGGTGTAGAGAGACAGATGATGAACTATGGTGCATTGGTTGATACACAAACAACCGAGAGTGACGTAGCCTCAACAATAACGAAAGATCAAGTAGGATCATTTCCTAATAGATCTGAATAATAAAACCCAGTAATAATTGAATTGATATATATATATATATATATATATATCAGCCAATATACTTCTTCTGTTTTACCATGGCTTTTGAGTATCACACAAAAATAAAATTAGAATTATGATAAAAGTTTAAGTTGGTTGATTTGGCTGAGCTGATCAGGTAAAATTATTAATTCTAGGAACACGATCTTTTTGTGGGCGGATCCAAAATTTTCACAGTTGACCTGACAATGGGATTTATAAACCTCAGCTTTCATTCCTCTTGCTATTGAATATCTAAAATGAAACTTCCTGTCTCTGATAATCCATATATATAGAGCGCCAAAAAGGAACCTTTTTTTTTTTTCATTAAATAGTAGAAAATGGTGAAATTGGTTCTAATTGAATGTATAATGTACAAAAAAGAGAGAAAAGAATATAAAAGAGATGGTAGAGATGGTAGTAATAGTAATATTAAAAATAAAATAAATTAAATTAAAAAAATTATGCAATCTCTTCAATCACCATATCATCATCTTCTTTTTCTTCGTCAATGGGTGTGATTTCAGCACCATTTTCATCACGGATCAACATATCAGCAATGGCATCACACTTGTCCTTGATTTCCTCATCTTCTTCCTGGGCATGAAGACGTTGGATGACACGGTAAACCTGTTTGTTGCGGAGGTAGTCACGACCGAAACGAGTAGTAGTGAGCAGCAAAAGCGCATCACACAAAATACCACGAAGTACTTTGTCAGACTCGCGTGTCTATTGGAAAAGAAAAAAGTTGTATAAATTTGGATTAATAAAATATAACTAAATAACTGAATAGGTTTTACTGTTGAAATAAGAGAAATAATAAAAAAAAAAATGATGATTTCTATCTTTATATCCATCCCTATTATATATATATATTCACCTTATCATCATCTAAGAGCTGGATCTCTTCAGGGAATTGCTCAAACTCTTCCATGTCATATTCCTCATTACCGCACAAGGGAAGGAGAATGAAAGGCAAGGTGTTGAGCTTGTCAGCATCCAAAATAGCTTCGTGCTGGCGAGTCTCAAAGCAGACATTCCTGCAACAGCAACAATAACCAAAAAGAAAGTTGAAGTTTTATAAGAAATCTGTTTATACACTACGTACACATTCTGTTTGGGCCGATTTATATGTGCATGTATATCAGCTATTCACTTACTTGACTGTAGAATCAACACCACCACGACGGATGATATTCTTATCCTCTGTAAAAATCTGCAACTTTGTCAAAGGAGCAAGACCGTCGTACTTGGATGGCTCCAAGAAATAGACACGACCAAGACGGATCTTATTGATAGAAATATCCCATATTAGCAAATGTATATTTATATTTAAAAGAACTACTTACGCCTGAAACGTTGGAAAACACACTGGCCAAAAAGTGATACTCTGCTTGGGGATTGTAGGCTTTCTTGTGGCCACGGTGGAAAGCCTCTACCAATTGATCCATTACTTTGTCAGACTCACACAATTCGGGAAGAGGGTTGGTCTTCATTTCCAACAACTTGACACAAATGCTCTCGGACTTTGTCATGTTGGACAAAAGCATGCAAGCAGGATCTGCCAATACGGACTTTGAGATCTGTGGATTTTTTTTGGTGTATAAATATATATATATATAAGTTAGTAAAATCTAATTAAAGTGGTTGGATCAATTAGATTACATACAGTGATCAAGAGAGTAATATGCTTCAAGAAAGCTTCATCATCAAGTTCATGCTGGATACGAGGGTCACCAGAAAGGTTGATCAAACCCTTCATTGCTTCGTGGGCAATCATCTATATATATATATATATATATACCACACAAAGAAGAATATATAACAATCGGTTATCTGTTTCCTTTTCCTTTTTCATTTCTATTGACTCTATTCATATTGTATGTATATGCAGCTACTAAAAAAACGGATTTAAATAATTACAGGATCCTGACGGCACAAGTTCTTAAGGTCAGTGCAAAGTGTCTTTCTGTTCTCAATCAACAAAGGCTGGTATTGGGAGGTCTTTGGTGTGAAGGAGAGGATGTGCTCAAGAGCAATGGATCGCACCTATTGAAATTCACACATGCACACAAATAGAAAAAAAAATACAAACGCAAATATGTTGATATATACGTATATATACATTATATGTATAATTGTGTAAGTCCTTGATGAATGGATTGATTCTTTCTTTTGTTGATGTTGTTGTTGTTGTTGCTGATTAAAATCTGTTTGTGTGCGGGTATGTTTTTACCTCCATTGAGGGTTGGTGGAGAAAGTCCATAAGCTGTCATAATGCGGTGAGCGAGGATATCTTGCAGTTTAGCCTTTGCTAACCTCTTTAATTTGTTGTTCCATGATATTAAAAATAATTTATTGTAATAATAAAAGATATATATATATATATTAGAGACAAGAAGTAAGTTTACAAATAATGTAACAGCGCTTAATAATTATAATTTATTTTTTCTTTCTTTCTGACACGTTAAAAAAAAATCACTAGAATTTTCCTGCTCTTTCCAATTCTTAGTCGGATTTTTTTTTTAAAAAAAAATAGAATGAGACTGTCCTTTATAAAACAAATTGAGGCGCAGCAGAGACGCTTCAAACGTAAGAGCATCCACAGCAGTTTGTGTAATTAAGATCTTGAAGTCAAACCAAAAGCACACATTTAAGAGCATCCACAGCCGTTTATCTAAATATGAAGTCGCATATTTTTTTATTGCTCGAATGTTTTTAGTGAAGCGCCAAATTTAGATATATCCATTAAATAATTGTCTAAAAAAATTGGCTAAAATATTTATTTAGACAAACCACTGGGGATGAAAAAATCTAAATTTTCTAACTAAATTAACATTCTTGTTAAATTTACACAGACCAATGTGGATGCTCTTATAGTATAAAAATAAACTCAGAGCTCGATATAATGATAATAAGCAGGCACGACCCCAAATCTTCCAAAAAAGTATCACTATATCGAATATCATTATATCGAGTCTTGACTGTATATGTCTTCCGTGTCGATACTGGCCAATAAGAGAGAAACGGTGAGATAGGAGAGGAAATTAGACAGAAAATACTTAAGCTAGTGTGCCAATGTGTTTTTCTATTACAGTGGACGCTTTTTGTGCCACAACTCCAGATAGAAAGGGTTGTTTATCAAAAAACAAACTTCCAATGAGCACTCCAGATTTCTTCAATAGTGAAAACGGAAAGTAGAATCCAAAGGTCTTGATGGGAGGAACGTGGTGGGAGGCTGCCTCTGGTAAGGAGAAGGCAGATGTCAGCAAGGCTCCAAGACAGGCAAAAGCGAGAGAGGATGACGTTCCACACCTGACGTTTGATAGAACAGCCAAAGGAAAAGTGATACTGATCTTCAGTAGTATCTTGACAAAAAATGCAAGATGAGCTGGGGAAGCGTCGAGGTATAAGTAGGTTGAGACGTTTTCGTGTTGGCGATCTATCCCAAAGTACTTTTCACCAGACTGTGCGACAGCGGTGAGGGATAGAGAAAGACCAGAATTTACGCCATTGGATGGACAAATGTAGAGATGAGGGCACTTGTGGGCGAAGATGGCGTCGGAGAGATCCAGTGCTAGCTTTACCCAAACAAGTGTTGTCCAATCGTACCAAAGAAAGGAGTGAAGAAAGATCGGGCGGAGGGGTGTCAATGGAAAGTCGATGGTCAAGGCAAGACAGAACCCAAGGACAGAGGATCATCTTGCAAAAATCAATCTGTTGGAAGAAGTGGCCTATACGGTTACGTCCCTGAGAAGATGTACCACGAACTTTGCGGACAAGACGGTCATCAGCCTCCATAGAAAATTCATCAGGAACAAGTTTTTTTTTCAGGTTCAGAGAAGATTCAACAAAGGGTGGCACGCTTATGCATATTGCAGTTAATGGGAAGTGTTGGACCACGGATAGCGGCAATTGCAAGTTTGATGGGAGTGAAGCTGGAAGAAGTGAGGTACAAGCGCGATGCAGTGGAAGAAGTAAAGTCGGGCAAGTTGCACTACTACAGAGAAACAAAAGTGCGATACTGGCAGAAGAAGCGCAAAAGTTTAGAGGAAGTATAGATTCTAGGTATGGCAGTATAAAGGAAGTAGAAGAAAAAGAGTGAGAGTCCAAGATAAGGAGAATCCAGCACAACTGAAGAGCTCGTTGTTGATGATCGGGATCAATCAGGCCCAAATCCCCGGATTTGCGTGGCAGACAGAGAAGCGGCCAACCAGGGCTACCGAAACCCAGCCGCAGGAACGAGCGAATATGAGTGCGAATGACAGTGAAGGAAGATAGTGGTACATGAGTCATGTATTGCACATGCCATACTGAGCTGAGAAGGAGTGAGTTTGCTACAATACTTTTACCACAAAAAGACAAGCATATTTGAGAAAGTAGCGTAAAACGGTTCATAAGCTTGACTCGATCATAGGCCTTCTCCTGATCCAATTGAAGGGCAACACATGGGTCTTGGGTGATTTGTGCATGTGACATGGCAAGCTGTGTCAGCAAACCATGGTCAACGATAAAGCAATCTGCCATAAAACCCGTTTGGAATGGTGTTATAAATGGGACGATACCATATCGTAAACAGGACGTAAGTATTTTGGTAAATAGCTTGGCGTCACAGTTGATAACTCCCACTCCTCTTTATGTTGATCCATGCTTAAAATTTTGGCTGTACTTTATCGCATGATAATATGGATATTCTGGATATATCATCCACCGTCACATAATACCTATTCTACAGTTGTGATTCTTTCCATATTATGGTGTTTCATTAGTTTTTTTTTTTTTATATATGTATTCTTTATATAGTGAGGCATTTCTTTGATTCGTGTAAGTGACTGGTACATATTTTCATATCTGCTTACTTGTTTATGTGTACAATGAATTCAACAAGCAATGACATGGCCAATCAAAATATTGGTGTCCTGGAAAATAACTAGAGACCATTGGGGACCTGGTTCTACACTTTTAAAAAAGAAACTGTTCACCGAACAGAGGAATGATTCTCTCTAACTTCCAAAAAAAAAGTGTAAAAAAATTAATTTTATTCTCGTTCTAGCAAAATGAGCAAAACTTGGGTAAATTAAATCACTGTAGGAAATAGCAATCCTGGTGTGATAGCAGCCAAGGCACTTGTGGTGAGAATAACGCTAATCGTAAATACTTTTCTGACAGTCGCGGCAAGTTTAGCCAATTAAGAGAGCAATTTCCAAAAAATAATAATGAAGAAATATATTTTGCAAAAAAAAAAAAAAAAAAAACGTGAATGTGTTATTTCTCGAGAAAATGATTAATAAAAAGGTGCTTATGGTGAAGTGACAATCGACCAAAAAGTGTCAATCGACCAATTTGGAAAGGGTAGCAAAATACAAATATAGATATTTTCCACGTGATAAAATGTCGGTATTATAATAAAATACTATACTCAAGACACTTATATCTCTTTGAAAATATAACAAATGAAATATAATTATTTTCCATTTGTTATTAAGAGAAAACATATAAAATATGGCTTTTAATGCAAGTTTCAGCAAGTCATATCTCAATAATACTATTGTGAGTAAAAATATATTAGCATATATAATTAAAAAGAGATTGAAAAACAAGACAAAGTAATGAAATAAAAATGGTTCTCACACGCCGTGTTGATAGTAAAAAAATTTAATACCATATATGTTTTTGAAAATAATTTGTACCTCGTCAAGAGCAGTGACATTTTTTGTGGACTTTAAAAATTATGTACCATATTTAGGCTTGAGACCCTTCCAAATTGGTCGGTTGCCACTTTTTGGTCGATTGACACTTCACCATAAGCACCTACTTAATATTAATACAAAAAAAAACATATATTATTAATTATTAATTTTTTTTGTTCTTTATATAAATGCACCATAAAATTCCTTCATTACTCTTAGTACATACTATCACTTACTATTATTTCAAGCCCTCACAATAATGGACACACCTGCTTCTTGCTACACACCAACCCTCAATGGTAGCCTCTCTAATATCAATATATCTCTTGCCGTCGAAAAAGTCTTACGAAGCAGTAATCTTGATCCACATTTTTGGGACTTTCCTGTCATTGAGAATTCTTATTCTCAGCTATCATCTTTTGGCTTTCTACCTCCTGATAATTTGCAACCACACTATGCCTCCAAGCCACCCAACACTGTACCTTTTTATCTCTTTGAAGACTTTTTCTCTCTAATTGGTGCCTCTGATGTACAAAACTCTACATACATCAAAGACCTTGCTATGGAATATAGCCCTGGTACATATCCCAAACCCCAAATCCCTCAGGTTGGCCCTTTTTCTAGTCCCTCCTTATTATTTGCGGCTCAAACACTTTCGAGTAACATACCTACGACCTTTCCTTCCTGGACTACACCTTTAATCGTCCCAGGTCAAGAGAAAAATATGAATGCTCCTCTTTTAAACACAAACCCATGTTCCTTTCTCCCAAGTTCTGGCCTAGTTTCTTATTCACACAAGTCACCTATGATTTCAGAAGACTTTGACGAAAACAATACTACTCATAATATTAGTTTTAAGAATAATAAAAAATATGAGAATTATAATAAGCGCAATAAGATCACTAAGAACAATAAGCATAATGACTATAGTAAGTACATAAACACACATATACACTTTTTGTTTTTCTTTATTTTGCTTTATTATGTTCTATTTGGCTTGGTCCCTACCTTTGTTTATGTTCAAAGGTTAATTGATGCAGATTTATATGTATCTATTGATTTATTTTAACTAAAATTACAACAACTTTGATATTGATACTGATACTGATACTAACTATGCTTTCAATTATTTATAGATAAAAGCCATCACAATAGTCACTATGGCACCACTCAGACTACTGATTTCCACAATCCAAATGCTCGCAAGTCTAAAGAAAGGGTCTATTATTCAAAACTTCATATGTGTGGAATATGCGACTACTGGAGCGACCACAAAAGCAATAGGGATAGACACTTTGTAAAGCACTACCCCGATCACAAGAAACACAAATGCCCTGACTGCAAGAGTGACTTTGACAGCAAATACAATCTCAAAAGGCACATCCTTGGTAGCAAAAGATGTAAAGCCAGTCAAGCACAACAGCAATAGTTACCAGCAGAAAAAGAATCTTCCCACTCTTCCTTTATTCCTCTCTCCACTCCTTTTTATATGTGTGTCTTTCTTCCAAATCCATTAATTTATAAACTTTGGTTGTTTAGTATAAACCCTCATTTTCCTTTTATATATATGTATTTGTGTATAAATTCATGCTTATAAAGATTTCAACTTTTGAAAAGTTCTATTGACACGATATCCTTGGCTTTCAGCCACTCCAAAACTCACTTGATAATTATCTTATTCTCGCTCTTATAAATATATATGTATGTACCTCTTCCAAGACTCGAAATCTAGATTTCTAGGCCTTTTTTCTTTCTTTCTTGATTTCTTTATTCACTGTCAATCCTGTATCTATCTCATATAAATATATCTTTGGTTTTGATATTTATTTCTGCCTGTAGGACTGTATTTCCATTTGCCCATTTTTAGTATTTTAAATTATGAGCCTTTAAGCTAATTACTAGTATCTTACAATCCAAAATAAATGATTATAAAAAAAAACTAATATTTTTTTATACAAGACGTTTTACCTTCTGTAGTCTTCCGATTCGAATTTCTGTTTATAAGCAGCATTTTTTTCTGTAAAATTGCAGTACACTATAGTCAAATGCTAACAAGCGACAGGCTTGAGATAAACTATCATACATTCATTATAAGAGCATCTCCAGCAGTATCAAAACCCAAATACTAAATATCCAAATTAGGAAACTGGTGTTTAGATTTTCCAAAAAAACGTCTCCAGCAGTTTCTAAACAAAAATCTAAATATCCAAATCCGGAATTTAGATCTAAACTTTTTGAATCAAAATCTAAACTTCTGTAGGTTTTCTCAGAATTTGTTTAGATTCTATCATTTACTAAATTTCCATTTTTTATATTGTGACTTTGAATTTTCGATTTTAAATCTCAGCCTTTAGGAAAAACCTCACCAAAATCATCAGCTCTTTAGAATCTGTGTTAAGAAACTGCTGGAGTGACCTTGATATTCTTCATACTAAATTGCTTTATTTGTACTAGCGCGGGAAATGCTAATTTGGATATTTAGTATTTGGGTTTAGATACTGCTGGAGATGCTCTAAGCAGTAAAGAAATGAATTTATGGTCAACCATAACAATTAGGTGAATAGCGGTAGCAAAAAAAAAAGCGTATCATTAATACTAATTTATATTTGAGCACACACACACATATATATATATGTATGTGTGTGTGTGTGTGTAAGTACGCTTGAAAAAAATCTAAAAGATGTAAATGGCAAGAAGCTTGCGAATAAAGTAAATTGAGATGTATAGGCAATTATTAACGTGTAAAATTCGGTTGGGTCGGTATGTTCCTATTGGCTATACCGTGTAAGGAAAAAGCGGAGAAATAAAGAAAAAGAAAGGAGTGTGTTGACATATTCCTCAAACTCGGTACCCAATCACTAACCGGTATATTTTTCGATTTTTTTTTTTGGGGGGGGGGGGGGGGGGGGGGGGGGGGGAGAGTAAAGCGTTGTATAAAATCAAATTGGTCTGTGCAAGATTGAAACTACTTTAAAACTTTAGTAATAGGCCTTCCTCTATTATCCGAAGGAGCGAAGACTCTTTCTGGTCCCTCCTCTCTTTCCCTTTTTCTTTTGTTTAATACCAATAGTCACGAAATACATGATAAAGTGTAATAGATAGAAATCCTCTCAATTTATTGTGAAATTCGTTGCTAAATAACAAAATTATGATAGCATGGCAAGAGTCCCCGCGAACTAACGGATAATCATAAAATAGAGATGGATATGGAGGTATATAGAAAGATGGTTAATACTTGTACAAGGCGTTGGCAATCATCATGCATTAAATCATTTTGATATTATTGACTCTGTTTTTTCTATATTATATTTTATTTCATTTCATTTTCTTTTATCTTTTTTGTAATTATTGGGGTAGAGGAATGTTTTTTTTAAAAAAAAAATCCCCCCCCCCCCCAGTAACTATGGCAGCAACTACTATATATTTATTTTCAATTAGTGTTACTTTACATACGTAAACCAGCAAAGTTTGTTTTTTTTTCTTTTATGATTTATGATTTTTAATGGCTAATTTATTTTGTGTAAAATATAGTGTCTGTGTGTGTTTTGCTTGTTTGTATGTATAATTGGGATACTGGGAATGACTTTGGACTAACCAAAATATAAATCGAAGGCTCAGTGTGAATTCAAGATGACAAAAATTGTCAAATATAATAATACTAATAAAAAGAACAAGACAGAAGATGATATTATATACGTATCTAAAGTGTGCGAAAGTACAAATTTCTAGAACGCTATGGAATGAGCAAAGGGTGGGGGAGTAACACTAACAAAATAAAAGGCACCAATCAAATTCCTGTCCATGCAGTGGATTTTAAAGCAGACATAAAGAGAAGACGAAGAAAAATCTGTTCTTTTGACTCAACTGGATACAAACAGGTAATTAAGGTAAATAAAGGGCTGCAATTATAAGCATAATGGGGTCAAATTAAGAAATGAAGAAGTAGTAACAGAGAAATAGTAAGAGAGAGTAAGAGAGAGTAAGAGAGAGAGAGAAAGAGAGAGAGATCTTGTGATGTAGGCTGCTGAGCCATATCTTGTATGCTATAAGAAAATGGAGATGGCTTGGAACAGAATACCAAATAAACTGAACACAAATGGCTATTCTGGTGGTTGTAAATAGACCAATAAGATTAAATGAATAAGTATATATATGGTAGTCATTGAGAAGCTAAACAGATATATATTTATTCAAGGTAAGACGTATCTAAAGTAATTGGTTTATAAATGTCCAAAAGATCCATTCCATATTATGAGCCGTCTATCAAATCCCATTTTTTTATTATAATGACTTTCTCTCTCTGGTAACGTATCAATTTCTAGAAGAATGATATATTACCACAAATTTGTACCTAAACAATATGAGGCGGGAAATACACACAGTTACGGTTGATTTACCTTGTTATTTCAAATTAATATACTAAGCTTATGCTTATCAAAACAACAAGAATTCTTTTACTTTATTATCTATTTATTTTGTGAAGTTTTAAACAATTGAAATTTTCAATTCAATTTTATTTTATTCTCGAATGAGAAACAAAATAAAAATATCTTGAGCGTCAAGTATTCAATGCTTCATGCTAATTACAATAATTTTTTACATATATATATATATATATATATATATTATAGATAAGGTTGAGGGTCCATACCTTTGAAAGGTAATTGATCCTCGGCTTATGATCCTCAACGTAATACAAGAATCATATATATATATAGTAATAAAAATGCGAATTAAAGTAAGATAAAAAAAAAGAGATATATTCAAAGTACTTTATTTCAAGCAATTATTGTATTTTTATCCAATACAATGCAATATATATTATTCATAGAGTTTAATGTTTCATAATGATTAGATATAATATACTGATTTTCAAAGGTTTATCTTTAAATATATATAAAAAAATATTTCTAAACAAAAATTATGTATCAGTTTAGCATGTAAATGGTGGCATTATTTTCTTTTTCTTTTTCTTTTTCTTTAAAAAAAATCCTATTATAGAAATAAAAGTAAAAGTGACAGAATATGTAGAAAACATAGGCTTATTAGGGAGGATTCTGATCATAAGGATTATGATTTTTCTGTTTGTACCCTACCTGGATCACAGAACATCGTGAGATTAATCCTTTCTTTTTTACCAATTTTTGATTACCTGCTTAACTGATTGGTTGCATTATCAGTGAGACAAGACGTATTTGTATTCAGGATACTTGCTTCAATCAGTAAATAGCCGATGCCCGTTTTTAACTTTTTTTTTATTTATTAATAAATAAAATAGAAAAACGTGGCATATAGGTGCAATCTATTTAATTAAATAATGCCTAGATAAATACTTTTTTTTGTCATTGTACTATGGTGTATCAATACAGGCTTCAATGTTCTTGTGACAGTAAGTTCTAAAAAATAGCTATTGTAAATTAATGGTATGAAATAAAGTCATACTGCTCTTTAATAGAATAAAATAGACTCATATTGTATCTCTTTTTATAATTCTGCAAATAATAAGGCTAAAATCAAGAAAGAAAGAAAAAAGAGTATACAATACTGGCTTTATTTGTAACAATGTATATTAATTAAGGTACACAGGTACACAGGTACACAGGTACACACACACAATATATATATATATATCCCACGTGGCAACTACTACATATAAAAATCATCTTAAAATTAAGCTAAATAACGCCACCCCCTCCCCACATAATTCCTTCTTTATATTATTATAAACGAATTTCTTTAGGTGTATATATTTTATGCTAATAGCTAAATTCCAGTAATCAAATTTTAGATAATAAAATTCCTTTTTATTCCATTTTATAGCTATATATTTCTCAAAATCGTCTTATTAAATAAATGCTTAGAGCTATATAACCTATACTTCTTTAAGAAGAAGAAGAAGATAATGAAGAGGAGAATGAGGAGGAGAATGAGGAGCTTACTATCCATAATAAGATCCTTTTTTCTTGTTTGTAACTTCTTTGCTTTTGGTATTTTATAAACGTCATTATGTTGTATAGCTTTGAACTTGATTTAGATAATAAATATATCTGGTATTATGAGTGAGATATTCATAATTCATAATGCACAAAATTTACCAAGTACCTATCTTTGCTTCTTCCTGTTTCTTTTATTTTTACAACCCTAATCAGCCTCTACCTCTTAATTAATCTTGTATACATTCAATCGGCTGGTTCTTTCCGATTTTTTTTTTAAAAAAATATATCATTTTCTTGGCGAGTGTCAAGGGCATGGAAACAAAAAACCTTTGTACAAATTGTGTCATGCTGTTGATCTCATGGCCATAACCAACTGGTGTAGCCATAGTATATATATATTACAGTGATAACGTCAAATCAATAATTAAAAGTAATTTGAAATATTTATATAATTACTATCGAATTCTAAACCACCCAGGATCTTCTTAGTATTTCTTATTATCAATATTGTATATATAAGATCCATATCATTTTAATTCTTTCATGCCCTTTTTCCTTTCCTTTTTCTTTTAAAGAATCATAACAAAAATGAAGAGGAGCAGGTGTTGCACGAAGGTCCTAATGTAATTTTGTGTCCGAATCATCATTTTATAATATTCACAACATATTTTATGCTCCAAATATATTAATATAGTTTGTCAAACAGTTGGTCCATCAATCGTCTTATTTTTTTTTGATTATTTATTTATTTATTTGGCGCAAAATGTTTATAAAAGAGCAGCTTTCTCTATTATTTTTTCTTTATATCTTCTCTCTCTTTTTCCACACCCGTACACAACCTACACACATACACTCATATATACTACACTACATAATCATGGATACACCTGCTTCTTGTAATACTTCAACTTTTTCTTGTTACACACCAGGTACCATCGAAACACCTCTTCCGCTTTCTCCTTCTGGCAATACTTTTGGCCCTCAGGATGCTTATTTTGACCCTTTACCTTTCGAGAATTCACACCCATGTTTTATGGCCAGTCAATTCTACATCGGTCGGTTCAATCTCTTGGTGGACCCATTGATTCCAATGATTGACTCTTCAGGTCTGACTCCTGGTCCTGCTCAACCATCCGAATTATACTTTGAGCCTATTCCAAGCCAAAACACCGTGGATCTTCAAGAACTATCTTTGCGTGATCCAATTGAACCGATCAGGGTTACAATTCCTACAGCTCCTGTATCAATTACCAGCTCATTCAACACCTGTCCGATCACTGTACCAAGCCAACAAGATAACTTGAGGTCCCCTCTTTTGTACAACACAGCTCATTGCTTATCCTCACTCTCAGCAGCTCAAATACAATTACCACCAACAGAGCCAGAGCCAAAATTACAATTGTCTCCCTTTGATCCCGATGCGAGTTCTTCTTGCCCACAGACCTTAAATACCCCGGAGATTTCTGGCCAAACTCTTGATGGTAAACATCTATTTTATATATACATATACAATATGAAAGGCGGATTTAAAGCTTAATAGACATAACACATATTAATCAACTTTTTTTTTCGAATTGGTCAGGTCTTGAAAAACGATTCATTTATTGTACTATCTCTAATACTTCTCGCTCATACAATCCGAATTCTCGCAAGGCCAAGGCCAGATATTCTTATCGGAGAACCTATGACTGCGCAAAATGCAGCTACTGGACTAATCGGGAGTGCAACCTAACTAGACACTATCTAAAGCATCACACAGACTACAAGAGGCCAAGATGCTTAAAGTGTGAAAAGTATTTTGACAATGACTTCAATATCAAAAGACATGTACGCTTTAGTAGAACATGTAAATAGATAGCCAACAGTCGAAACCCCCTTCCCTACACAATTAGATTCCTCCCTTCTCTTTACAGTTAGATCGTCTCCTCCCCTCCCCCTTCCATTTTTTTTTAAAAAAAAAAGAAAAAGTCCTGGCTTGCCTGTTATAGAATTCGAGTGTGCAACAAGACTTCTCTTGTCCTTTTATATTGTATATTGAAGTTTCAGCAAGTGTCGTGTCTTCTTTTTGGTGTATAAAATAAAGAGAACTTCAGCCAATAAACGCTCTTGCTATTATAGTCCTAAGAAATAATCTTTATTCTGGCACAAATTCACATCGTCTAACTCCCAACAAACTGCAATGAATGCTTAGAACATATTGCACCAAACACAATGCTAATGCCTTGTAAGCATTATAAGTGGATTAAAAGGAATAAAACAAAATCATAGCCGGTTGGCATGAGCGACGTAAGGAAGTTTTGATAGGTAGTTCGTTTATTTTTATCTCGTATTACCCATTCGATTAATATTAATGAGAATAAACAAAAATTTAAAAAATAAAATAAAAACAGACTAGGTTAATCGGATTAGAGATGTAGTTATTTTTATTTATTTCTCTTAAGATCTGTGACTGTTTAATATTGTTGGCAGATTAACGTTCCTGATAAAATAGATCGGAAAATTGTACCTTTTGGACATCAATGGATTTAACACAAAGGTACTTATCCACTTTGTCTTTGAAGCTTTATTCTTTATGTTTAATATGGGTTGTATAGGTTTGTAGCTCCTGTAAGACCAAAGATTAAAGATATTTTCAAAATGCCAACAGCAGATCTATCTATCCAATGTTAGTTTGCAACAAATGTAATATCTTCTGGAATAGGGATGTCATGGTGGCAAAAAAAACGTGTTGTATGTTGTGCAGGTAATTTGAAATGGCAATGGTAAGCCAAAAACCTTCACTCCTCGACCAAGACCAAGCGCAGTAACACAAAGCGCCATAATGAACACGGTTGTTCCTCACTTCTGTGGGCAAACTTAAAAATGGTTACAGGCAAAGAACACTCTAGTTATTTTTACCTTGTCTTGGCTAAATTCCCTTTCTATCCCAAATTTCATTCTTTTGTGTCTCAATTCTCTTTTTTTTTATTTGTCCAAAAAAAAACACACACAAACCAACATCGTCTCAATCTCAAGTAAAAGCACCGCAGCTATGTAGCTAAATTCTCATCCTCATCTTTATGACAAAACCGACAATCCTACGTGGAAGAGGATTCTATCTAACCGGACTAATTAATTCTGATTACCTGTCCAGATCGGTGCCTTTCTCTAACCCTTCAGGGCAAAAATGACGTGTCCTGAAATTCATACAATATATTCAATTAGTAGCCCTAATTTTATACTTGACAATAAAGAATTAATGATTCGTCATATATGTACTATATCAATAGTCACTTATGGAGAAGACTATGAGTTGTTGTCATTGAGTTGTGACGCAATCTTGTTGGATATTCTACTATTTATTGTTCTTCCTACGCTTATAATATATTTCTCTTTCTTTCACCTATTGTATCCATATTTCCAGAGTTTAAAAGCGCCAGCTGGTAAGTAATCCCTATCCACCCTTTCTTTTTCAAAGCCCAAAAGAAGATATTGATACGAATACCCTGTATCCTTAGAGACCATATAGAGTTATTCTATACCGGCATAAAGTTCTATTTTGTGGTCAGGGAGAATCAAAATGTTGTCTCTCACCAGGAAATATTGTCCTCATAGAATTAGCTCTCGATCACAGTTGTATCAAAGTTAGATTTATAGCTTTGTACGGGCCGAAAGAAACATAATAAGAAGAGAAAAGAAGTGAGGGGAGTCTAGAGCCAGAAACGAGTATTACAAGCAATATAGTGATAACAAAGAGTGCTTCAAAAGAAAGCAACGAGTTGCTCAATACCGTAGTTGAGGAAGTATGTATACCATAATACCTACTTGACTATCTCACTTTAGCTAATGTATCGCTTGTATTTGGATTTGGATTTACGACTTGTCTGTTATAAAAGAACATAATATTTAAAACTTCCAATATCTTGCCGAACACTCGATCTCGCCGCACAAGCTTGTGATACAAGCTGAAGATCTATCGGTTGTCAGATATTACTTTGATATATGCGCAATCAATTGTGAATCGGAAGCATCCGATGAAACCAAAGCTGGATATAAAGCTATGATGCAAGAACAAAACAACTTACAAAGCTTGAAAAACTTAGGATCTGATGCCTTAGATTGGGTTGCAAGAATCATAAATTGGCTCAAAGAAGGATATGTTTAAAGACTAAGGAACAGTCCCTGACCTGCCGTTTTTGAATTCTGTAAAATGTACTATTATTGACTTGCTCTTGAATTGCATGCGTACACACACATATAACCAAAACGATGAAAGAACTGCCTATTGTGAACGGTTTCTTCCTATCTTTAAAGCCTTTGAGAATACAATAAAAGCAAATTGAACCATGTCTGGCAGGTATTATTCAATAATAATACCAAGATAGAAGCTTATTAATAGTAATCTGAATTTTTCTTAGTACATGATTTAGCAATGAAAATCGATTTTCCTACATCTTAAACGATACATTAAAGAATATGAAGACTAGATCATATCACCTGAAGCTCTTTATATTAAAGTACAAATCAACCGCATTTGAGACCAGCAAAAAAAATCCGGCTTTAGACCTGCCATATCATCGAAAATACGATAATGTCAATCCGATACATGATCAAGTCTCCTTCACAGTGGCAGGATGTTAAATACTGCTCTTCATCCATTAATCTTTCTTGTTCAAAAATACGTAGTTATATAAAGGTGTTTGAACTCTTCGCTTTTGTCTTGGTGCGCATTTTGAAGATATAATATTACTTCTATTGGTAATAGTTTAATCCTTTTTAGAATGACATCAATGAACAGGAAAGGAATATTTTCCCAGTTGGAGCTAAAGTTTATGTGATTGGTTAAAGTTCTGACGGGCAAATCTGCCTGCTATTATTATTGTGAGTAGCAAATTCTGGAAAATTATAGACCCCCATATATATGTATGTATATATTCACTTAATATAGAATATTACAGATTTGATTATGTCTATCTAGCCACAGCTATATTTTATTTACTATGGGTTAGTTAAAGTCAATATAATAAAAATATGCTTATCCAAACAACAAACTTTCCTTTATTTTACTACCTATTTAGCTTCTAAAAATTGAAACAATTGACATTTTCAATTCGACTATAGGTTATTTTATTTTTATCTTATCATTATTTCTATTAATTCAAAACTATAAGCTTTTATATATATAAGATTTTGGGTCTGTGTCTTTGACCAATGAATTGGTCTTTGGCCATGTTTCTTATAATCCTAGAAACAATCTATATTTATATAACAATATTATATATAAATAAAAACAAGCTTACACCCCATATACTCCACGTGGCATGTAAGATGTACAGAAATGTTTGTGTCACTAAAGTTATAAGGAGTTCATATCGTACGCCATCGCTAATCTTGTCTTTACGTTCCTATAAAAGAATATCTTGGTGCATAGATACTTTATACCATATGCTAAATGTCGGTAATGGGACTTTATAAAATTAATTTCATTTCTATTTTACTTTGCAACTTTAGATTTCTCGAATGTTTCTTATTAAATGATTTACTGTCATTATCAAAAAAAAGTTAAAGTTATGTATTTATAGATATATGATACACCTCTTTAAGATGACAAGAAGAAACATACTATAAAAAAAAACAAGAGCTCTCCTTCTTTTTATGTAGATCATTTGCTTTTGGTGCCTTACAAACATTATTACACTATTAGAAGTGAGTGGAAATATCGGTAGAGATTTTGGAAAATGTCTAGTGATTTCAAAGTCTTTATCAGAATTTTCATTCATATCCCATAGTAGCTGACTTGTATAATTATGGGTTTAAATATCTATAATTTTATATATAAAAAGACATTCTAGTGATGAGCAGGATTTCCACAATACATAGACATGCATAAGATTTATAAAGTCTATGAGTCATTGTGTATGTTTTCATACTTGACTCTTAAAGATTCAGTTTACCCCTGGCGTGCTCTATTAATTCCTTGAATATTGGCTTGGATTGCTTATTCCGTGTGCATATATTTTTTGTCGTTGGTAACTTGAAAGCAAAAATGCCTTTTTTGATACGCACTATGTCATTGGTTCCCACAAACTGGCTTGTATCCATGGATATTATACAATGATAATATCAAAGTAAAAATTAACAGTAATTTAACATCTACTTACAGCTACTATCGAATTGTAAACCACCGAGAATTTTCTTGTTAATCCTTATTAATATCAATATTGTTTATACAAAACCCATATCACTTTGTTACTTGCATGTTCTTTCTCCTTTTCTTTAATAATAAAATACATATAAAGAGGTTGTACAAATGGCTTTATCTAATATTATATTAGGTTGGTAAAGTAAAAAAGTTCATGATATTTTTATACTGGAGATACGTAACCAGGGTTTCATAAAATGTGTGCCTAATTCTAAATTTAACTTGATGTATTTTTACTTTTATCATTATTGATTTTGTGTGAAGCTATATAAGAAGCTCATTTTTGTATTCTTTCTTTCTTTTGTATCTTTTCTCTTTTACACACCCATACACAACTATACACGCATACACATCTTTTTATTTATTTATATATATATATATATATATAAGTATATATACTACAGATATATACGCACACACATATATATACATATAAAGATATTCTGCATTACACTACACGTTTATGGACACACCAGATATTTTTTTTACCTCTACTTCAACTGCTTATTTACATTCACCAACAACCATCGAGACCCCTTTATTGATTGATCCACAATTTATAGAAGCCACTCTTGATCTACCCTTTGAACATACCCCTTCTTTTGGTTTTCTTAGTTTTTCCCATGCTTATTTTGACCATTCATTTGTCTTTAATCCAGTTATCACCAACAATTTTGAATCCTTGGATGGCCAACTGATTCCGATGACTAACCTCATAACTGGGGTTTCTTCTTCTTTTGAACCATCTGGCATATATTCTGACCTGGATTTAAACCAAAACAACATCAACCTTCAGGAGTTGGCTTACGGCAATCGTATTGAATCAATTGCGTCTACAAGCCCTTCGAATGCACTGTCTATGATCGGTCCACTAGACGAAAGTACAATAATTGCACCAAACCAGAATAATGAAATGACATTCCCTGTTCCACACACCACACCAGATTTTGTACTCTCATCCTCGCCATCTCAAGTAAAATTGCCAGGCCCAGAACCAGCATTAACATGGTCACCTTGCAACTCCAATACAGGTCCTTCTTGTCCACGAATCTCAAATACCCCAAAAATTTCTAACCGGAATTTCGATGGTAAATATGCACTTTATATATTTATCTATAGCGTGAATTTAAAGTCTAATAGACATAAAATACATTAAAAATATTTCCAGCTAAAAAAGACCTAAATTATAATGATTTTTTTAGATATTGAAAAAAGAATAATTCATTATAGTCCCCCCAAAACCACTCCAAAAGGCAACCCAAATTCTCGCAAGGTTAAGAGTAAAAGCTCTTATAAAGTAACTTACGACTGCCCAGAATGCGAATACTGGAGTGATCGAGCGGGCAACATAAAAAGACACGTAGAAAATCATAAACCAAACCACAAAGGGCAAACATGCTCAAAATGCTCAAAATCTTTTAGCAGCGGCTTCAATCTCAAAAGGCATAGGACCTCTAGTAAAGCATGCAACTCTAATAACTTAAAATAAAAAAAAGTATAAAATAAAAAATAATTTTCGCCAGATTCCTCTCGTTTTCTTTTACGAAAAAAATCGAGTGTGTAACAAAGCTTGTTATCCAACTTTGTACTGTATATATATATATATACTACTTTAATGAAAATAGTGGTACAGACCCTGGAAATTTACAGTATACAGTCTCATCAATTAAATGAAAGAAATTTTTAGCTTCCACCAAAGTGAAAAAATAACATCCTTAACTCTCTCTTCATTGTTTGTCTACTTTTACTTAAACCACTTTCAAAATCATTGGAATAAGAATATATAACCTTTAAATATTAAGAAAAATAACTTTTATTGAAAGTTTAATATTTAGTAACATCACCACGGGCTTTCTTCATACGGACTATGCGAGTTGTCATAGACATGCAGTAGGCCTTGCATACTGCAACCGGTATTTTCTTCCATTCTTCATGGATAACCTTGTCTAGCTCCTTAATAGTTCTTGGAGCTGGTACTCTTGCCCTTACCATCCGACCCAAATGAGCCCTTAGGTTCTCAATAGGACTGAGATCTGGGCTATTTGGCGGCCATTTTATTATTGGTACATTATGGGTCTTTTTCCAGTTCTCAACAAGTTTTGACTTATGACAAGGAGCATTGTCTTCTTGGTAAATAAACTCCCCGTCATGTCTTTCACTTAGGCGACCATAAAATGGGAGCAACTTTCTTTCCAAAAGGTTTATATAGCCAAATTGGTCAAGGCTGTTAATAATCGTTTTTAGTGGGCCTACTCCTCCTGCCCACACACAGCCCCAAACCATCACCGAACCACCTCCAAACTGTACTCTAGGCATGATACAATCAGACTTGAACTTCTCTAGAGGAAAGCGCCAAATTCTAAGGTTTCCATCCTTTGGGAAAACCATAAAGCGAGACTCATCGCTCCAAATCACACGATCCCATCTTTGATTGGTTTCTTTGCAACGTTTAGCAAACAACAATCGTTTCTTTTTATGTGTTCTGGATAGCCTTGGCTTAAACACAGGATGGCAAGAAGACATTCCGATCTTACGAATAGCTTTGCGGATGGTATTCTTGCAAATGTACTTGCCAATCATGAGTCTCATGGCGTTTGTGAGTTCTCCAAGTGTGGCATTACGATCTTTCTTCATTTCGTTTTTAAGCTGGCGTAAATCTCTCTCACCCAAAATTGATGGACGTCCTTGGCGTTTTTCTGTTAATGGCGTGCCATTCTGTTTCCATCTTTGAACTGTGCTATGTACAGTTGTCATGGGTATGCCTGTCTTCTCCGAAATGGCAGTCAATGAAATATTATGGAGAGCACCACCGATAATAAGTCCTTTTTCATAGTCTGAAAGCTCTTTTCGTTTCTTAGGAATACTTTTATTGATTTGCTGAGACATTGTGAGATTTGAATGAGAAGAGTTTTTAAAAAAAGCACAACAACTTTGCATTAAAGATATTCTATTTAGTTGAGTTTAAACTTTTTTCTTTCATTTATTGTATGGGTCTGTATATGAAAAACGTGACTATGAAGGGATGTGATAATGTAGATGATGACGAGGAAAAAATTGAAGAGGAAAATAGTTGGAGAAGAAGAGAGATGAATTAGGGTGGGCGAAGCTAGAGAACACACAACACCCATGTCAATAGTAATGTTCATCGTGTCACATCGTAATGCTCAAACCTATAATAATAATAATGATAAGAAACATTCAGTAAGTACACACCATAATTTTAAAACTTATAATATATAAAGAAAGACTTCTTACACACGGCTTCCATCTATCTCACTACTCTGCACTTTTTACACAGCGCAAATACTCTACTGTCAAAACTTTCTTAGTATTTTTAAATAAAATCACTGTTAAATTATACTCTCATTCTTTTTACAGCTTTTACTTCAATCAAATCGACTCAGTATTCCCCTACCCATATATCTTATTTATCTCAATATATTTACAGAAACAAAAAACTATTGTAGTTTGTATACGTACTGCCTTTAATTACAAAAAATATCTTTTATTTTTTGTTGCTTATTATTTATTTAGATCTAGAATTAATTTTAAGTGAAGTATGCATGTGTGTGCCCAAATAAATTTATGTGTGTCCAAGTAGATTTGTGTGAGCAAATTTTGCCATATGGGTAGATTCTGTCTAGTAGGTAGATTTTGTGTGGCCCTAGGTAGATTTTGTGTGTCCTTATGTAGATTTTTGAATACCAGTCGTAGCACATCAGAGGTGAAATTACTAAAAGAAGGTAATTTAAATAGTTAAAAAAAATAAAGGTCTTTATTTATTGATATCTGTATTGTATTTATACTATTTTTTTGTATGGAGCCAGGGAAAAGCTCAGGATTTTATTAAAGGTCTTTGATTGAATAGGAAAAGAGAAAATTAAAATATTTGTTTGTAAGGTTTTGTAAGTTATAATGTTTTTGGCTTTTAAATTTTATGGTCGTTTTTGTTTTGTTTTTTATACTATTTGTTAATTGTTAATGAATATATAAGTATTAAATTTTAATGTTAAGAATAACTTTTATTGTTCAATACTAAAAATTATAAAATAGCAAACTTTAAAAAAAAAACAGACTTTACAATCAAACACTGGTTTCTTGTTGCTAGTTAATTTAACAAATTAATAATTCTCAAAACTATTACACATCAGACACATGTATACTACAGACTTATGTAATATAAGCTACTCATTATATAGCATGAATTTGAATTAAAATAGATTTTAATAGTACCAGATTAAATATTAGTATTTTATCTTTTTAAAAAAATAACACTCAAAGTATATACTTTTTCTTTAATATTGAGATACCAGCCCAAAATCAATTACATATATCTCAATTACAATGTAGTATAATATTTAAATAAAGTTATAATTAGAATAAGAGGGTCGATTATTTGTTATCAAATAATAATAAAAAATTAAAGATTAATTGAAAAGTTGTAAAAAAAAGCAAAAACAAAATAAAATAAAATAAAATAATTAATTTAAATTTCAAATGCCCAATCTTTTTTGTAGATTGCAGAGCATTTTTGGATCTCAGCTGTTTTAAGAATTTTTTAGTGCTCAAAAACACCTAGGAGCGTAGCAATTTTGTGAGGCTAGAAAAATCCCTCCACAAAAAAAAATGCGGCGGTGTTTCAATATATTGTTTCTCCTAATGTCGTATAATCAAAAAAACAAAATTTCCTCACTTCGTAGTTGGAATCTTACTTTAGAAAAAAATCGTACTAAACTGTCTATTTTTTAAATGCTACAAATAAAGTAGCAAAAGTAGCAAAAAAAATGTCGGCAAGTGAAAATTAAATAATTGGATTTCACATATAATATTGCACTTTGATTGAGTATATATGTTTTTTTTTTAAAAAAAATTAAAAAATAAATAAATAACTATATTCTTTTAATTTTTTTGTCATATATAATGTAGAGAGTTAGTTAATAATTTAATAAGTGTAAAAAATATAATAATATGATCTTCACTGCTTTGTTTTTATATATAATGATCAGTGGTTATAAATTAATATTTAATTAATATTTTGAGTGTGTATTTTTTTTTGCCAAATTAGCCTACTTAATTAAATAGAAAACATATTTAAAATTAATGTCTGTTCAACCATTTAATAATAAGTCTTAAATTACTCTAATAACCTAGTACATTTCATGTTTTTATCTCTAACAAATAAAAAAAGAACAAGAAATTAAAGAAAAGCAACAACTTGCTTTATTTATTTTTTGAATACAATGATCGATCCTAAATCACTTGTAAAGATAACATGAATATCTTCTTTGCACAAACTATATAATGATGTGTATCTTAATATATATATATCACTGTATTCAGATCACACAAGTAATAAATTATACTGAATTGAATACTGAAAATTCAGCAAGCTACTTTTATAATAGTGCCCATAAAAGATAATTGCGGTTTATAAACTCAAATAATAATAAATATTTAATAATATTTAATAATCTAATAATTATTCTTAGTATAGTAAGATTATTGAACGTTAATGAATATTTCAATATCCAATAAAGTTTAATAATCATCAAGAGAAGTATTAAGAAAAGATTATTTTGAATTTATTTATTTTTTGTTTGTTAGTTGATTGATTCGAAGCCTTAATATTATTTTCTTTTTGAAAATAAATTTAAAAAAATTAGCACTATTCTGTGAAAAATTCAGTGGAATTTGGGAATAGCAATATATTTGTGGTATACACACCACAATCGAGTGAAGAGCAGACCTCACAACCAAACACTGGTTCCTTCTTTCTAATGAATCTGGCAAGCTACCACTATTCGGAATTGTTACACACCAAGCACACGTACACTACACACCCATACAGTGTAAACCAACCATTATGCTACAGGGACTTGAATTACAGGGATTTTAATAGTAACAGATATAAACAATATTATTTTGTCTATTTAATAAATAGTACTTTCACAGTATCTAATTTTTTTATTATTGAGATACTAACCTAATAACAATCCCGAATAGTTCACCATGTTTTGGAAATTGCGTTCCTGGAACGCAGCACCCTCGCCCTCCTTGTGCACTATGACTTCAATGACAAGATCGTCCAGCTCTCTACAAACATTGGTGTATCTATAAAGACCAATTTTGATTCTTTGGATCATCGGATTATTACTGATCCAGCACACGCCTATAAACCCGAAGATGAATGCCCACAACTTGCATATAAGCTACACCGCCAACGTCTCCTAGCCCTCTGTCTTCGTCTCCCTCTCCCGTCTGCCTTGTCCAGTATTTGGAAGACCGAAATCTTTTGTCTGGGCTTCCAGGCAGAGCCACTGGCATGGTGATAGGATAAATAAGCTTTCTTATTGTTTTCTTCCCTAGATTTGTCTTGTTCCTTCTTAGTTTTTCTTATTTTAATTTGTTTTATCTATTCTCCATCCCTTATTCAGTTTTATTGATCATGTTTCTGCTTTTTTCTATCTTATTTATTTTGCTGCAGTTCTCTTGTGTAGCCCAAATGCCAAACTGGGCAAGATCTAGAAAAACTCACGATAAAATATTTTCACCTGTCTATATCAAGTATCATTATTTTGGTTGAATTTTCCTTCAAAGAGTTGGATTGTCAAATACAATTCCTTTATTATTCAAGCCATTATACTTAAATTAGCAATTTTCAAGCTAATTTCAAGCCTTTTTTTCCCCTTTTTTATATTATATATGTTTAATCAATGACATTCGTTTCAATATAGAAACAAAAATGTTATCATATTAAATTTCTGTATATCTATTTATCTATTTAGCTGTTTTTACAGCTATTTTTTTTTTATTTTTCTTTAATTTCTGTTTAAATAAATAAAGTACTAGATATTTACTTTGTATCCTTCAGCTCAATATTCTTTATATTTTATAATATATATATATCTAGATGTGTAGCTTTTCTTTAGAAACATTTCCAAGTTTATCAATTGGTTCCTCCTTTTTTTTACTATTTTTATATGATTGGATCGTTTACTCAATAAAATAGGCTGCTCATCCACTCTATAGTAAATATATAATCAGTCTCGTCTAAGAAAAAGCTACTTTGAAATATAATTGAAAGTCACGTGTGCACTCAACTAGGTATTTAAACTGTGAATATAAGAATTTCTGTAAAATCTTGGTTTCTCTTCATCTTCATCTTCTTATTTTACTTGTTCAATTACCCACATAATGACCAATCAAATGTGAGTTTGACCAACTATCTTATATATGCATTATTTTCTTTTTACTATAATGCTTCTTGCGAGCATAAAGACATAAACATAAATACTCACAATATGTACATGTTTGTATATAGAAATGAACTCCCTGATAGATATCATTGGATCCCTTGGATTTACGAAACAAGAGCTTCAAATAACTTATATACGGGTACTGTCGGTCAGGATATGCAGAATAGTAATGTCCGTACTACTATAAAGTACTCGTGTAAATCCTGCCAGTTCTGGTCCTATCGCAAATCACATCTTACAAGGCACACTTTAACACATCAACTAAAATGCCCCCTTTGTGAGAAGAAGCTTTCAAACAGCTTTAATCTCGAAAGACATAAGAGAATTTTCCATATGATCCCCACAAATAATGATGTACCCAACGTATGATACTACATCATTACTTCTCTTTCTCTCTCTCTCTCTCTCTTTATTCCTTTAACATTTAATGTCATTGCGTTTATCCCCCACTAAATTCATATATACAAATGTGCCTGTGTGTGTTTTTATATAATTTGATCATATTTTTGAAAAGCTAATTATTTAATTACCAATTGTGTGATTTGTTATTCAGAAAGTTGTGTAAATAAATGATATTACTAATAGTAAAGGATACTGCTGTACTGTCTACAAATAAATATATTTAGCGCAAGATGTGTACTTGCTTAATAGAAATAGAAACTCATAAAGCGCATATAGATCCAGATGTATGATTTTATTTGCTTAAAAAAATACATTTGTGTGCGTTTATAAAAGTCTCCAGAAATAATTATGATGGTAATATTAGTAATAGACATATATTACTGTATGATATCTTTCTTTTCACTATCAGTTCAATAATGGTGCAATCGTATACCTTTACCTTTACCATCATCATTTTTCTATTTCAAAAGGATGAATCAAGTTAGGGTGCAATGGCGTATCATATTTTCTCTCTCTCTCTCTGTCATCTATATATATATATATATACTTTAAAAATTAAAAAGCAGTAGTTTTTATTAAGAAAAGACAAGCCGTCGATCTAAATTGATAGATAGAACTCTTGTTCAAAATACTATATTTGAGCCATTAAATAAAAAGAAATAATAGTAATCAAGACTCTTAACTACCCTTTCAATTGAATGATATTTACTAAAAACAAGATACCGCATTATAATTATGTAGTTTGATTTCGATAAAGCATAAGTTAGCATGAAGGACTTTGGGTCCAGTAACTCCTTTGCCCATTTCCATTGTGGCCATTTTGCAGATTTGCTCTATGGGACTGCGAATAAAAGTGCTTAAAAATATTATTAAATCGAGCTTTGACTGTATTACTCAAGTACTGACACAGTGTGTGTTCTTTTGGTTTCGCTCAGACCACAAATATCCTGCAAAGAAGTATGACGCTCTTTGCAGGTTTTCCTTCAATCCCCTTGCACAAGGTATACCCTTATGCATTGTATTTCATCATTGGTACTGCTTTAATAGAGCTTTATGACAAAGTAGTATAGATTGTTCACATATAAAAGTCTTCAGATGAAGCAATAATAAAACAAAATCCTTATCTATCTTTATTTTATTGATCAAATCCCTTATTTACTTTTGTCTATACATTTATTTCATCGTCACTGACTTATAACAACTCTTCGCGATAGTTATAAGCATACTTCTTGATATATTTGTCCTTTCTATACGCATTTTATTACATCTCTTTACTGTTGGATAGACCCGAGCTTTATCACAGTAATTCATCTCTATCTCTCTATATATTTGCCTTCTGAACTCGTTGGCAACTATAGTTTAATTTATTATTTTTCTGACAAAGTTGCACCACACCAACTCAACACTTGTCACTAGGAATAAAGGAAGAGAAGTGAAAAAAAAAAGATATGAAATACATAGATACATAGATACATAAAATTACTATTGAGGTTGATCTATTTTACATTTCTTAGTACAAAGCATATGTCTTTTGAGATTGAATTTGGTACTAAAGCGATTTTTGCATACAGGACATTTGTGCTTTTTCCAATTGGGAAGGTGTTTCAAAAAGTGCCTATCTACGTTACTTTTACGATCACTCCAATAGCCGCATTCTTTACAAATATAACGCTTAGAATAAGTATTCATCTTTGTAGTCTTGCGAGAATTTGGATCATGTAATAAAGTAGGAGACGGAAAGACATTGTATTGTATAATTTGAAGCTTGACATCTACACAACATGGTATTTATATATATATGCATCGATTAAACTTGGAGTCCAAGAAAAGAAGAAGAAAAATATTGTATGTGTGCTTACCACTGGTATTTTGTTTCTGATTGCAATTATGATTGATGTTATTGTTGTTGCTTGACTGTAAGTTTTCTGGAATAATGGGCGGCTGTTGCGGATAAGGAATTGGATCAATTCTTGGAGGAAAGGAGTATGTTGTATTATACAATAAGGGTAATGTTATACTCTGCCCTTGACTTGTGAAAAGCATAGGCAAATTCCAGAAAGGAGAGCTGGTAGAAAGACTGTATGGAGGAGCTTGAACTCCAATTGGTGCAATATGGCTGGACAAAGGTTCCACTTGAGTGTTGATGACATTTGTATCTGTGCTGAGATAGTGTCCCATGCTGAATGTGTTGTAGAGAGTAATTTGTTCAATGTCTTGTTCAATTGGAGTAGATTCACTTTCAAGCAGACCAAGGTATCCAGAATTGAGGTGGTTGAATGCGGAAGATGGCTGAGTGTTGTTAAGCGCCAAAGAGCCAATATTGTTGACAGTTTGGGGCTGCAGGGAAAAACTGCAGAAAGTATTATCTTCTAAGAAGGAGTAGGTGGCAGGAGATGCATTGATAGAAGACATTGCTTTACAGAGAGTTGTTGTATAGTAGGGCAGAATGTGGAAATATAATTATGCTTGTGAGAGCAAGAATAAAAATGAAAATGAAGCTTTTTTATACTTGCAGATATTCGAAAAATACAGCTGAATAGGCTTCTCATGCCGTACTTGCATTATCTTTTTTGTCTGTCTCTGTGTGCGTTTGGTAACACTATCTAGATTTTCGTATTGTGAACACGACCCAAATTCTAAATATTTTAGATCTTAAGTATCATATCTAATCAAATTTATGGGAGTATAAAAATGAAATTATGTATGAAGGGGTACAGGACAAGTCCACGTTATGGACATGTTGACGCCACTCTGTATTTATCTCCTATTTAAACATGGCCCGAATAATCTATTATTTCTTTTTGTATCAAAATTGTTCCTTTTATATCTTCATACTATAATATATTCTCGACTTTTGTGAAAGTCAAAAAAAAAGTTAAAAAAAAAGGTCAAAAAAAAAAGGTCGAAAAAAAGGTCGAAAAAAAAATTGTTTGTATGGAGCTGTGACAGGCTCAGATTTATTAAAGTTCTCTGAATGAGTAAGGCAAAAGAGAAAATTACAACATTTGTTTTGAGGGTTTATGGGGGTTATTTGATGTTTTTGGCTTTTTGGTTTTTGACTTGTTTTTGTGTGATTTAAACTTTTTTTTTGTTAAAATGTTAATGTGGTGTTATGCGAGGGAAGAGTCAGCGGAGTCAAGCTCGAGCTTTGAGCAGAGGCGGGAGATTGATTTCCTAGCAGTGGCAAGAACCAAGGAAGGTAAAAAAGGAGCAGAATTAAAGTGGAGTGCCCAATTGTGGTCCCAGATAGCAAGGATGGTCAGTCCGAAAACCGAGGCGGCTGGAATACTGGGGTTCAGCGTGGGAGGGAAGAGAAAGGATGTGAATGCCGAGGAAAGTGCAGAAGGTGGTGGGACTGTGCCGAAAAATTCTAACCAAATGCCTAGGTCGAAAAAAAAGTCAAGAAAAAAAAGAGATAGAAAAATAGACCGCTTTTTTTTTTTTTTTTTTTTGATTTTTGTAGGGAGAAAAATAGACCGCAAAAAGAGATAGAAAAATAGACCGCAAAAAGAAAAAAAAATAAGAATTTTTTTCCGAGATGTTATTGGTTCGATCTTGAGATGTTTTTCTTATTTTGGTTGTGCAAAAAGAAAAAGAAAGAAAATGTCAAACTATTATAAATATGTAAATCGAGATCTTTATGTATTTGGATTTGTGGTTGGATCAGCAGCCGATTCAAGGGAACAGAGTCTAAAATACCATATATCATGATATTACACCTTTGTTTGAAGGATCAGCAGAATTTGTATCACAGTTCTTTCTATTTCCAGTATATCGATCTTATAAAAAAAAACAGAACAAAATCAGGATCCTAAAGGGGGCAATATATATATATTATATATTTAAAATAATAGACCTGCCTGTGCACTGTCTATACCACAATATGGCGCAAGATTCATTTTATTTTATTTTTAATTTCTGTTTCGATGTCTGTTTGGATAAAAGTAATAAAAGTCACACACACACACACATATATATACACTCGAGTGTAATAGGTCATTGGGCGGTCTTCTAATTTTCAAAATTATTTTTCAAGCATATTATGGACGATATTTTCTTTTCAATAATGTTGATAATAAAATGTGCTCAGAATAAAGCAAAACTTAGAGAAAACATAGTTTATTATATATATATTTAAGAGAAAAGGTATGAGCTCTGGTAATGAGTTGTGTCACCACCTCTCTCGATTACTTCTTTAAGCCTATCTGGCATGCTGGCTACCAAAGTTTCCAGAACTTGAAGTAGTATCTCCAGCCATGCCTTGTGTATCACTGCTTCAAGTTCTTCTAAGCTCATTACTTTTTCTCTATCTTTACAAAGTTTCTTCGGAATATGTGCCCAAACATGCTAGATAGGATTAAGATCTGGGCTCTGGGCAGGCCAAAAATCAAAGCTATCTATTAGACACCTCTCTTTTTTATACCATGTGGCATAAGCGCCCGTGTGGCATGGTGCACCATCCTCTTGGAACAAAAACTGTTTGTTATTATTCCTGGACAGTTCCTCGTACCAGGGAAGAAAGTACTGAGCCAAACAGTCGATGTACTTGTCTTGATCGATGTTTCCTTTCAATGTTACCAAGGGGCCAAGACCCCCACCCCAGAAACAACCCCAAATCATGACGGAACCCTTACCAAACTTGTATGTTTGGACAATATGGTTCTTGTCAAACCTCTCGCCAGTCTTTCTGATGACTCTGACTCTTCCATCATTGCCAACTACCATGAATCTGGACTCGTCTGACCAGACAACTGACTTCCACTGCTCAACAGTCCAATTCACTTTGTCAAGGCACCATTTCAGCCTGTTTTCCTTCTGTTTCTCGGTCAACCCTGGCTTGCGAGCTGCTGAGTGAGAACTAAAGCCAAGAAGTTCCATGTTCTTACGGAATGTAGTCATGCAGATGGAGATTCCCACATCGACTAATCTCTGATGCTGAGCCGCAATTGACACGAATGGCTCACTACGAAATGAGCGCACCATCGCAGATTGTGTTCTCTTTGTAACCTTTGGTTCTCTTCCTAGACGTGTCAAGGGCTTGGAAACACCTTTATCTCTGAAGGCTTTCACTACATTTCCAACAGTGCTCTTCGGAATGTCAAGGGCTTTAGAGATTTCTCCATATGTAGCGTCCTTCTCCCATTGACCTATAATTCGGCCCCTAATGAACGCATCTAACTCTTGTCTTTTGGGTTTTGTGATGCTAGAAGTTGGTGGAGTCATTTTGTGCTTTTGTTTTATTTGTTTAAGAGTTTTTAGTGGTTTTACAAAGAAAAGAATATTTTGATAATGCATAAAAAAAATCAAAAAATCAAAAAATCTGTGACCGTCTAATGACCTATTACACTCGAGTGTATATATAGATATAGATATATTCTTTAATGTACCTTATTGGCTGAATAATACATATGCTTATATTATAATTCGTTAATTATTAAGCTCATCCTCTCCTTTTTTTTGTATTCTATGTAAAGCTTATAGTATTAGAAAGCGTTAAGAAAAGGGTGGGTCGGGGTGGGTTTTGTCAAGAATTTAAACAGTAAAAATCAGTATTTTATAAACCGAGAATAATAGGGGATTTCAACAACCATTCAAGCTTTTAAACTTAAGCTTTTGAGTTTAAATTTGAGAAATGATTGGCTGGAATCAATCTCTAACCATTAAGAAAGAAAGAAAGATTAAAACTTGAACAAAAATCGTTCAAGAGTTTTACACTTTTAATACATCCTTGTTTAAATTTGATTTATTTAATTTTTTGGAAATTTAATAAATCCTTGATAGAAATACTTTTGCTTCTTTCAATACTACTTTAAACTTATATAATATTATTACAATGTCTAATATAACTGAAAGAAGCATCTAGGGTACTCAAAAACACTTGGCAACTATTGCGTATTATTGGTTACTGCTTTAAAACTCAAAGCTTAAGTTTAAAAGCTTAAAGGACTGTTGAAACCCCCCAATATCAAAGAAAAAAAAACCGATATTAAAATTGAAACCAAGATTGAAATCGAATTTAGTGATTTTCTGTTTCTTATTTATGCATAATTTTTCTTGATATCAGAAAACTCGATTTTTCTTTTTATGTAAATTTATCTATATATGCATTGCTCTATATAATATAAGGTAATTTGGCAGAATGAGTTTGACATTCAAAATGCATAGAGATGCATAAAATTTGTCAGGTCAATGTGAATCGCTTTTCCCTTGCCCTTGCCCTTGCCCTTGTCATCGTCTTCTCTTGCTTTTAGCATCAAAGATGTATTAGAATACAGTACAATTGACACATTAGAGGAGAAAAAATTGGTGTGTGACAAGATAAACAAATATAAGAATGAACTCCTCCCCCCCATTTTTGTTTTAACTGCCAAATATAAAGGCACAAATGTAACATGGTTTGTTTAATATTAAAAATAGAAGCGGATCAAGGCATTGAGTCTTTAAACATAAAATAACAATTGATGATAATGATTATGGCTATATGTCTCTGTACTCACGGGAAAGATACGAAAAATACGGCTTTGAAATCCCAAGAGAAATAAAAAAAAACAGACCAAAAGCCAACTATTGTGCTTCATATAGATATTTTGTATCCCCTTTTTTATCTATCCGAATTCAGAAGTCTAAATCGAGTGGAGTGCAACATGAAATAACTGCAACAGAATGAAACATAGAACTCTAAATAATATTACGTATTTAGTAATAAGGCTTAGAATAGCAAAGAGAAGAATAGAAGAAAAAACTCTTTCGTAGAACGGAACCCATTCTCCCAATTATTCAACACCTTTTCTCTCTCTCTTATATATATATATATATATAAGGAGAGTGATTTAATATAATAAGACCAAGAAAATATATTTGTCCTTTGCGAAAACGAGCTAAAAGAATTATTTTTTGGCATTATTTGTATAATTAAAGAGACAACACTGTAAAGAGCCATATGCAGAGACAAAATGAAAGTTTGTGAGTGCATAAGATTTTTTTCTTGCCTTTGTCTTCGGGTGAAATATCCCGTAATTCAATCGTTTTTTTGTCTTTTTTTAAACGACGCAACACAAGAATAAATATAGAAATAACTAAAAAAAAAAAGGAATAAAGGAAGAAAGAGCAAAATAGAGCAAAAGACGGAAAAAATAAAGAGTAGACAGATGCGAATACTCTGAGCATAAACGATAGAAATAATTCTTCATTATATAGAGAAGCTAGAAATAATTTCAAGAAAACACTAACTTGACTACTACAACAATTATGTCTGCGTTGAAGTGCATTCCCAATTAATGCTTATTTATGATGAAATGTTTAGTAAAAAGGTTACATTGTTTATTCCTGTGGCGTCTGTAACACAATTTTATATATGGAATATTTTAAAGTCTGAATTTTCGTGTCCAAGCCATTGTAACCCAAGTCCATGCAAATACTTACAAAACAGACACACTTACAATCCAAGATTATATATATATATATATATATACTAAAAAAAAGGTATAAATATCTTGGATATTTCCTTGATTCACTATAAACTCTCTTCTTTACCAAATACTGCATTTATTTTTCTATATTACACATACATATTCACTTTTTCATATTTTTAAATGTCTTCAACTGAGGTACCTTGTCAGTGTACTAAAGACACCCTAAAGTATGATTCAATGATCCTTAATGCATGGTATCAAGTCCATCTGGAGAACCTTTGTAACAACAACAATGACAATATATCAAGCATTACACACATAAACATGGTAAGGTCTTTTATACTTCTTGTCTTTAACAAATTTACAGGAACATTTGTTCTTAAGCTGCCAAAAAACCCCAAAAAAAAACAACAACAACAACTTGAATCGCGTCTGTCAATAGCAACCAAGTCTGCCAGCTATTGGTGTGGCTGGGGACCCTTTTCTAAGCACCCACTTTTCGGCATCTATCCAGAGCCTATTTCCATGTCGTAATTTGGAACCCTCAAATATCGGCGTAACTGAAGACCATCTTCTAAGAAGTAGCTTTTCTACATGCATGTGTGGGTTATCTCCTTTCATTACTACGAGACCATCAGTCTTGGCACCATCTCAGATTCCGTCCACAGTTTCCAGCCACACTTTTAATAATAGCTACAACCAACAACAACAACAACAACAACAACAGTATCAACCGCAGCAACAGCAGAATCAATATCAAATCCAACAAAGCAAGAAAAATATTATTTCTGCTGATCAAGAAACTCTTGTTGCCTCGAGTCAGTCTCATACCCCGCATATGGTCCCGTACCAAAAGAGACACGTTAAACCAACCAAAAGAATGTCTTTACCCAATTTTCCTTTAGCCAGCGGTATAAGTAACATAGAACACCATTCCTGGAAATTTATCAATTTCAACCCTAGCACCTTCCACAAATGGGATCACAAAAGTAAGTTGTTTTCTTTTCCTCGTTTTTTGTTTTAACATTTAGCTTTTGGATTTAATTTTACCCAAAAGAAAACAAAAGTTAAATATAATTCATATATAAATTAACACCTTTTGTATTGTAATCTAATCTACAAATTACAACACTTATCAAAAAAGAAGATGTCAAGAATCAAGTGATACCATCACAACTGCCGCAGCAAAAGCATCAGTCATATCAACCATGGCAACCACACCAGCCACACCAGCCATACCAACCATGGCAACCACGGCAACCGCACCAACCACAGGCTGATAGTCAGTCGTGTTTTGGGAATGAATATATAGTTGGACTACAGGAAAGGGAAGTGAATGACCAACGAATTAGGTACAGATGTGAGGAGTGTTCGTTTGGTAGCTACTATAATAGGAATGTGAAAAGACACAAGGTTGTCCATATGCCATATCGTGAGAATAAGAAGTGTCCCGAGTGTAATAAGTCGCTTGCCAATCCCTACAACCTTCAAAGGCACATTTCTACTGTTCATATTGCTACAAAAAAACAAGCATCTTCTTGACAGATGCTATTTATGATCATCACTTACCACAACCACTCAGTATTGTTATCATTGTTATTAATTACTTTCTTTATCCTTATGATTACGCTCTTTTTAAAACCAACAAAATATGTGAATAAATATATGAAAACTATGAAAATATTTCTCACTTGTTCCTGTCCTTATTTTTTATTTTTATTTTATTGAATAATTCAAATTTGTTTCAAATATTCGAATATTTGAATATATATATTATATACTCACACGTCAAAACCGAATAGTTGGTAAAACATTTACTGGATTACAGAATCGAGCTTGTATTTTATTTATTTATATAATAAGAATTAGAATATTGTAAATATGATTCAGTGTGACTACAACATTGAATAAAATAAAAAATAAAAAAAATCCAGGGATTTCTCATTTAATTTATTTATTTATTTATTTATTTTTGTAAAATAACAATAAGGGGTGCCCAATTTAAGATATTTTTTTTTTAAAGAAAAAAGAATGATCAATTTACTTAATTCTAATTATTTATATTACTAATACGATAATGTAATATAAATGAAAATTGAAACGTCTCATTTTTTTTATTTTTTTGAAACGATGAAAATATTTTTCTTTTGTATTTTTTTTTGTTATGAACTTATTAAATATCTATTATACATATAGGTGAGGGATATAGGTTCGCAATTATATACATATCCTGAAGCAAAGACAAAAAAACATATAATAAACAAAGACGATGATTATGACAAAAACAAAACATAAGGTAGAATTTTTGTAATATTCTTTATTTTTGTATTTTTTTATTGATATTAAAATGGCAGCCAAGTCCCTCATTTCTTTTGAAGAGAGAAACGACACCAGATAACGTCAGTTAAGTTGCAAGTAAACTTGACTTATGCCTCCTCCTAGAAGAAATTCAAAAAAAATAGATTAATACACGATTTCATTATACAGAAAATAACCCCATATTTTTACTAAACACAAGCTCTGCTTTATTTTTTTTTAATCTGTTTCTTACCTTCTGGAAGACGTAGGTCAAGTGGCACTTGCCACAGTACTGACGGTCAGTGTGCCAGGCCATGAAGACACCAGCACCGCAGGTAGCGCTGGGGCACTCGCGACGGAGACGGGTGATCTTGCCAGACTGGTCAACCTTGTAGAACTTGAGGATGGCCATCTTGACCTTCTTTCTCTTGTGCTTGATCTTCTTGGGAGTAGTGTAGGTCTTCTTCTTTCTCTTCTTGGCACCACCCAACAATTCGCAGTTGAGGTGGATGGTAGAGTTATCCTGGATACCGTAGAGCTCGAGAGCCTGGGAGTCCTGGAGAGACTTACCGGCGAAGGAAAGGCACTGGAAACCAGCATCGATACCTATTTTTTTTTTTAAAAAAAAAGGGAAAATTATTATTAAAAAAATGGTTTAATAATTGATAATTTTAAAAAGATAAAGTGATATTAAGAAAGTTACATATATATTTATGTAATTTGGTTTTTATTTTATCGTTGTCGTTATTGCTACCAAATAAGATAAAGGTACATAAGTGTGTGCGTATTTACCTTCACGGGCGGCAATCATAGCCTTGACGTTCTCAACAGAGGTGGCGGGGGTGGCCTCGAGGGCGAGGGTGTTGCCCGCAAGGGACTTGACGAAAAGCTGCATGTTGGAGGAAAAGAGGAGGAAACAATCGATCTGCCAGTCCACAAACGCTTGTTATTCTTTGCGCGAATCTCCAATCGAAAAAAAAAATGTTGGATAAAATTAAACGTGATTGGCTGGATTTAAAGCAAGTCACACTTCCCGACCCGAAGGCTTAGTTCAGAAAGAAACATTATGTGACATAGAGTTGGAAAGTGGTAGTGGTGGCGATAATGGTGGTAGCCGTAGTGAGGGAGGGTCACAGATTTTTATTTTATTTTTATTTTTTTAGTGCAGGATGAGAAATAAGAGAGGAAGCGGAGAAAGATGGAGAGAGAGAGAGAGAAGGAGAGAGAAAAAGGAACACACGGGCTTGTTTTATCCGTTCAAAATAGCATAAAAAAATACTATCTGTATATACGCATACACACATACATACATAATTGGGAATACTAAAGCTATGGACCAAAAAGCCGAATTTGTATCAAAATTATTTGAATGTGATGAGTTAGATCTAGACGATGAGCTTGAATTGGTATGTTAAACCTATTCTTTCTTCCTTATTCTGTTTTTTTTGTTGTCTTAATACAGTGACGAATGAGTACATGTACACCAAAAAAATCCAGAGACTAAATACAACATTACGTTTGGATTTAAACATTAGGAACTTTCCAGACTTTACGCGCTTCAATGCGAAGCAACTCGCGAGATGTCTGAAATTGAACTTCACAATTACTTGCAGGACCAGGCAAGTCAGGCCATATCATATATATATATATTTAACGTGAGGATTGTTTATTAGGCTTCACGTAGTAAAAAGGGCTATGCAGATAATGTATCTGCTCTTCTTTATGGAATCATTACTGAACCAGAAAAGGCACAGACAGTAAGACGACATTGATAAATACATAGTTATACATATACATACATAAGGATTTAGTGAATATCATTTTTTTTGAAATAATGATAAGAGAATAAGAAAGAAAAGAAAGGATAAAGAGAAAAAGGCGATCAGATTTATCGAGTAACTTAACCATACAGTTCCTATGCCACTCTTGTCTCTATCTCTATCTCTTCTTTCTATATATTCATGCGCATATATTTGTGTAATTTGTGTGTATTTGTGTATGCCTTAATCCACCTAATCCATTTTTATTTATATTTACCTATTACTTGAAAACTACACACTATACACTATACGCAACACACAAAAGCATTTCCAATGTCTTAGTTTTATCAACCGAGACAACTTCTCGGTCGCCTTGAACAGATTACATATCTGGGTGAACTCGATACGATTTCCACAAATGAAGCTTCCTGCTAGGGATCAGGTAGCTTCCTAAATAAGATATGAACACAAACCCGTTGTGGTTCTTCCAAGATAATAATTATTGATCTCTCAATACCTCTTTATATATACATATACACACACACAATGTATTTGTTTTATTTCTGTTTGTTGTAGATACTTTGGTTTATTGGAGAATTAACCAACCTCAATGTCCAGACAATTGACTCGATATACTTGTGTCTTTTGCGCCAAATTCGAGGCGGTGATACGAGCCAGTCAAATGTTATGCTGTGTGATCAAATGCTGAGACTATGCGACCTTCACAAATCTCAATTGGATGCTTATCCCCGAGTGATCGCCACAGCAGCCTACACCTTTTTGAGAACCTTGACTGACCATCGACCATCTCAGCTAGTAGCATTGCAACAAAGAGAGATTCGATTCGTAGTTAGTTTACTTAGAGAAAAGGTAGGTTATATATATATATATATATATATATATATATATATATAGTATGCTATTACTACCATTATTGCCTTGGATCATCATTCACATTTGAATAATTAATTGATCATTTTATTTATACATTTGGATTGTCTTGACTTGGCTTGACTATATCCCGCATATTTTTTTTTGTATATGTTCTTTTGTAATGTTTAGTGGGCAGCATGTTCAACAATCGGAAGAGACTTGGTGCGTGTACTTCATGATGTAGCAAATATTCCTGCAATTGGACTTTTGTGGGACGATATTTTAAACAATCCACAAAAACTCTCGCCTCGATTCAAAGGTAATTTCTTCTTCATCATCTTCTTCTTCTTCTAGAAGGATCACAATTTATTTTAATATCAAAAAAGGAAATATTATATATTTATATGTTTGTGCATCTATATATCCATATTAAAACAAACACATAAAGGTATCGAGTCACTTCTTATGACACCTACACCAAAAGAGTTTCTTCGTTCTCGTTTGGCCCCTGACATGGAAACCAAGTTACTTTATATCCTGCAGAATGTCAGTCACAGAACTCTTGGGTCGAATTTGATTAAAAGAATCTAAAACAATTTTTTTTTGATAGCTTCGACTTGGGTTACATCAGCGTAATCTTAACTGGTTCTTGCAACGTTACCTATCCACTCCAGAAAGCGAACCATTTTATGCCGACGTTATCCGTTATATTGTCGCTGGGTGGTATCCAAGCAACCAGATTCTGCAAACAGATATTGTTCCTCGTTATGTGATCATAGGAAGTATGATTAGGGCAATCAAGGTGAATAAAACAATAGTAACCATAGTAACTAAACAACAACAACAAAAAACTTAAATCCAAGACACGAATATATATTTATTTATTTATTTATTTATTTACATATTAATAGAGCACAACTGTTTCTGCAAATGTCAAGTTGGCGTTGATCTATGACTGGTTATTTTTTAAACCTACAGACAATATCATGTTTATTGGTAATATTATGTTTGAAACAAAATACCAATATAAATATATCGATAGACTGATACGTTCTCATTAATCATAGAGCCTGCGGTGTTGCTAATGGAGAAGTCTGCAGAAAGATACCCTTATATCACATCAATCATTATGGAGTTTCTTAAATTCTCGGTCGATGAGTATTATCCACCCTTGAAAGAAAAAATGGCGCAAAGTGTAGCATGCAGTATGAAGACAAGTATTTCAAAAGGTGTAATTAGGTGAGCAAAGTTAATTAACTTAAATTAGAAAATAACATCATCAACTCATCAATATTTTTCTTTTCTTTCTTTTTCTTTTTATTTATTTATTTAAATAATAATAATAATAATAATATTAATATTAATAATAAAATAAATAATATTTAAAAAAATAATAATAATAATAAAATTATTATTGTTATCATTTTTCTTTTTTTCTTTCTTTCTCAAAACAGGAGTGTGATGTCTATCTACAAGTGGCCTTCTTTAGACGAAGCCACCCGCGAATACATTCAATCTATGTTTGGAGAGTTCCTGAGACAAGATACTTCAAACGCCAATACATCCATACCATCTGGACCAACCTCTTTAGTAACCCAGTCCTTACTCATGGCAGCCACAGGGCAGCCTAGATCAGAAGGTGGCGAGGAAGGAGAGGAAGGAGAGGAAAATGCTAATGCTCTTAAAGATGATAATGAGAATGATAATAATGCCGGCAGAGATCACGATGGTCGTGATCATGAAGATCAAGATGGTACAGAAGAAAAAGAAGCAACAGACACAAAAAACTCTGAAAAGGCTCAGGATAAACAAGAAGACATAGGTCTAGATGATGATGATGAAGTCGATCGATATCTTTATGGTGATGCAGGTAAATAAGAATAAGACGAAAATACAAAGGGTCACAACTAATGTAATTTATATGAACCAACAATCAAATTGACTTACACAGAAGGAAGCGGATCAGAGCTAACACCTCTTCAAGAAATGGAAATTGAAATGGAAGCAGAAGATGGAACGGCACACAGATCGACATCAGAAGATATAAGTTTACCTATGGTTGAGCCATTCGACACCCCAATGGATGAAGACAAGTTGGTTGCAGATGAAACCGCGGTTTTGGATGGCGATTCATCGGTCACAGATCTTTCATTTAATATCCAACTAAACTCTCAGGGTGGTGGTGGTGACGATGAGGAAGATGACGATAATAGCAAGAGTAGCAAGAGTAGCAACAATAACGAGTATGATTACGACGATGACGACGATGAAGAAGACCCAGAACAGGATATTGAGGATGCAGAGGCCGAGTCTGCGGAAGGAGCACAAGATAACCAGTCTTATTGGATCTTCGGTGACTCCCTGACTCGATTCAAATCCGCTTGTATTAGTACTATTGCTAGTCTTACAGATGGTAAAGATCAAGAATCCAAGGCTCAACTATTGATTGCAAAAAGCAGTCTTCGAGAGATCCTTTCTGTTTTCCTTCGCATGGTAAAGTATCAAAATTAATAGGTTACATACCTACAAAATACTAGCATATCAAAATAGAGGGTACAAAAGTAAGAAAATTAAGAAAGTAATATTCCTAACAATATTTTCTTTTTTATAATTAATTCAATTATATGTATATGTAATATAATGTAATATAATGTAATAGGCTATATCTGCAGAGACATTGGCTCCAAAAATTGCACCTCAGATACGTGCAATTGCTGCTTGTTTTCCGTTGAGAAACCCACAACGTGTCGAAAATGGAATATCCGAAGAGAGTGTGCTGTTAGACCCGACCCAAGATTTATTTGACTTGTTGATGGTCACTTTCTGGTCGTCTCGTACTGTCCCAACTGCACGCGATCGACTATTGAGCTTGATTGCCTGCGTCTCTCACAATTATAAGAAAGGAAAGCGCCATTTGATCGGAATGCGTTGGTGGCACTTTATTTCAAAGTAAGTAACGATCTCGATTAAATGACATTTGATGATATGGTATTTAACTTTGTAAACATTTTCAAATTTTAGACAACTTGAACAGCAAGACTTTTCTACAATGGGTTTGGAAGTAGAGTGGATGCCAGACATTGTTGACTCTTATGAAACATTTGTCACTTATGGATTTGGAGCATTACCCAAAGATTCATCTACTGACAAGGATGACTATTTTAGAAACTATTTATTACAGGATATCAAAGCAAGTGATGAGAGCCTTTTCTTCTTTGGCTTGTTAAATGCAAAGCTAATACATAAAACGATTCTAATTCCCACCCTTTTTGTTTTTTGTTTTTTGTTTTTGTTGAATAGTTATTGGCAAGAAACAATCTTTTGTCTTTCCACGCCATCACCCCCTTTTTGTTCCGCTACAATCCATCCGTGTTGGTTGGAAATGCAGAAATCTTGCAGTTATTGGTTACCATGATGCTTCCGAACCAAGTAAATTATTAGAATCTTAAAGGAGTACAACGCAAGACTGACTAAATACCTTTTTTTTTCTTTGGTTCTTATTGTAGCTTGGAAAACTTACATGTTATCTTCACTATGGAAATATGCGTATGTTTGGTGAAGAATTAAACTCTCTTCTTTTTGGTATGTTTGACAGTATTATACATATATATTTTTGTTTTAAAAAAAAACTAAATAATAATACTTTATTAGCTTCCTCGACTGAATTTGATCCCTACAGTACAATGAGTCTATGGCAACTCTTGTCAGCCGAAATGAGCGGCCGTCAAGATAGAATCGAGAACTTCTTTAGTGCTCCTAATAACATTAACATGCTTCAATCCAACTGTAAGTCCAAAAAAAAAGAGATATTTACCAAAGAAACTTGATACATTTATTCTTTATTTATTTTTCTCTAGTTTGTGATGAGATCCTACCTCCTCTGCTCAACATCGCATCTTCCAGTCGCCCATCATACCGTCTTTTGGAAGCAATCATTCAAATTCCATCCTCTTCTCACTTACCAGACCACCCCTGTTGCCGTTTTGTGATTGCTGTCCTCAATCAATGGGCTACAGTGTGGTTCGAATTATTAAGGCAGGCTATGGGCGAGCTTGTGTCTGCAGTACTTGATGTGATTGAAAGTGAAATGGATGATACAGACGAAGACAGAAACATGGCAGAAAGTATCGGGAGCCAGTGTGTAGTGCTTTTGACAAATTGGTGGATGAAATCTCATCGATCTCAAGCAGCAGGTAAGTAATCATGAATTATGGATTACATATATATTCTTTTCTGTTAGCAGGCACTAAGATCCTATTCCTTTTTTTTGTTTATATTTCCTGTGTACGTGGGAATAGATGACCTCTTGCAAGATCGTGCATTAATTCTGCAAGTGATGCAGCTAGGTGGTTTAGTAGGAAAACCTTGCCCAAAAGAGTGGTCCCATGGTATGTTTAATTAACAAGTCGTAAAGAAGTGCTTTGATATTCTTGTATACAAATAAGACGCAATTATTAATTGTGACTTTATATGCTATGTGTAGTTGATAATAATCGAAAGAAGCGAGGAATCATGGTCGATTCTGATGAATCTGAATAATAGCTAATAACAACAATACAAATAATCATAGTCATAGTCATAATATTAGTAATATACATATAGCAAAACGGGTCCAAAAGAGTATGTAATTGAAAAATAATAATCATAATATTGTTATCATTATCATTCACAAATGATTGGATATAACTATCACAAGTTTACATTTATAATAATCAATTCATCAAAGAAGTATCTAATTAATTAATATGGTGTAATATGAGATAACTATTAATGTTCTTGAATGGTCCTTTTTATTATTATTATTATTATTAAGTCATTGGAATAAATTCAAAGACTTTTGATATCAATCTTCGATTACACCATACAGACCCATACAATAAATGAAAGAAAAAAGTTTAAACTCAACTAAATAGAACATCTTTAATGCAAAGTTGTTGTGCTTTTTTTTAAAAACTCTTCTCATTCAAATCTCACAATGTCTCAGCAAATCAATAAAAGTATTCCTAAGAAACGAAAAGAGCTTTCAGACTATGAAAAAGGACTTATTATCGGTGGTGCTCTCCATAATATTTCATTGACTGCCATTTCGGAGAAGACAGGCATACCCATGACAACTGTACATAGCACAGTTCAAAGTTGGAAACAGAATGGCACGCCATTAACAGAAAAACGCCAAGGACGTCCATCAATTTTGGGTGAGAGAGATTTACGCCAGCTTAAAAACGAAATGAAGAAAGATCGTAATGCCACACTTGGAGAACTCACAAACGCCATGAGACTCATGATTGGCAAGTACATTTGCAAGAATACCATCCGCAAAGCTATTCGTAAGATCGGAATGTCTTCTTGCCATCCTGTGTTTAAGCCAAGGCTATCCAGAACACATAAAAAGAAACGATTGTTGTTTGCTAAACGTTGCAAAGAAACCAATCAAAGATGGGATCGTGTGATTTGGAGCGATGAGTCTCGCTTTATGGTTTTCCCAAAGGATGGAAACCTTAGAATTTGGCGCTTTCCTCTGGAGAAGTTCAAGTCTGATTGTATCATGCCTAGAGTACAGTTTGGAGGTGGTTCGGTGATGGTTTGGGGCTGTGTGTGGGCAGGAGGAGTAGGCCCACTAAAAACGATTATTAACAGCCTTGACCAATTTGGCTATATAAACCTTTTGGAAAGAAAGTTGCTCCCATTTTATGGTCGCCTAAGTAAAAGACATGACGGGGAGTTTATTTACCAAGAAGACAATGCTCCTTGTCATAAGTCAAAACTTGTTGAGAACTGGAAAAAGACCCATAATGTACCAATAATGGAATGACCGCCGAATAGCCCAGATCTCAGTCCTATTGAGAACCTATAGGCTCATTTGGGTCGGATGGTAAGGGCAAGAGTACCAGCTCCAAGAACTATTAAGGAGCTAGACAAGGTTATCCATGAAGAATGGAAGAAAATACCGGTTGCAGTATGCAAGGCCTACTGCATGTCTATGCCAACTCGCATAGCCCGTATGAAGAAAGCCCGTGGTGATGTTACTAAATATTAAACTTTCAATAAAAGTTATTTTTCTTAATATTTAAAGGTTATATATTCTTATTCCAATGATTTTGAAAGTGGTTTCTTAAGTAAAAGTAGACAAACAATGAAGAGAGAGTTAAGGATGTTATTTTTTCACTTTGGCGGAAGCTAAAATTTTCTTTCATTTAATTGATGAGACTGTATATATATAAAAAGAAATTACTCAAGATATTTCAGTTTAAAAAGCTGAGCAGTTTTTTTTTTAAAAAAAATAAACCCTTGGACCTCAAGACTATATTTTCCTCACCGGAGAAACATTTATACATTAGATCCAATAAAAAAAACTTCCATTGGTTACCTCTAAAGAAAAACGCTAATGTTCGTTACACATTTTATAGAGTCTTATATAAGTAAACCTGGGGTCATTAATTATTGCTTTAGATAAGTAAACAAAAAAATAAAATAAGGTATGTATGTAGTTTGTTTGCATATTTTGGTAAAATACAACCTAATAGCCACACCTCTTTACAGTAACTAGATAGCCATGTGGTGTAAGACCAAAAGTTTATTAATTAAGCTTTAATTAGGCTTTCTATATTGGACAACCAAAGTTGTAAAGTGTTTCATGTAAGAAGTCACAAATAAAAAAGTATAATATGCTTGTCCGATGATTATAGAATGTAATTGATTTTCTTTCTCTTTCTCTCTCTCCCTTTTTCAAAATTTCAATGGTATCAATATTACCGCCAAATATCCTATCGTATATCGCAACACATATCAATAAGAAAGACCAGACCTCCTGTTCACTTGTCTGTAAGAGATGGACAGAGCCGTTTCTAAACGCTTATTGGGCCAAACTAGAGATCGATGAAAACAAATTAAGCACCATGTTCGCCACATCCACTCTTAACGAAGTCTACAGGAAGAACGTTCATCGTGTGTGGGCATTGGATCTCAAGCGGATAAATATAAGACATATAGGCTATGTTACACAGTTACAGCAAAGCTTCCCTGGAATAAAATATCTCTTTTGCGACGAAGAGAATCACGAAGATGAAAGCGACAACTGGATGATACGTTCTATTGATTGGATTAGTTGGAGATTTTTAACGCACCTGAGCATAAAATTGACCAGTAAACACTCTGGGCTAGAAGACATCTTTATGAACCTTTCGGTATCTCGCTCCCTTGCTCATTTTACGCTTAATTCAGAAAATAATGTCGAAGAGACCAACACTATGTTATGGACTCAATTTGAATCACTCCACCGCCACATGAGACAGTTAGAGTACCTTGATATCAACTATCCTCTTTCATCGATTTCGAAATATGATTTGGAAATGATAAAAACCATTGAACCGGCACACAAAATTACAAAGATTACTTTTCTTGATGTGAGAATTGATGGTTCTTGGCTATACTATTTTGCATTGAAGTACCCGAACCTACTCAGTCTTAACATGAAGCCGTGCAAAGCTCGCAGACCATTAGTACAAGAGACTTACATAAACAAATACCAGGGACAGTTAATATTGCTGAAAACACTGAATCAGTTTTTTCCTTATTTAAAAATGGTACAGACACCTACGCATACTTGTAACAGATGGCCACTTTATATATTCTACATGACTCTTAATTACTTTAATATAAAGTTAGAGCGTGTTGTATTCGACACTCATGTATACAAGTCACTACTTATGGATAATCTCACTAAGTGTATTAAGCAAGTTTCAGAATCGGTGAAGATTATGTGGGTGACTATAACCGATTATCTGAACGCTAAACCGCGATCTCGCATTATTTTCAATTTATGCCCGAAGCTTGTTGAACTACACATTCTAGAACACCGAAGGATTGAAATGGAACATCTCTTGGATCAATGTCCAGTTTTGAGGTCATTATATATAGAGAATTCCACTACTTACCTCATAAACCCCTCGCGACATATAACAATCCCACACTCGTTACAAAAACTGGAATTCATCAACGTGTCTGTTCCTATACACCTATTCAACTACATATCTCTGCGTTGTAAACAACTTAAATATTTGAAGCTAAAGAGCGTTACATTTCTTATTCCTGAGTGGGACATAAATGGAAAAGCGCTCTTCGATATGCACATGTCGCAGTTGAAGACATTCATAATTTATAATTACAGTTATTGTTTTCAGCATGTCAGACATTATGCCATTGAGCAACTGGAGAATACGGATGGTAATTCACTACAACATCAAGAAAGCCAAGAAATATCATTTCGAACAAACTGGTACCACTTGTGTTTGGATAAAACAAACAGAAAAGAAAGACTTTTGGCGTGGGAGCTTGGAAGACGTGACATAGAGTTTTCCCAAAGATACTACAAAGACTTTGAGCGCAGAAAAAAACGTGAAAAAAAAAGAAAAGACATGATACGACATTGTGGATATGCACCTAAAAGGTTCTGGAAAAGAGATCTTCAATATGGTGTTATGATATTTCGATTCAAGTCTGTCAAAGAGTATTTTCTGGATGAAAAAAGAGAAATCGACAAAGATAAACACATACAGTCTCATCAATTAAATGAAAGAAAATTTTAGCTTCCGCCAAAGTGAAAAAATAACATCCTTAACTCTCTCTTCATTGTTTGTCTACTTTTACTTAAGAAACCACTTTCAAAATCATTGGAATAAGAATATATAACCTTTAAATATTAAGAAAAATAACTTTTATTGAAAGTTTAATATTTAGTAACATCACCACGGGCTTTCTTCATACGGGCTATGCGAGTTGGCATAGACATGCAGTAGGCCTTGCATACTGCAACCGGTATTTTCTTCCATTCTTCATGGATAACCTTGTCTAGCTCCTTAATAGTTCTTGGAGCTGGTACTCTTGCCCTTACCATCCGACCCAAATGAGCCTATAGGTTCTCAATAGGACTGAGATCTGGGCTATTCGGCGGTCATTCCATTATTGGTACATTATGGGTCTTTTTCCAGTTCTCAACAAGTTTTGACTTATGACAAGGAGCATTGTCTTCTTGGTAAATAAACTCCCCGTCATGTCTTTTACTTAGGCGACCATAAAATGGGAGCAACTTTCTTTCCAAAAGGTTTATATAGCCAAATTGGTCAAGGCTGTTAATAATCGTTTTTAGTGGGCCTACTCCTCCTGCCCACACACAGCCCCAAACCATCACCGAACCACCTCCAAACTGTACTCTAGGCATGATACAATCAGACTTGAACTTCTCCAGAGGAAAGCGCCAAATTCTAAGGTTTCCATCCTTTGGGAAAACCATAAAGCGAGACTCATCGCTCCAAATCACACGATCCCATCTTTGATTGGTTTCTTTGCAACGTTTAGCAAACAACAATCGTTTCTTTTTATGTGTTCTGGATAGCCTTGGCTTAAACACAGGATGGCAAGAAGACATTCCGATCTTACGAATAGCTTTGCGGATGGTATTCTTGCAAATGTACTTGCCAATCATGAGTCTCATGGCGTTTGTGAGTTCTCCAAGTGTGGCATTACGATCTTTCTTCATTTCGTTTTTAAGCTGGCGTAAATCTCTCTCACCCAAAATTGATGGACGTCCTTGGCGTTTTTCTGTTAATGGCGTGCCATTCTGTTTCCAACTTTGAACTGTGCTATGTACAGTTGTCATGGGTATGCCTGTCTTCTCCGAAATGGCAGTCAATGAAATATTATGGAGAGCACCACCGATAATAAGTCCTTTTTCATAGTCTGAAAGCTCTTTTCGTTTCTTAGGAATACTTTTATTGATTTGCTGAGACATTGTGAGATTTGAATGAGAAGAGTTTTTAAAAAAAAGCACAACAACTTTGCATTAAAGATGTTCTATTTAGTTGAGTTTAAACTTTTTTCTTTCATTTATTGTATGGGTCTGTAGTTAACAGTGTGGTATACACACCACAATTGAGCAAAGAACAGACTTCACAACCGGACACTAATCCCTTCTTGCTAATGAACCTGCCAAGTTAACAACCGCACGAAATTGTTCTACACCAGGCCCACATACACTACAGACTTATACAGTATAAAATAAACCAATTCGCAACAGGAATTTGAATTACAAGGGATTATAATAGCAACATATATAAGCAATATTGTTTTATCTCTATAATAAATTAGAGTATCAAAGTATTTACTATTCCTAATATTGGGATACTAACCCAAAATCAATCCCGATTACCTCAGGGTCCATTTACAGGGATACTGCTAGCTATACGAATGTTTAAAGACCGTTTAGTATTCACTTGCAATTTTTCAGAGAGGACTGTGTATTCAAAAGCCTTTACTGTGCCGTAACTAAAACAAAAGAAAATCATTTTTTAACGATGGCTTGAATCCTCTCTCTACATCCCCCCATCCTTCCATCCCGTTCGAGGATCTTCATTCCTTCTGGGGATCATCATTCATATAACATGGCAACTCAAAGTAGACAGAAATCGACGCAATACGAAAAGAGAGAATACTCTTTATTTTTTCTTTTTGACGGCTGCCCACGGTATATAGGAGTCGAACAGAAAAATAAACCTTCGTGACCCTATAAACTTCTCAACGCCTTAAAAACCAACACCAATAACTACGATATTCTTTTTTTATTACGCCTAGCAACACCAGCTTTACAACGCTATCAAAATCAACACCAACAACCACAATATCGTTTTCTTTTTTTTTAACCAGTATCAAAACCAGCTTCACAGAGCTATCCAAATTGATACTAACAACCATAATATTCTTTCATTTTATTACCATTGAAAAATAGAAATCGAAATGATAGCCATATAATAAAACTTTAGCACTTGAAAGTCATACACTATATTATTTTATACCTGGAGTGTGATACACCACCATTCCCATAACTGGCTTTCAACTCTTATACACATAATATTTATATGCTTATACTTCCAAGACCTTCTTCAATGACAATTGACCCCATCCCATTAGACATAATATTCAAAGCTTCCAACTTTTGGTATATTTCTAAATAACCTGTTCTAGAGCATACAGGCATCACACAATACAAAGTCTCACCATGGTAATCTTCATCGTGTCACATCGTGATACTCAAAGCTATAATAATAATAATGATAGGAAATATTCAGTAAGTAAACTCCATAATTTTAAAAATTATAGTATACAAAGAAAGCTATTTCTTACACACAGCTTCCGTCTATCTCACTATCCTGCACTCTTTACACAACACAAATACTCTACTGTCAAAACTTTCTTAGTCTTTTTAAATAAAATCACTGTTACATTATACTCTCATTCTTTTTATAGCTTTCACTTCAATCAAATCGACTCAGTATTCCTCTGCCCATATATCTTATTTATCTTAATATATTTACAGAAACAAAAAAGAACTATTGTAGTTTGTATACGTACTGCCTTTAATTACAAAAAATATTTTTTATTTTTTGTTGCTTATTATTTATTTAGATCTAGAATTAATTTTAAGTGAAGTATGTATGTGTGTGCATCTTGCTATCTGGGTAGATTTCTATGTGAGAAAAATATATGTAGAGTTTGTGTGTGCCCAAATAAATTTATGTGTGTCCAAGTGAATTTGTGTGTGTCCAAGTAGATTTGTGTGAGCAAATTTTGCCATATGGGTAGATTCTGTCTAGTAGGTAGATTTTGTGTGGCCCTAGGTAGATTTTGTGTGTCCTTATGTAGATTTTTGAATACCAGTCGTAGCACATCGGAGGTGAAATTACTAAAAGAAGATAATTTGAATAGTTAAAAAAAATAAAGGTCTTCATTTATTGATATCTGTATTGCATTTATACTATTTGTTAATTATTAATGAATATATAAGTATTAAATTTTAATATTGAGAATAACTTTTATTGCTCAATACTGAAATTGTAAAATATTACATTTTTAAAAAACAGACTCTACAACTAAACATTAGTTCCTTCTTGCTAATTAATTTAACAAATTCATAATTCTCAAAACTGTTATACATAAAGTATATGTACACTACAAACTTATATAATATAAGCTACTCATTAAATAGCATGAATTTGAATTGCAATAGACGTTAATAGTATCAGATTAAACATTAATATTTTATCCTTTTAAAAAAATAACACTCTCAAAGTATATACTTTTTTTTTAATATTGAGATACCAGCTCAAAATCAATTACAAATACCTTAATTACGATGTAATATAATATTTAAATAAAGTTATAATTGAAATAAGAGAGTCAATTACTTGTTATCAAATAATAATAAAAAATTAAATATTAATTGAAAAGTTGTAAAAAAAAAGCAAAAACAAAATAGAATAAAATAAAATAAAATAATTAATTTAAATTTCAAATGCCCAATCTTTTTTGTAGATTTCAGGGCATTTTTGGATCTCAGCTGTTTTAAGAATTTTTTAGTGCTCAAAAACACCTAGGAGCGTAGCAATTTTGTGAGGCTAGAAAAATCCCTCCACAAAAAAAAATGCGGCGGTGTTTCAATATATTGTTTCTCCTAATGTCGTATAATCAAAAAAACAAAATTTCCTCACTTCGTAGTTACAATCTTACTTTAGAAAAAAATAGTACTAAACTGTCTATTTTTTAAATGCTACAAATAAAGTAGCAAAAGTAGCAAAAAAAATGTCGGCAAGTGAAAATTAAATAGTTGGATTTCATGTATAATACTGCACTTTGATATATGAGTATATATGTTTTTTTTTTAAAAAAAAAAATTAAAAAATAGATAAATAACTATATTAATTTTTTTGTCTTATATATATAATGTAGAGCTATTTAATAATTTAATAAGAGCAGAAAATCATAATAATATGATCTTCACTGCTTTGTTTTTATTTATAATAAGTGTGGTATACACACCACAATTGAGTGAAGAACAGACCCCACAACCAAACACTGGTTCCTTCTTGCTAATGAACCTGGCAAGTTAACAATCTCTGGAACTGTTACACACCAGGCACACGTACACTACACACTCATACAGTGTAAACCAACCATTACACAACAGGGATTTGAATTACAGGGATTTGAATAGTAGCAGATATAAACAATATTGTTTTGTCTCTTTAATAAATAACACTCTCACAGTCTCTACTTTTCCCATTATTGAGATACTAACCCATAAACAATCCCGAATACCTCACAAACCACAAAAATGGCTATAAAGAACTACCAAAAGTAAGTATTAGCTATAACGTATGAAAATAATAGCCACCTTACGTTTAAAAATCTCACTTTATTTTATTAACGGTTTTTTATTTTATTTTGACTATACGCACTTTCCCAAGACAATGGGTCTATGCTTTTTCTTCTTTTATATGGCCATTCAGCATACATGACATGCTTTTATGAGCCAATAGGAGCTTCATATTACACTTGGGTGTATGTTTACAGGCGTACATAGCAAGGTTTGTTTGCTGCACTCACCTGTTTTTTTAGTCTTTCAAAAAACGTTTAGGCATCTTTACGTGTGTTTTAATAAGCACGTACACATATACACCTATACAATCACAAGAACATATGTGCGACATCTTAATAAGATTATCTAAAGGTAATACAATATTTTTTCTTCACATTTTTAAATACTTTCGCACTAATAGACATATACCAATGCTGAGAAAAGTATTTAAGATAACTAGCAAATGCTAGTATGATTACCAAATAAAAAATACACTTTCTCAGGTCTCATACATCTATAAGAATAATATTGATTATAAAAAAAGACCAATACGCCAACAAATTCCTGCTAAAACGACTAGCTAATAGCTGGAATGTTTACAAAAACACGTTCTTAGGTCTCATTTAGATATAATTATACATGCAATTTAAATGATTAATTTCAATATGCCCCGTTTTACGTTTAAACAATCTACCGACTGTTCATCTAGTAGATATTTATACTCTACTCTTCGCGGTTTCCAGAATCGCCAAGGTTAGTAAAGGTTATAATTAGATAGATATAGACTGAAGCCAATTATTACATAAAAATATGCTTAAGATAATGGCCAGCAAATGGCTAGCATAATCGAAAGCACTTTACACAATTAAATATATACTGTAGTGGATTTTAGTACACAGCGTTTAAGTACATTACTAACTGCTGTTATTTTCTTTAAAGACAGATACTTAAATATACTTGCTTGCTACAAGCAAAAGAGCGATGCTTTTGATGGTTGTTTTAAAGCAATACCAATACGATTGTTTTTCTTTTATAGAATTACTATTTGAATTACCAATTTTTTTCTTGTATTAGACTTTGTTATCACTATCTCTATAGTTTATATGTTACTTTTTGTGTTTATTTTGTTTAATAAATACAACGTAAAGATAATGTTTACTTATTGCTCTATAATTGCTCTTATTAAAAGCAACAGTGTAATATTTATATATGCTTTGGTACCTTGCTAGATGTAAGTTTAGATAATAGAAAAGCAAAATTCTATTGTAAGTCCTTTAAGACACGTAAAAAAGTAAAATCATAAATGAAATATAAATAGTGCGTGTTGTTGAGTAAGTAAATAAGAGGCAAAAAGTAATGTAAAGCAGGATCAACTGTCTATACGAGACTTTTTTTTTAACTTGGCTAAATTATTCTCAATCGACCTTATGGTTATTGCAAAGAGTTATTGTTTGAGTATAATTCTTTATAAGTCAAGTAAACAATGTGTTTTCTAATATATATATATATATATATATATATATATAGTATGTGCTCTCCTAGAGCCTTAATACCTGTTTATTTGATAGTATTATAACATGCAAATAACATAAAGTGAAAATTGGAAATTAAATAAAAAATAAATGCTCTTTTTTTGTGTTTCTAATGTCTATTAAATTATCAAACAATATAGACTTAATTTATATCTAAATAAGCTACAGGTTGCAATTAAAAGGCTGGTTAATCACGGGCTCGATATTCAGAATTGCTTTTCCTGTAAAATGATATAGTTGTATTTTCTATTATTATTATTAAAGCGTTTTATGAGTCAAAATAATCCGAACATCGGGATTTTTTTTGCTGTGTAGTCATGGTTTTTATAAAGTAAATTAAAGAAAAACTAATAAAGAGATTTTATTAGATAACCGAGTCATTTAAAATTCAATCGATTAATATATTCTGGAACAAAATCTTGATTGTTTTTACATGCTGACCATTGAACTTATACTAAAAAAAATACATCAATCTGTGTTGAAAGTGTCGCTACATATATTGTGCATTTAACCTATTAAGTCAGTGTGTACTAAAAATGTAGTCAATCACTAGAATAAGGAGAGAGATATCGTATCATAGATAATATATATTAACAAAGAACATATATTGATAGGAATACTATATTGATGGTACTTTGTTTGAGACATACACAGGTTAAAAACAAGAATACCACATTATTCTTTGTTTCCTCTGTGACTATTTACCTCAATGATAAAAACATATATAAAGAAACTATATATTTTGTCTCATAGACGAAACCCTTTTACTCAACATTATTAATTATGAACTTTCGGAACATCAAAAACTGGGCGAAACGCTATGGAGTAATTGCAGCTGCTAGGGCCTTTTTATCGTCCAGTGTACTTTCAGCTCCTGTATCGTTTTATATTGGATACACTTGTTTAGAATCTCTAAATATTATTTCAGCAATGAATCTTTCACAAAAAGAACAGTCTGTCAAACAGAATCAGCAACTTGAGTCGGAGAGACAGCAAACTATTTCCACGATCCAAGAACAAGCAGAGGCAAATAGAGAGAGCTAAGATTATTGCAGTAGTACCGTCTAGCCTGGATTATGTGATTTTTTTTCAATTTTGTTTTGTTCTTTCTTTAATGACAAGAATATTTACCAATGTAACTTTAAATGACCCAAAAAACCTTATTTCTATTTGACTCATTATGTTCTGTACAAACAGATGTTATGAATATTGTTTTTTTTGTACCAATAACTAGCAGTACTACCTCTTGATCTATGAATAAACAATTTCAATCAATACTATGTGAATAAAGTAAATATGTTTAGGAGTGTAGTTTTTTAATGTGCTTCGGGCTGTGGTTAGATATGTGTTCATTGGCCTACTTTTCCTGTCTCACTCTCTTGTGTTTTAATAATATTCATGTATCTTCACTCTCTGGGTATTAATATTTTATTCGTATACTAATGTACTTTTATCTTTCTCTCTATTCTTTATACTGGGAAGATTCATTTAGGGTTAAACTACAATAATAACAAAGAAAAGAAAAAATATTGAGAATTGAAACATACATATATAAAAGGGAGAAAAAGTAGTGCTTAACCAAAATTCAGCCTTAAAACAATCCTTAAGCCCCATTAAATCTTACTAAAATATCCTAAAGTCGCCCAAAACCTCCCCTTCTTTTTCTACCATAGTGCACCCACAGCGAAAATAATAATAATGACAATTTGTATATATATATATTGGTGTACACGCTAATGTCTGATTTAATCATTTTTGAAGACTATGATACAGAGAATGATAATAAGGATAATAAAGAAATGTATATAAATGAGAGAGCGAGAGATAAAAGGAAAAAAAGAATGAGATGATAACAGATCTACTACAAAAGAAAATAAAAGCAAATGAACTCGATACATCCTTATATATAGTATGTATACGTATAAAAGATTCAATAGAGAGTCAGTTTACATCCCTTGTGAATGCTGATTGTTGTGCTGTTGTGCTTGTTGCGCATGTTGTGTTTGCTGTGCCTGTTGCGCATGCTGTGCATGCTGTGCCTGTTGGTGCTTGGCCTGCATAATCTTTTGCTGGAATTCTAATATTTCTTGTGGTGACAAATTAATCTCACCGATTGGATTTGCTCCCGCAATCCCAAGTCCAATAACACCGTTTGGATTGCTATTGTTGTTATTGTTATTGACATTCATTGCCATATTTGGTGAATTGCCATTTCCAATATTGATATTTGAAAGTAACAAACTGTTTGGATTAAGACCTGCAGGACGAACACCTTATTGTTCACGAATAGGAATAATAATAATTAATTAATCTTAATGTTATTATTATAAATCAATTATTAATAACACTATGCTTAATAAGTTAATATTTACCATTAATACCCTGAGGAACATGGTTGGGTACACCACGATTTGCAGCAGCAGCAGCAGCAGCAGCAGCTGTGGCCATTTGCTGTTTAATCAATTGATTTCTCAGCAATTGGACGCTAGCTTGATTTTGATTGATTCCCATATTCATATTTGCAGGAAGTCCGGGCATATTTGGAGGTGTTCCGGCATTTCGTAAAGGAAGAGATCCGGGTGGTACCATGCCAGGGTTTTGAAGTGTAGGCATCCCGGGAGGAATTGCATTGAGATCTGGGAGGGGTATCCGGGTGAACACAATACCAATCAATTTTCCTGACGAGTGTGTCAAAAGCACACCATGTGGCTGTTCGTTTGGCTTTGTGTTTTGACCAGGATTAAACAGGACAGTAGCAATCTATTTTTTTAAAAATAAATAAATAACAAGTTAGTCATCAAAATGAAAAGAATAGAATAATAATAAAAGTGATTTCAGTAAGCTCTTACGTATTTCTTTTGCTCCAGGTTACGAACCAAGAGCCCAAAGTTCGTTTGGTCTTGTGTACTACTGGTAGGGAGAGCCCTAAATTGACAGAAAGGCAATTTGTTTTCTAATGCCTGGCGTTGGAAAGCCTGAGCTTGAGCAAGAGGAGATCGGCCAGCGATCATAATACGCTGTGGCCACATTTCAGGGCGGCTAAAGATATATGTATATAATAAAAAAAAAAAAGTGAAAGGTCAGATATCAAGTCACAGATATATGTATATTGTTCGCTCTTTATCAAATCTACCATTATTCCTCTCATTATATTACTTATACTTACTATTCTTCAAAGCTAACATTGTTTCCTTTGAGTGTAATAGCATATGCGCCACAGAGACAGCTAAATTCTTGGAAAGTTCCATCAGGCGTTTTGATGTGCCAAACAATATGCCCTGTCCATATTGGCTGTGTCATCGCGCCTGCTTGTTGTCCATTTTGCTGCTGCTGTTGTTGTTGTTGCTGTTGTTGTTGTTGACTTAAGAGATTGGCTTGGTTTTGCATCATTTGAGGTGTGATTCCATTAGGAGGCATTCCATTAGGAGCCATGCCATTAGGAGCCATGCCATTAGGAGCCATGCCATTAGGAACCATACCATTAGGGGCCATGCCATTAGGGGCCATGCCATTAGGAGCCATCACATTAGGGGACATTCCATTAGGTACCATCTCATTCATTACAGGTCGCATACCAGGCTGCTGTTGTGCTGCCTGTTGTTGTTGTTGCTGTTGTTGTTGTTGTAACATCTGCTGTTGTTGTTGTTGTTGTTGTTGTAACATCTGCTGTTGTTGTAACTGCTGTTGTTGTAACTGCTGTTGCAACTGTTGCTGTTGCTGAAGATTCATCTGAGCTGCTGCCATCATAAGTCGTTGTTGTTGTTGTTGGGCTTGTTGCTGCAGTACACTTGTCATTTGAGGATTTTGGGCTCCAATAGCAGTTATTTGTGGGTTCTGTTGCTGGCCTATCATTTGACCTTGCTGATTTAATTCGGGTACAAGAGGGGGTCTGGCCTGCATAGCCGCAGAAAATGACATTGGGGATGATACACCAGAAGCTGGGTTATTTACTGGATTTCCGAGAGGTACAGAGCCATTCGGTTGTTGGGAAAGCTCTGTGCGTCTGATCTGTTCACCCACTTTCTGCATGGCTACGTTAATTGCTTGCAATTGACTTTGGTGAGCAGGAGTCAAAGGATTAATAGCCAAAATTGAGTTTCGTTTTTGTATAAGGTATTGCTGGATCTGATGTGGATTTTGAGCAGGAGCACCTCTTTGTTGTGCCTGTTGTGCCTTCTGTGCCTGCAAGGCCATTATGGCCTGTTGTGCTTGTTGCACCTGCTGCTGTGAATGTAACATCTGCTGTTGTACCTGTTGAGGTGTCAATTGCATGCCCAGCAATCCTTGGTGTTGCTGCATAGGTTGACCCTGGGGTCGCTGCATTTGTATAGGAGAGCCGGTCTGCTCGCGGTTTGGAGAGGGATTCTGGGTATTTGGCATCGATGGTTGGTTTTTAAGTGTTTTGTGTGGAGCGGTTGGTGATGGTTCGACTTTTATGTGATTAATGGGGGAGTTATTCTGCTCGATTTTCGAAGTCGGTACATTGGATATGTGAGCAGCCGTAGTATTAGTTGTAGTTGTATTTGCAATAGTAGCTGTAGTGGTAGTAGCTGCAGCGTTAGTAGTATTAGGTTGATTTTGTGCTGTTGGGTGTCGTTGAGCAAACTGGACGCCCACTCTTGCACCAGCTTCTGCAAAACGTGCGGCATCAAAGGTTGGTTCGGGTAAACTGATCTGACCGGGTACATTTTCGCGTTTTCTCTTTTTGTTCGATTCAGCAACAGGTCCAGGTTGAGGTGAGTTTGCCGAAGGTATTGTGAGCCCAGTTGGAGGTAGAGCTTGTTTTTGATTGTCTGATAAAGTTTAATTTTTTTGTTTTGATAAATATATGGATATAGATATATTAAAATAAAATAAACTACTTGGGCATAAAGTTTATGAAATGCTTTTTTTTTGTCTTGTTTACCTGATTTCATCTCTACTGTATTAATAGTCGGAGCCGGAGTAGAAACCGGAGCAGACGTGGCTGCAGGAGTTGTTGAAAGAGCAGTAATAACGGATGGGTTTGTATTGGCGGTAATTGGAACCGGGTTGGAGTTGATCATATTCATTGTAGTAGTAGCTGTTATTGTGGGTGTTGGTACAACAGGAAGTTTGAATCCTGCTAGTTTTACAACATGCAAAGGTGAAACTGTTTCATTGATCGAATGTACTTCAACTTGATGATTGACCTATAATTCCATACACACACATGTTAACTGGTAACAATTTATAATTTAAAACTCGTAGAAATTATCAATACCTCTTTGACAATTTTTTCCAATTCATCGTAGCCCTTCTTAGGAGTAATCAAGGACAAGTGTATGTTGTTCTGATATCAAGAAAGAAAGAAAGAAAGAAAGAAAGAAGAAGTGTTTTTAAAAGAATATTAATATTAAATATTTCATACATGTATGTTTTTTAGTTGATTCAACTCACTCTTTTCATTTCTTCGGCTATATCTTCCAATTTGTAATTGTCATACTTGTCGTATAAATTTTTACGCACGCCAGTCTTGTAAGGAGTGCTGTTGGATACAAGAATACAGTGCATAATCTGTTCATTGTTACCGTTGATCTCTTCTTTATAATCTGAAAACATCTACAATGATTTGTTAATAAAGAAATAAATAAACTTTAAAACTTAAAAAAAATCTACAAATTTCAGTAGCTTATACATACCTCCAATGCTGCAACAAGACCTTCTCCTACTGCATTGCGTATCATACCACCCTCTTTGCATGTAATATTTTGGAGGATTTCTTGGAACAAATTGAGCTCAGATGTAAAATACTTTCGATCGACTGTCGCAGTTGATGATCTTTCATAATCTCCATAAATCACCAAGCCATATTTTAAAACAGGCTGTTTAAAAGAAGCAGCGGTAACCCATACGAGAATAATAATCATAATCATAATTAATCAGTAAAGAATAAAGAGAGATGCCCAAAAATCAAGGATTAATGATACCATACCGTGACTTTTGTCTTTGATTGACGGTGGTCTCCTTCTGAAATAATGGGAGAACGAAGCTGCCTAGGGTATTGTGGATCAAGTAAAAGTTATTTTAGGCTAAAGCTTAAGTTTCTTATATATATATATATATATATGTGTGTGTGTGTGTATGCATATATTTGATACATCTTTATATAAAAAGTGTCTCATAGAATGTTGAATTTACCTGAGAATAGGTTCAATATAAGCCTCATATATTGTACTCAAGTGAGGATTCATTCGTGCTGATCCATCAATCACCAATACACATGCAACCTCTTTACGATGATGGTGAGGAGAAACGATCTGTGGAGATTGATGTGGAATGCCGGCTGGGGATGAATGTGACCCAGGCGTAGATGCATTCATTGCAGGCGAAACATTAACGGCTGATATAGACATTGAGATCCAGAATGATAAAAAAGAATGTGTTCGATTCTAATGACGCGTTAAGGATGTTGCTGCTTGACACACTGAGTTTCTCTATCTGATTTGATTTATATAGTATGATATAAAAGGTACAAGAATAGATAGAGAGACAGAGAGTAGAGAGAAAAAAGAGAAAGAACCGAACTAAATAGGAATTAGATAGAGACTAGGGCTCAAAGTAAATTATAGAACGCTTATAACAAAGGAAAATATTATTATTATTACTTTAAAAAAAAGAAAAATATAAAAAAGAAATTTGGTGGGTAAGTTCAAGAAGTATGTTTAAGAAAACAGTGCAAGAAAGAAGAACCAAACTTTATCAAGCTCCACACCGATTCCAATTAAAGATTCCATTGATTTACGTCATCAAGTCTATCATATAGGGCTTCAGTTGCGGAAGCAAAAATAAAATAAAATAAAATAAAAATTGTAGTGGTGCCACTTGGTTAATTATGCACTGTAATGTATATTCAATAGAATATTTTATGTGTATATATATCTCTTTATATATATATACTTTCTTTCTCTCTTGCCCATAATTTTTTTATATAAAAGCAGTTTGTGAGGAATTGATGGTTTCCAAGTAAAGATGTTCAAAGTATTATATTTTCTGGTATTCTGTGGTCAAGATAGCCTGACCAGCAAATCCTTATTGTGGTAGTCAGCTATCTGTTTTCGGTTTTGTACAGCTCCTCAGAAATTTATTACAGTTGATTTATAATCCGCAGTAGATTAAAAACATTTTGAGTACTACAGTACTGAATGGGTGAGCAGATATCCAAAAGGCTTGCATTTGTGCGGAAAGAGTACAATGTTAATATTCAGAAACAACTGTCTTAAATTCTTGTCCTAATTTGTTTTTGCACACACTTCGAGTGGACACATGTGAGTTACAAGGAGTGAATTGTTTTTTTTTTGGGGGATAACTTTTCATTTTGGATAAAGAAACCATGATCTTCTTTAGACTCTTCCTTTTCTTCTTTCTTATTTCCAGATCATTTAAGACTACCCAATAAAATATTATGATTTTGCTTCTCTTTTAAAATAATATCTAGTATCCTGTATCTATCCAGCCAGCTGAGCTACATGAATTGGGCAAAATATTGAATATTTGTTGGAAATAGTCAAGCATTTTTTTTTATCTCTTGGATTTGTTCTTTTCTAATTTTTTTATTACTACTAATATTATTATCTGTACATAGCATATACCCTACTATGCTCTAATATTCTCTAAATGTAAGCTTCATTTAAGCATACTTGTAAAAATAGCTGGATTCTCAACCCAATGCTTCCACTGATTACTGAATCGAGCCATAGTCGCACCATCAATCAGGCGATGATCTGCAGCCCAACTGATGGGCATTACTTGCTTTGCAACAATCTTTCCATTCTCCAGTCGTGGCAAGGTCTGTATTTTTCCAAGCGCAACAATAGCCAGCTCTGATGGAAAGACCATTGGATTTGCATAAGTCCCACCAAAAGTTCCGCTGTTTGACAATGTGATTGTGGCACCTGTCAAATCACTAGCCGAGAGCTCGTTCTTTTTACCTAAGCTGACCAGGCGATGCAACTCGGACGCAATCTCAAACAAGTTCTTGTCCTGGACGTCCTTGATATTAGGGACTTTAAGACCTTGGGGTGTGTCCATGGCAAGGCCGATGTTATGAGAGGTCTTGTAGACCACCTGATTAAGTCTTCCTTGGTCTGAAGTGGTAATGGAGGCATTCATGATCGGGAACTGGGTTAAGGCTAGAGAAAGAGACTTTAGAAGGATAGGTAGGTGGGATATTTTGGTGAAGGGATGGCGTCCAGGATGATCAGAAATAGACTTGTTCAAGGCCTGTCGATAGGTATTTGTGAGAGTGAGATCTACTTCATCTTTGTACCCCAGCTGAGGAATCGCAAGTGAGTGAGTCATGGCCAGGAACATGACTTTTTGGGTGTCAGTCAATGGTGTGCCCTGGTTGTTTGGATCTACACTCAAGACAGGTTGTGAGGGGCTAATGAGCTCAACCGCAATTGGTCGTCTAAGATCTGGATTGGATACCAAAAAAAATGTGTGTTTGAAATTAATTGCTAAACTTTATATGTACAGAAACACGCACACACACACACATTTGCGTGCATTACTTGCCTGTAGTATCCTTTTTCTCGGTCAAAAAGCGAATAATGTCTTCCTTGAGCACTCTTTGGTTCTTTCCAGTTCCTTTGATTTCAGTAACCTCGAGATTATTTTCAAAAAGTAATCTTCGAACAGCCGGAGTAGCCAAACTAAGAACACCTGGATCTCTGGATCTGTTTTCTACCAATGGTGTCTCGACTGGTTTTGTGTTTGGTATACTTTCTGGTACTTTAACATTCTCTGCAACTGGTGTATTTTGTCCATCCACATATTCGTCGGCAGTCTCGATATCAACCAGAGGAGCTCCTACTGTGGCAACTCCATTGAGTTGATAGTGAAGTTTACTGATCATTCCTGCATATCGAGATGTGATTTCCACTGCTGCCTTATCTGACTGAACCTCACAGATCCTATCAAACTCCTCGACAACCGAACCTGGCTGTACAAACCTGCACAAATTATCAAAAAACAGAAACAGAATATAAAAAAAAATGTAAGTCAGAATTCTTAGAAACAATGTAATAAGGCCAGAGTTTTCTTTTCTTTTATTATTATTATTATTATACCATTGAATAATTTCAACTTCTCGGATACCTTCACCAATGTCAGCCAGCAGAAAAGGTTGTTTGGCTCTTGATAGTATAGATGAGTGGAAGGAACGTCTGGTAATCCATGGCTTATAGACGTATTTTTCCTGGTGTGTAGTCCAGGTTAAGTCCTGAATACGAAACACACAATGAATATATATGAACATACCACAGTTCCCTTTGTAGTTTTTAAGAAGTTTAGGCTAGTTGTCCTTGAGTACATTTTCCAAGGCAAGTATGTGTATAGATATATATATGAACTGAAGAGTAAGGATATCAGAGAGAAGAAAGAAAGGAGGAAAGTAAAATAAAGAACAAGGTCTTGTAAGATTCGATGTGCGTGGGAAAATATGGATCCAAATGAAGAAAGTGTTTATTTTAGACGGAGCTTGGGATCAGAATTTATGTACACAAAATACTTTCGATTGAGCTCGGGACGTTTTGATATATATTGTGAAAAAATTGTAGTCTTTTAGTAGACGTTTATATTCTACTTCTCCTTTTGGGATAAACAGAGAGATGTCTTGAGATTACTTTATAAAATAATTCAAAGCTTTTTTTAATTATGTCTTAGACTTTATTTTCGCTAAATAGGTTGCATCAAGTATAATACCAAATCTGATCCCTAACTACAAGCACAAAGTGAGATGAAAGTCAATGGCATTGCAGTTGACATGGATTTCTCTAGAGAATTCAATAAATTGAGAGTATATTAAGAATATAAATTGTATATACAGTCACTGTGATGTTTGGCAGAAGAATCATAAATAGGATACTGCATAAAAAATATAAAGAGAGATAGAGAGAGAGATAGAGGGAGAGATACCAATGCTTTTATTTCCTTGAAGTTTGTCTGTAACACAAGAAGAAGAACAGGATTAGCAAAAAGAAAAAGAAAAAGAAAATGTTGCTTTGGTTTACTCCTTTATCCCCCTTTTTTTCATTTAATTTACCTTGCTGCCTTGTCATCTTCAAGTGCCTTTTTTATTTGTTCTGTGATTTCTGTAACCTTAACAAGTGCAATCTGGGAGCATCGTAGGACCTGATCCATCTCCAGTGGAATACCACCTGCCTTTGACAATGCACAGATCTCTTTGTGGATGTTCATAGTAATGGTCATATCACCCTCCTTGACCTGTTCCTCCAAATAACTGGGATCTACAGTCAAGTACTCACTGTCCATAATGTCAGTAAATCGTTTGGGATGGTACACTATGGAGAAAAAAATATTTACCCATTGTCAAAAAAGCCAAATGTAATACAGATCGGTATATGATGCACACTCAAGGGTACTGGGTTACGCTGGTCAACTGGATGCTGCAGGACATCATATCAATACCAATACCAATACCAAAATTGACGCACTAAATGTTCCTAGATGCTTTATTACTTACAATTGTTACTTCTTCTCCAACAACTGTGACATCAGGTCGTCTGAAATGCAAGAGAGCAGTGATGGCAGCTATGCACGCACAATCCACCAGATTTCCATCATGATCCAAGAAATGAAGGTCTACGCGAATTTGCCAGACCTAAACCCACACACACACATATATATATATATTAAATACGCTTGCACACTTGAAAATACAATCTACTTTATAACAAACCTTTTCACCGGCTACAATACAAAGACCCTCGGTATCAATGGCTCTGCTACGACGCATAGCCTTTTCAATGATACGACTAATTAAAACCTCTTCCTCTGATCGACTATTGATTTAAAAATAATAACAAAAAAAAGTCGGTATCAATACATGCATATACATATCTTTCTTTCTTTCCAATAAACGTGTAATACAAAAAAACTTGTTTTTTTTAAAAATAATAATAATAATAATAAATGAATCTCACCTTCCAGATTCAAAAGTTGGGCAGGCCATTGGTGAAATCTCAGTATTGAACAAAAGCATACCCTCTGTAGGCTTGTCTGGACGAGGACGCACGACTTCTGCGGTTACCTTTGCTGCAATTCTTTATATTATTATTATTATTATTATTATTTATTTTAAATGTTAGTAATTATGTTTCTTTTTTATTATTCAAATCCAAAACTTTGTATTTTTCAGTTTTTACCTTGTTTTTCCTAATTGAACTTGCACATAACCAAAATCTTGGCCAAATGTCAATTCAATAGACCGCATGTCATATACACCGCGACCATCGACACGACGTCCGTCTTTGAGGGCGCTCAAGAGAAACTGGCTCTCGTTGATGCTAGGATCGATTTCTTTGACCATGCTATGATGAATTTAAAGATATATGTATATGTAAAAACAAAATGAAATGTGTCTCTAGTGTGTGAATCTGCCAGTCTTAATCTTGCTTGAAGACAGTCCAATTTTTTTTTACAAGCAACTCTTTTTTTTCCAAAAAAAAAATTGTGTGTGCGTAAATTACAGTTTACTTTTGTGTGTAATTATTAATTTTTCACTATAAACTTTATATACAGAATATCCTATCAATTCTAGCAGCATTGCTTAATGATGTATTTATTTTTGGTCTATTAGAATAAGAGTAGTGGAGGTATAGGGCTTATTATTAAAAGCTAATCATTTATCTATACACTGTAATTAATATATTAACTTGGACTGACAGATCAAACGAGCTTAGTCCTTGCGGCTGCATTCCTTCCCCCTTCTTCTTTTCATTATTAAAATATGAAATTGTGCCTAGCAAAAAAAAATCAGTGCCACTGACATTTGTCCATTTTTGGTAGTGACTGGCAAAAAAACAAAAAGCCACGGATTAAAAAACCGACATCAATCAACTATACTATAGCCTCTTTCTCTCTTTTTTTTTTTAATATAAACTTCTTTTTGCTACTTGACAATACATTATTATTATATACGAAACCAAATATGAGCTCCCAACAAAATCACTCGTCAGATCTTTTGAATATTCCCGGTAGAGAAAAGACTCTTGGTGAGAATAACATACATATACATTATTATTACTATTTTTTTTTTTACAAAAGAAAGAAACTTATAATTTTTTGTGTAAAAGCCAAACTTTTAGCGGATACAAATCTCTTGGGCAACACTAAAGAAGAGTTGAAAAAGAATGGACCACAGATTCCTTTTATTCCCCCTCCAGAAGAACGAAAGACATTCAAGATCGCTCCACCTACTGACATCATGTCTCGCCTTCAGGCATTCTTACCGCAAATACAAGCTGCTAATGCCAGTCTTCAAAACATGAAACCAGAGGATCTTGACATTGAGCAAGTCGAGGAAGACGAACAATACATTGAAATGAATCTTGGATTGGGAGTATATGAACACAAGCGAGAAGTTTCAGACAGTGAAGACGATGAAGACGATGATGATGATATTGTGATGCCCAATGCTGTCAACAATGACAAGAAAGTCAAGCCAAACATCGAATTTATGTCTGAAGACAGTGATTCTGACTAGGATTATTTCTACTTACTTTTTACTTATCCCATCTTATCCTTCTGTTTTTCTCTAAAGAACAAAAACAAAAAAAAACCTAGAAAAATGACATGTATATATACACACACACACACACACGCAGACGCAGACGCAGACACACGACCCATACAATCCCAAACATCTTTTTTTTCTCTTTATACTCATATATCATTGAAACAAAACTTATTGCTACCTTTAGCTTTTTTATCTTTAGTAAACAATAATATTATTATTCCATTCACACACATTCACACACATTCACACACATTCACACACATTCACACACATATACATACAGTCTCTATTTCATATACACATGTCTTTTATCATTTGATTTTTGTTTTTGTAGTTCTGGCGTAGGTTATGCTTTCTTTCATTGAGATTGATAGAAATCCTCAAAGGGGGGGTTGGATGATCGATAGTAATAAAGTGGTTCTTATTACTGCTCTTCTCTTACGGGAGGGACACCGCAAGGACGAACCATTTTCTAAACACAGGCCCATACACTTGATGTTAATATACACAATCTCATTTGACACATGCCCGTTATCATCTTTATAATTGATTTATATAAGAATTATGAGTTTGCTTGCCTCCATAATGTTCATCTTCACGCGTGCCTTGCATTCATTCTCAGCAACAGAAAAGAAAGACAAAAGAGAGTTATGGCCAACGTAGGATGCATAACTGTCTCGCTGCTGGTTGGTCAACCATTCACTAAAGAAAAGAAGAATAAATTTGAGCATAAACACACACACATTTACATAATCATTATAATTATAATTATAATTATGCTATTAAATAGTTTTAGGGCATTACTGCTTGATTGTGTCGGCATGTCCAGTACCAACGTATTTAGATTGTACTATTGTAATAGTAACATTAATAAAGAAAAAAAATATGTGGAAATTTTAGGGGATGATTAGATCTCGATCGTCCCAATCTATATATAAATTCAAATATCAATTCCTACAGTGCTCAATCTGACTGTTGACGTTGAAGCGATCCTAAAAAAAGAGAGAGAGAGAGTCAAATGGAGTTATTGAACTGAATAATGTATATATTTATATACATTTTTTGATAAGTTTAAAGTAATAATCTAGATTAACACACTGAATTTAATAGCTTACCATTAACAATAAGCTTATCCAACAAGGCTGTGTTGAAAAATGGGAATATGTTTAAATTAGAGACAAAAGTCAAGAAAATCGAGAGTGCCGTTTGTGACTTTGGATTGTTCCTAGTGACGTTGATAAATGCACCAGTTTCTTTGAAATCAGTCTCAAAAAAGAAAAAAAAAAGAAAGAAATAGGTAGAATGGCCTTAGTTTGAAGCATATTACACTTTGTGTGCCGACGTCACCTTTGCACCCCACATGCGGCGTTTGTATGAAGCGTGCGAATTTTCCCCTCTTTTATATATATATTTCTGTACCTTTTTTCTTTTCTTTATTGTGTGTGTGTGTCTGCTTTTTTTTGACGTCTTCTTCTTCTTCTTTTTATATTATGTCAACTCTTACTATTGCCCAACGTCAAACTCTTTTACAGCCATTGTTGAACGCAGGCTGGGCTCTTGTTGCCAACAGAGATGCTATTCAGAAGAAGTATGTGTTTGGCGACTTTAACGAGGCTTTTGGATTTATGACCCGAGTTGCCCTCAAGGCTGATAAAATGGATCATCACCCTGAATGGTTTAATGTAAGTACCGCTTATTTGACTTGCTCCAAGTGTTTATGTGTATATTTGAAAGTAAAACAGAAAGAAAAAAGAAAGAAAAATTGTTTCTGATTATTAGTATTTTTTGTGCTTTATCTTGGACAGGTCTACAATCGTGTAGAAGTTACTTTATCTACCCATGATTGCAACGGTCTTTCTGAAAAAGATGTTACTTTGGCCACATTCTGTGATACTGCTGGATCAAAGGCTACCTGAAATTTTGAACAGCTTAGTAAATAAATGAAATAAAATGAAATGAATTGAACTCAAGGGTTGTGTGCGTGTTTTTACAGCTGAATTGTAGTCTGAATATTATTATAACAAATGTTTTTTGTATACTTTTGATAAAGATATTGTATGTTGATTTTATTTTGAGCTTGGATTTTTGACATGGCTTTAATCGGCAATGTATCTAATCTTGCTATCAGTTGAAATCATAAATACTTGATAAAGATAAAAGAAAGATGGCCGTACATATTCTTATTTTGAATTCAAGAGCAACCTTGAATAAATTATTTTAAGTAATGTAGTACTCAAGCGGTGTTTCTCTCTCTCACTCTCTCTTTCTCTTTATTTTCCTTCTTCTTCTTTTAAATTTTTTCTTCTTACTCATATTGTGTGGGATGGAGTGGTTAACCAAGAGAGTCGCAAGCTTCTACTCGCCCTCATGCACCACTATCTGCTCCACCCCCACTTGTCTCCCTCCTCTACCAGTAGCTCCTCTGCCAGAAATCAAATCCGTGCAGTGTGCAGGTTGCGATCTACCATGTGTCCATCCCTCCGTCCCAACCACTCTCAACATCGACCATTTACGACCACTCCGCAACACTGTGCCTCCATACGCAATCCACTTGATTCTAATGACCGGCAAGTCAACCTGGCCTGCTCACATTGAAGACGAAGGAATGGCACAAGCACTTATCAACGCAATCAATCTTCGAAAAAGCCAAAAGCAAAAACCAGACACTCCTCGTACAGACACCTTCAGACCAGCCAATGCAACTGATACTCAACTGAGTGAACGAATTCTGGTCACCAACTGCTCTCTTCCATCTGTTTATTCATCCCAACGCAATTCGATGGATATCTTACTGATGCCCGATAACGTATTGATTGCGAATGTTACTCCACACAGGGCAAATGAACTTTTGGACTATGTCTTGGGAAAACCACATGTATTTGAAACCTTTCCATGGTCCTCTGCCAGTCTGGTCCTGGTGTGTGGACATGGTGCCAAGGACAGGCGGTGTGGTACAATTGGACCTATGCTGAAAGAATCTCTGGATCAGGCTCTTGAAGTTGAGGGAATTCGAACCCAGGTAGCACTTGTCAGTCACTTGGGAGGTAAAGAGAAAAAAATGCAAAAATGCAAAAAAAAAGAAGACCAATATTTTTGTTTTATACACGAATGGTTTTTCATGAAACTAATTTTATTATCTATTTATTTATTCATTCAAGTAAATTGATTATCTTTAAAACTTTAACTCATTGGTCCATAATAATAATAATAATAACATATTTGTTTTCTCTTTTTTTTGTGAAAATTAATCTAATAACAATTATTAGGACATGCATTTGCCGGAAACCTGGTTATTTATCTTCACAATGGTCAGAGAGCCATTTGGTACGGTAGGGTTACTCCCTGTCTGTGTCCTGATATCGTACAACAGTCCATGGCTCAAGACAAGGTGATTGATACATTGGTGAGAGGAGTATTTGAGGCCGGCACAACCAATGTTCCTCAAAAGTGTTTACCAGCATCTTTAGAATGGTGATCTAATCTTAATAGCTTTGGTTTATTGAATTTTTTTTTTTGGTTCTTTCTACCACTTTATTCTCATCTTTTGTTACAACATGCATATAATTTATTTTAAAGATCATAATAATACTACTAATACTAATACTAATACTAATAATAATAATAATAATAATAACAATAAATAAAATATAAATATTAAGCTATCTAGGCTGTATTTTGTTTCAACCTTTATGTGAACAATATCCTGTTTTATTATTTTATTTACAAATTTAAAAAGATTCAATGAAATCATCTTATGAGTCAAACGGGTGAAAAAATATCGGCTTCATTTTCTTTATTGTCATTGGTATCATAGAAGACAAAGTCCAATATACACCAATGATCTTTGCTATATGTAAAAGAATATGATAAAGAGTATTCATTGATAGGAATACTATGTTAAAGGCACTTTGTATGCAACATATATACAGGTTAAAAACAAGAATATCACATTATTCTTTGTTTCCTATATGTGACTATTTATCCCAATGATATATATATATATATATATATAAGCTGTATGCTTTGTCTTATGAACGAAAGCCCTTTTATTCAACATTATTAACTATGAATTTTCGGAACATCAAGGACTGTATGAAAGGTTATGGAGTAATCGCAATTATCGGTGTAGGCTTTGGATTTGGCATAACTTCAGTCCCTTTATCATTTTATGCTATTTATAATGGCTATAAACTTCTGGATCATATTTCAACGACAGAACGTTTACGAAGAGAGTATTATGTCAAACACAATCAGCAACTTGAGTCAGAGAAACAGCAAGCTCTTTTCAGGATCCAAGAACAAGCGGTGGCAAATAGAGAGATCTAGGATTATTTCAGTAATACCGTCTGGCCTGGATTGTTTTTTGTTTTATTTTGTTTTATTCTTTAATGACAAATATATTTACCTATGTAACTTTAAATAAACCAGACAACTATATGCCTATTTGACTCGTTATATTCTTTATTAAACATGTTATTTTGTGTTTTGTTCTATATTCTGTACAGAGAGTTTTTATAAACACAGTCAATGAATCTTTCGCCATTTGAGCGCAAAAAAAATCACGAGAGAAACCATGACTTATATTCAATATGCAACTGCTCATTAGTAATAATAGCTTCAGCCTTCAAACTTTAAATACAAGATTATATGCATACTTGTTATTTGTTAAAGAAAGATTAATAATCTGGTATGACCTCCTTTGGCCTCAATTGCAGCCTGGTGTCGATGTTACATGCTGCTGGCCATAGTTGATACAAGCTCAGCATCTATTCTTCCCCACTCTCGTTGCATGACAACCTTCAAATCATAAATTTCATTTATAGTGGCGATCTAGTCACTCTTATGCTCTCTCTTAAAATTACCAGCAAAAATGCTCGATAGGGTTGAGACCCATGATATGAGCTGGTTAGTAGTCAAAACACCAGATTCTATTGCAGTCTTTCGACTACCTTGGATATGACATAATATTGCATCCGGATTTAATGGATTGCGATATATTTGTTTCAAGCATAAAAGCTTGAGACTGTTGATTAATTGACTTTCTACAGATGACAAACAATCTTCATCTTCTTTTAAAGAGTCTCTTGAGCCTATGAGTATGAGGCAAATGGAGTCATTCAGAACCACTTGAACAAAGGTTCTTTTCTGTTATTCTCATCAGTGTTTCTAGACTGTTTTGGCTCAGATTTTTTGTCTCTTATAATTCTGTTTCATTCACTCTCTTAATGATATAATTGACAGTCGAAACGTTTCTTTTTTTTTGATCGCAAGTGTATTTCATAATTTATGTCATGATTCTTTAATATAACATATATATTATCCAATTAAATTCATTTATTTGCTTTGTATTTAAATTTAATTGGCTGACAACTAAATTTTTATGCTTTATACAAATGAAAATGATTATTATATTGGTGCGAGTGGATGTATGATAGAATTTGATTAGTCATGTGATCATTTCGACTATGGTTTTTTTTTTCAATATTCTTATTAAGCATTTTCTTTCTTTTTCATTCTTTTTTTTTAATAATCTTGTTGCTAGTTTTTAATATCTTTCTTACTCTTATCATATTTCCCTCTCTTACTCTCTCTATCTCTCCTCCTATCCTTTTCCTATATATCTGTCTATCTGTCTATCCGTCTATCCGTATATTTGCCTCTTTTCTACTATTTTACTTCTTTTTTTAAACAAAGCCTGCTTTCAATTCTTTCTTCCTCCATTCTTTCATTTCCTTATTTCAAAACTGGATCGCCGTTCAAGAGATTCTCATGGGCCCGGAGGTGTGTTTGTCATACCTCGCCTAGACCCCATCCCAGAGTTAAAGCAGTGTGTAGAGTGCGGTGTTCAGTTTAGCTTATTTCGGAAAAAGTACTTTTGTCGTAATTGCGGTAAGCATTGATGACAAATAACAATAAAGGCTGCTACTATTATAATTATTATTACTTTGTTTTAAAGAAATAATATGTATATATATATAAAAAAGAAGAAGAAAAAAACACGATTAGTAATCGTAACTAATGACCTTGAGTTGTTTGGTTTACAAGGTAATGTTGTCTGTTCAAATTGCTCTGATCAGCGACGACCACTTCCAAAGTTTGGCTATGAACAGTAAGCTCAAATTATATATTGTACATGGCTTATATAAATAAGCTTATAAAATAGAATGTGGTGTTAGAGATAAAATATATAAAAATATTAAATGGTGTAATCTTATATACATGAAAAGAAAAAGAACAAGTTGACTAAAATTTACATACCCCGTTATGAATATTACTCGATACGTATATATGTGTATAACTTTAAAGACCAGTGAGGTGCTGTGATACGTGCGACACTTTAATCCAGATGCAGCAAATGAACTCTAGTGCTCTGTCGTCAATGCCACTAAAACAACTTAAATACTACATTGATGCGTACAACTTGTTTGCAAAGACTGCAATTGAAAAAGGGGATCTTGTGCTTATTATCCTCAATACTCGGCCTATATCTAATGACCACGAGGTTTACTATCGTTCCAGGCGAATTATAACTATCAAGGATACTACGAATAGTACGACGCAAAACAATAGCAACAATAGAACGAGCCAGGAGTTTAGCTTCAATGTGATGTTTAATGATTTGTTTGGAAACTCTCAAAGGCAACATCCTCAAAGACAAAACTCTCCTCAGCCAACACAACCACAATCACAACCACCGCCTCCTCAACCACAACCACAATCACAGAATAATCATTTCTATCAGTCGAGAACCCCACAACCTACTCCTCCTCCTCATCAACCACAATATAGCTGGGAATATTCAGCACGTGCACCCCAAAGTCATCCCCCTGCTCAACCAACTCAATCCACTCAGCCGTCTCGACCAGCCCAATCAACTCGACCTACATCTACTGCTCAGCCTACACAAAACCAATCAGGGACTAATAATTCAAGACAGCAACAGCAGCAACAACAACAACATCAACAACAGGCAGCAGGAAAGACAGAAATGTCTTTGGATGATATGCTTAAAGGCAACATTAATCCTGCTAATCTGTCTGTCCGGACATTAAAGGCAACTCTTCGAACACATTATGTTGAACAATCTCATTTGATTGAGAAATCAGAGTTTGTGTCTTGCGTTCAGCGTCTGTTGGATGAGCGTAAGGCTGAGCTCAAGACAAAGCAAAATGACACGGCCCAATCGGATGATACTCTTTGTAGGATTTGCTGTGACGCCCAGCAAAACTGTGTTTATCTCAATTGTGGACATATGATGACTTGCATGGACTGTGGTAAAAAGGTAAAGATAATAATGGTACAAGGTTACATATATCTGGGTGGGGTGAAAAGAGGTGAATTGGGTAAATGAGTGATAGGTAGACAGATGTGGATTATATGTATATATTAAATACAAAAAAAAAGAGTAATTTCTCACCAAAATGTATCTACCTTTTTGTGTGTGTATGTGTGTATTAAATAAATTATATCCAAAATCAAAAAAAAAAGCTTGTTGAGCGTAACAACCAATGTCCAATCTGCCGAGAACCAATTCTGAAGCTGGTGCATGTTTTTCGAACCTGATGGAATCTTTTTGTTTTATATATATTACCTTTATTCATTTATACGTATGGCTGTAATGTTTTTCTGGATTCTGTTTATTCTTCTTCTTATTATTTGATTTTGTTTCAATTAAAAAAAATTGTACAAATCAAATGAAAAAGGGAAAGATAGAAAGAAAGGAAAAAGTCAAAGCGAATTGGAAAAGGTTTCACCTCTCTTTATTATTATTAATATCATTTTGTTTCTTTTTCCACTGGTGAGTCTATTTTGTTATTTTTTATTTATTTATTTTTACTCTACTACACTTTGCTTTGCTTGTTATCCAATCACATACATACAGTACATACATTATCGTTATTTATTACTTATTCTTATCATCATCACCATTAACATTATTATTTTCTTGAACCTGCCCTACAAAGTCCCATATATGTATATAAAATAGAGCATTTCTTTTTTATTATCATTATCAGTATGAAAAATAAAATATCAAATTAAACTATCCATATAAAATACTATACTTTTTCTTATGGTGCTGCATGGTTTTGCCTTATTTGTACTGCAATTAACTTTTAATCGATCTTGGCTTGTGCTTAAAACTTGTATAAAAAAAGAAAAAGAAATGTCCAGGTGGGTCTTGGTATATTTACATTCTGTAATACTTTTGTAATGTTAATATCCCGTCTGGCTTCAATTCGTCTTTTTCTTCTCTTCCTCCTCACCACCTTTTTGATATATATATATATATATAAAGTGGTGAAAATCAAATATTGATCGTGTTACTTAAAACTTCTGCAACACAAAACTTACGCTCTTTATTTTTCTTTCTTTAAAAACACACATAATAATCCTATTTTTCTTCATCTTCTTCTTTTTTTCGTTCGTTTGATAGAGTGGATTTACTTGCGTTATTTAAGGTCAAAGTATAGATTGGTGATAGAATACATTCGGTATACTAAACTACAGTGTGTTTTATTATTATTATCTTTAAAAAAAAAATAGTAAAGGAAAATACATTCACCAATAGATGAATAATATAGAAATTGAATATGATTAGCCGATTATTATTAGTATTATTTCTTAAAAAGAAATAAAGATAAGGTCCGAGCAACCTCTGGACAAATAAAAGGCGCTATCTACTATATATCTATCTATCTCTTTGGATTTCAATAGCTTTTATATACTATTTTAAATTCTAGTGCTATTGTTCCTATGTGCATACATACATACATATTCTGGCTCCTAGAATAAAACAATAATCAATATTTATAAATGATATCTAAAGCCAAAGAAGAAGAAGAATTAATATATGTAGGTAGCTAGGTGAGTAATTGTGAGTTATGTGTGGAGTGTGGAGTGGCGAGTGACAAGAACCAACTCAGCAATCTTGCTCACACAACTGCCCACACACATATATATGTATGTGTATATAGATATAATATGTATTTGAGTTTCTTGTAAAATAAACTACAAAACGAGGTAAATTGGCTTTTGACATAAAAGGCTATATATAACAATTTTGGAGGCGCTCGTAAAATTGCTTTCTTATACATGTGATAGATTCACTTAATATGCATGTATAATATAATCTTTCGTAACCACTTTATTTTTTGTACTTTTTTTTTTTGCTTTGCGTGATAATTGAGCTACATGACACATACACTTGCACACATAAATAATATAGATAATTATTATATAAATTTTGTCTATCTGATCTGTATTTTAGCTATATACTGTATGTATCGATTTGACAAAGACAAGACCTCATTTCTTTATCTTTTAAAAGAAAGCATAGATATATAAAACGTACAGCGGGTAATAAAAACCCCCTTTGCGTTTTTTGTACTTTTTTCTGTGATTAACATTAACAAAAGTATGCTCAAATTGTACATCTTTCTTATTGCTAGTCTGTTAAATACATATGTCATATATTCATATGAAAATATATTCTGCCGTTAGTCAATTGAGGATACAGAAAAGCAAAAAGTCCCTGGTAATGAAGGCCGTTTTCTTTATTGATTGAATTATCTATTCTGAACAAATCGGTCAATTGTTTTTGTTGGTCAAGGTGTTAGGTGACATTGCACAAACCATAAAAAGAGCACTAAATATATATATGTGTGTGTGTGTGAGCCCTTAATATTCTTATTGTTATTTAATATACTTCTGTTGCTGCTACTAATGAGTGATTCTGATTCTGATGCCGCTTCTGTTTCTACTTTTGTTTCTGTTTCTGCTACTTTAGATGTGACTATATCTCTATATCTCTATAGCTGCAACTGCAGTTGTAGTTATAGTTTGCAGTTATGGTTGTAGCTGCGGCTTTAGTTTTTAGCTGTCGCTGTTTTCTTATGATTATTATTATATTTATCTCCTCGACTTCTTATTTTGGGTTATTCCTTTCGATCCAAAGACTATCGATACTAGAATTGCCCCATTTTATTCAAATTTGAACGTTTTTGTTATTTAAGAAAGGATTGGTTATCTAGAATCAATACAATAGAAAAGTAACATCTCAACTATTCGCCTTTTTATATATCTACTGGCTGTTTAACATTGTACCAAAGTATCAGTTCTCTATATTGACCCAAAAATAAAATAGAGAGAGAGCAAGAGCAAGAGCAAGAGCAACAAAAAGAACAAGGAAATAAAGCACGAAACCTTAAATTTCTTTATCTAGATAGTCTTGCTTTGATTTCTATTTATCTCATTGGATAAATGTATCACTTGTACTACTTGTACCACTCGTCCCACTCGTCTTATTCGTCTTACTCGTCTCATTTGTGTGTCTGGTTTACCAAATGCTTGGAGATAAGTCAACTCCACTAATCAAAAAAAAGGGTGCAATGTTCTTTACAGAATAAGGAAAGAACAATATACACACTCGCACGCACAGATTATATATGTATATGAATTACTAAATAGAAAAGAAAAAGAATATAAAACCATACTTGATCTTTACTTGCTTTCTTTTTTTTTCTTTTTTTTTTCTTTTGGTTTTCTTAACCCTCTACCTTTTATCTCTCCTTCTATACCTACACTTCTTTATCTTACCTTCATTAATATTTAACACTTTTAATATATCTATACACATAAGGAATCTTTGTTTTTGTACACAGGAATCATATATAGGTATCAAAACCGAAGCCCAACAAACAAACAAACAAACAAAAATGGAGGACTACCATACCAAATATACGATAAGGTCGGATAATTATTACGACATGGACCTAAAATTCGATGGATATTCAAAGGAAGAATTCATAAAAGGAGAATACGACGAAAGATACGACCCTTATGATTTTGATATTCGCAACACTCACGCTGAAGACGAAGAAGACTCGCCCATTGAAGAAGTTCGTCTAGTTGTACCAAAGTAAATAGAAAACAAAAATATCTATACATATATATATACGTGTGTGTGTGTATGCGCATGTATCTATGTGTGATTTATACTCAAGCTGGACTAATAATTCATTTAAATTTTAATTTAATAAAAAAAAAATTGTTAGTACTGACGATCCTACACTACCTGTTTTGACTTTCCGTACATGGCTTCTCGGTATTACGTTTAGTTGTGTTCTTGCATTTGTCAACCAGTTCTTTTGGTACAGAGCCAACGCAATGACCCTATCTCCTCTCGTTGTTCAGCTGGTATCTTTCCCTCTTGGAAAGATCATGGAACGTATCATCCCGACCTCTAGATTCTTTAACCCCGGCCCATTTAACATGAAAGAGCACGTCTTGATCACTGCCATGGCCAATTGCTGTTACAACACTGCTTATGCTGTCGACATCATCACCATCCAAAAGCTGTGGTATGGCCAGGATCTTGGCTGGGGAGGAGGAATCCTGTTGATCTGGACCACCCAGTTTATTGGCTACGGAATGGCCGGTGTCCTGCGCCCTTACCTTGTCTATCCGTCAGCCATGGTCTGGCCAGGTAATCTGGCCAACATCTCGCTCTTTCGGTCTTTCCATCTGGCCGATACCAACTGGAGTGGACCGTCCCGCCTCAAGTGGTTCCTCTGGGCCTTTGGTGCCATGTTTTTCTATTACTGGCTCCCCGGTTACTTTTTCACTGTCCTCACTGTCTTTTCTTGGGCCTGCTGGATCAAACCCAGCAACCTGATGCTCAGTCAGTTGACGGGTGCTGCAAGCGGTCTGGGTATCCTATCCATCAGTTTCGACTGGTCCACTACGGTTTCCTTCCTTGGTTCGCCACTGGTTGTTCCCTGGTGGGCTATTGCAAACATCACGGTTGGCTTTGTCGTGATTGCCTGGATCATTGTTCCGGTCATGTACTATACCAACGTCTGGGACGCCAAGACTTTTCCGATCCTTACTCCTACTCTGTTTGACAGCCAGGGCGAGGTCTGGAACAATTCTAGGGTTCTCAATGAGGACAAGACCCTTAACTATGAAGCCTACGAAGAGTACGGCCCGATGCGCATGTCGACCTTTTTTGCATTCACCTATGGAATCATGTTTGCGGGCCTGACGTCTGTCTTGACCCATACGGTGCTTTACCATGGAAAGGACATCATTGACCAGTTCAAACGATCGCGCGAAAAGGACGATGATATCCACTGTAAGCTGATGCGTGCCTACCCCGAAGTTCCTTCGTGGTGGTACTACCTTATCTTCTTGGTCTCGTTTGGCGTCTCTTTTTGCGTGATCTACGTCTGGCCAATTGGTTTGCCCTGGTGGGGACTTATCCTGGCCATATCACTGCCTGTCATATTTGTGCTTCCCATTGGTCTCATTCAGGCCGTTACTAACCAGCAACCGGGTCTTAATATCATTACAGAACTGATTATCGGCTACGCTCTTCCGGGCCACCCGATTGCCAATGTCACCTTTAAGACCTACGGATACATTTCGATCAACCAGTGTCTGACATTTGTCAGTGATCTTAAGCTAGGACACTATACCAAGGTCCCTCCTCGAGCCATGTTTGCGGTCCAGTTTGTCGGCACTTTTCTGGCCGGCATCATCAATCTGGCCACGGCGCATTGGCTGATGAACACTACCGAGAACATCTGTACCCCAGAGGCCTACCCATTCACTTGTCCCAGTGCACGCACTTTCTACTCTGCTTCGATTATCTGGGGTACGATCGGACCCAAGTTGATGTTTGGCGGCAAATCGCCCTATGGTGTCCTGATGTGGTTCTTCTTGATCGGGCTGCTGATTCCGATTCCCTTTTGGCTGCTCTCGCGAAAGTACCCCGACAGCTGGTTCAAATACATCCATTTCCCACTGATCCTCAATGCGACTGCGATGATGCCCCCCGCAACACCCATCAACTTCTCAATGTGGTCTTTGTTTGGGTTCATATTTATGTTTGTGTTGCGCAAGTACCGCAAGAACTGGTGGACCAAGTACAACTATGTTACCTCGGCCGCGTTTGATTCCGGATGTGCTATCGCTGCCCTGATAGTGTTTGCGGTCGTCAATGGATCGAACTATAGTCCCAAATGGTTTGGAAATGGTGGCTATGGTGACAATGCCACCATTGACAATTGCCCGCTTGCTGCTTCCAATGGCTATGGTTACTGTGCCACTTGTTAACAGACAGCAGTCTATATAAGTTATTGATACTATTGCTGTTTAATAGCTATTTTTTAATTTAATTTATTTATTTTACAAATATTTTCCCATACTACCCCATCTCTGTGAGGCTCTATTCTACCTTGCAGAATATTATTGAAATAATAATAATAATATCAGTAATGCCAACAAGCATACACGTATATATATGTATATATATAATAACAAACACCAACATCAATACCGACACCGACACCAACACCAAATGAAGAGGTCATTTTTAATTACAATACATATATTGAGTATATATATATATATATGTGTGTGTGTGTGTGTGTGTGTGTGAGTATTTTTCTTGAATTCACTGTATCTTTACACAAATCTTATTTTTTTTAAAAGAATATAAATTGCTAATATTTAATTAGGCATCACATAATTATCAATTATCAATTAGCAATTAATATTATATAATCAGTATATATATATATCTGATTTGTGTTTTGTTCTTATGCCGAGACATCAAGCCGTCAAGAAATTCAAAATATATATTTTTCTTTGGATTACCCTTTTTTTCAAAAAACTAAGAAGATTACCAAAATACCTGTAATTTACAAATAAAAGAAAGAAGGAATATTTGTATATTAATTAAACGTTTCAAAACTAACAAAGCCAATTATGTTGGTTCGTTGGCTGGCTATTTTAGTTTCTTAATATTATTATTATTGTTGTTATTACTATTTTTCCTTTTTATGAGAGTGGGCTTTTCTTTACTTATATAGTCTAAAAGAGGGGTAAAGACTCATGTATATATATGTATTCAATGCTTAGAAAGGGTCGATTTCTTTAAAGAGCAACAATAGCAATTGAAACAATAATACAAAAGTGTGATTATAAACAAGATCGTCTTTTTAGATCAAAGACAAAAGAAAGATCGAGATGCAAGGAGTTTCTTTCTCTTTTTCTACAAAGCAAATAAAATCAATTGGCTGACGTTCTTATTTTATTTTGTTTTACTCTTATTTCTATTCTTCTTGTTCTTGTTCTTGCTGTTAAAAATAAGAATGCAGAACTGGGGGTAAAGTAAATGTGAGCAAGTAAGTAAGAAGCCTGTCAATATAAGGCTGAGCAACAAAAAAAAAGTAATTGAAATAGAGAGAGGATGAAATAAAGGAGGGGATAGAGGGAGAGGGAGGGAGAGGGAGAGGGGGGGTAATGGTGAATGATTAGAATGATTAGGAAAAAAAAAAGGTCACATTAAAATCAAACCCATGAGTTGGTTGTGTGGTTTGTATTTGAAATAATTCTTGATTTGTTTATGCTTTTATACTTTTATTTGTATTTTTTTTTATTTGTTCTACTTTCTGCTCTCTTGCAACTCAATACATAGATACGCAGATACGCAGATACATACATTAGCATACATACATATATACATACATATATACATACAAGTATAAGTATAAGTATAAGTATATAAAATATATAAATATATATTTAATATCTTTATATTCTTTATTTTTGCCTCTTTTTTTTAATAACTTGAATATTCAAGTATACACCTTCTATACTTCTTTGTAAAAGAAAGATTAGTTAATAATAAAGGGCCGTACAAAGAAATCAAAAGCAAAAGAAAAAGAAAAAGCGATAACAATAATGTATATTTCAATTGCTGGTGTATTCTTGGTCCTGTCTGGATGTGCATCTTTTGGCGCTGCTCAGATCCAATCTCTCGATGGTTTGTTCAATGTAACGTCTCCAATTGAAAGTGGGAGTTATGTGGCCGGGCAGAAACTACCTGTAACTTACATTATCCTCCAAGAAACCACAAGTAAATATTCTTAACATTCAAATAACAATTGTCGGTTTCTTATTCCTTTGTTAATAACATTAAATTTGGTTTTAACTTAACGAATAAAAGGTCTAAAGATGAATATTTTTCTCCAAGCGGTCGGAATGAACTTTACAACGACTACAATTGCTCTAAATGCTGATGTATCCCAAGAAGTGTCCTCTATTGTCACAGTCAATCAGAAAACATTCTGGCAACACTCTTACAATTACGATATTCCTCAAATCTCTCCTGCAGGGGCCTACAAGGTAAGAAAAAAAAATACAATCCCTATCTAAACAGAGACATACGTACATATTGTCCTATCAACTTTTAAGAAAATAGGAGAATATTATTATTATTATATATATATATATATGTTTCTTAAAAAAAATTAAAAAATTAAAAAAAAAGGAGGGGTAGTGAAAATAATCAATCAAAAGATTATTAGAAAAAGTCATGGTAGCAAACCAATAGATTACTTGCACAGGATTTACTTATCATTCATGCTTTCTATAGGTCGTTTTTCAATCTGTCAATACCAACGTCAATACTTCAGTTGGAATCAATCTAAACCCATTCATTTCCTCATCTTTGACACCTCCTTCATCAACCCAGGCATCTTCTGCAGCATCAGCCTCGAGCTCAACTGGATCTTCGTCTTCAAACTCTTCAAGAACTGCAAATGATAGTCAACGGATTTCGGGAAATATCGGCTTTGTGGCTGCTGTTCTTGCCACAGGCCTCTTTTTCATAACCACATTTTAGATGAGACTATTTTTTTTCTCTTTCTCTCTCGTACACAACCAACCCTATCTCTCCTACCTCCCTTTCTCTCCTACTCCTCTTCCTCCTACTTCTTGTCCTTGTCCTTGCTTTCCTTGTTTTCCTTGTTTTCCTTGTTCTTCTCGCCTCTTATCCCTCGACCTCCATGGACTTTATCTCTTTATCTCGATCAAAAAAAACAAACAAGTTTTACTCCCTCTTTTTTGGTTTTTTCTCCTTTACCCCATTCTTTCCTATTCTTTTCTTTTCTTTTCTCTTCTTCTTTCTTTCTTTCTATTATATACACATACACACTTGGTATAATATATTGTGTGTGTGTAATTAAATAGGAAACTGTGGTAGTGGATAATGTAGCAAATACATCTAATCTTCATTAACAAATCCTCTTGTTTATTTTCCAAAATATAATAATACTAATAATAATATTAATAATAATAACAGTAATAATACTAATAATACTAATAACAATAGCAATAGTAACAAGTAAAAATAAAGCAAAAGAAAACAAAAAAGGGAAACCATTTTTTATATATACATATATTTCAATGGCGTTTTCTTTCTTGGTTTACCAATCTTGCATCTTTCCTTTCTTTTATGCAACTAAGCTAAATACATTTAAACTATGCTTGCTAATGCGTATAAGAAAAAGCTATAGTTTAAATTTATTTATATGTCTATTGTTCTTTTAAGGACTAATGCTTAGCTTGACACTTTTTGAGGTATTACATGTACACAAGAGTCTTGAATTCTGCACTCTTTTCAGACATAAGATTTATCTTACCCTCATGCCACAATTATCCCCACACACACACACACACACACACACACACACTTAATATATATCTGTATCAATAAAAGATACTTCGTTAAATTATTCACTGTAAAGAAGGATGAGAATTACAATACTTTATTATGTTTATCCATTGTGTAAATCCACAATGGAGGTCTTCATTTGATATTCAGTTGTACAATTAGTAAATGGACTCTGTATATGGAGAAAGGTATAAAAAAACACACACATAAATTATTGTCCTACTGTAACCAAAGTAAAAAAAGATAAATAAAAGAACTTTGTATTTTTCTGGGTTTTTTTCTTCTTCTTCTTCTTATTTTCTTTACACAGTCTGTGTACCTTTAACCTTCTTCTCTTTTTTTAGCTTAGGTTGGTTTAGTTAATTGATTGTCATCATAGTAAATCTTGTACTCTTTACTAAATTTCCTGCATCTTTTCCTTTTATACATACATACATATATGCATATAAAACTCAAATATCACTACAAGCCAATTGGTTAGTAAGATACGCACCATCTAAGAATACACAGCATATACAAATATTAATATCTACACATTTTGTGTGTGTTAAAGAGCTTTCGCTATCTATAATAACACACTCTTGAGGTACTTCTGTAATATATATATATATATATATATATATAAGCCATTAGTGATTATTGCTGTATATCTCATAAAATAACTGGGATCTACTCACATTAGTCCAATCCTTTTGATACAAGACCATGCTGCTGTCAGATAAGAGTAGTATGCATATCTCATGCTAGATATATGGATAGGAATATTGTAATAATTTATGTTTTATGTATACCTCTTGGAAACAATAAATCTGTAGTTTATTTTAATAAACTTTTGCTTACTTGAGATAAACTCATCTATTTTTCTTCCTCGCTCACTACACTTATTGATCCTTTCCATCTCTCTATTTCAAGCGTGACCTGTCTTTTTTTTTTTTTAGATACCCTAATTTATTTTGTTTTAATTCAACCCTAAAATATCAAAGGGACTTTACATACATACACATACACACATACACGCTTATACATATTTACTTAAAGCCAACAATGCTTTCACGAACAGCCTTTCGTTCACAATTCAATTCGCAACCAAAAACAAAATATATCTTTAATACCAAAAGTTACTCATTGTCCTCATTTCCAGTTATTCATTCGGGTTAGCATCAAGAATCTTATTGTATTTTATTTATATTTATATTTACCCCTGTAAAAAAAAGAAGAAGAAGAAGAAGAGAGAATTTAACTCATTCTATGCTTGAAGATTGCCAATTCATCTCTAATTCATCAAAGTCAAACCTAAAAACCCTAAAGAACAATACAAGGAATGTTCAGCATTCTTATATTATAACCAGAGTATGTATAAAATATACATAAACACATACATACTTGTACATACATACATTCACACGAACACGCAATGCACACTCGCATACATACACACAAACACACACACACACAATGCATACTGATTTCTTAGATGTATTCGTAATCCCTATAGAGTCTTTCTCACTCTGAGAACCCTACCAAACCCACCTCCAAGCCTACCCAGTCCGGATTCTCCCTAAAGACACCAAAGGGTACCAAAGATTACAATGACAAGGAAATGGCTGTGCGCGAAAAGATGTTTTCAACCATCAAAACCGTCTTTAAAAGACACGGTGCAGTTACCATCGACACGCCGGTTTTCGAACTCAAGGAGATCCTTGCAGGAAAGTACGGCGAAGACAGTAAACTGATCTACGACCTGGCCTATCAGGGCGGCGAAGAATGCTCCTTACGATACGACCTCACCGTACCATTTGCTCGGTTTCTGGCCATGAACGGCAAAGAATACCCTTCGATCAAGCGGTACCAGATTGCCAAAGTCTATCGCCGCGACCAGCCCGTGATGACAAAGGGCCGCATGCGAGAGTTCTATCAATGTGATTTCGACATCGCGGGTACTTACGACTCCATGATCCCCGACGCAGAAATCTTGCGTGTCCTTTGTGAGTCCCTGACCGCACTCGAGATTGGCGACTTTGATGTCAAGATCAACCATCGAAAGATCCTAGACGGAATCTTTGAGGTATGTGGAGTCCCGACCCAAAATATCCGGTCAATCTCGTCAGCGATCGATAAGCTCGACAAACTTTCGTGGCAGGAGGTGCGCAAAGAGATGACAGCCGAAAAGGGTTTACCGGAAGATGTGGCAGACAGGATTGGAGAGTATGTCAAACTCAAGGGTGATCACACTCTGGTCGAGAAACTCTTGCAGGACCAGACCCTCAAAGCCAACCCAAGTGCAGCCCAGGGCTTAAAAGACATGGCTACCTTGTTTGAGTTTCTTGATGTATTTGACATCCGTCACAAGATGTCATTTGATCTCAGTCTGGCACGCGGCCTTGATTATTACACTGGAATCATTTATGAAGCAATCACAAAGGCACCATCATCATCCTCATCACATCTCACATCATCTTTGGGTCAATCAACTGACGGAACAGATCAAAAGAGATCAAGAAGACGAAGCTCGCAAGAGCAAGAGCAAGAGCAAGAAAGTGCAGAGGCTAGTGTAGGTATGGGATCAATTGCCGCCGGTGGACGGTACGACAACTTGGTCGGAATGTTCTCGGGCTGCAATAAAAAGGGAAAACCCAATCTCCAGATCCCATGTGTTGGTGTGTCTATTGGTGTGGAACGAGTATTTTCTCTTCTGATGGCCAAACAGGAACAACAAGCTATCAAGAGCAACGAAACAAAAGTGTTTGTGATTTCGGTGGGGGATGGTCTGTTGAAAGAAAGAATGGAGCTCACTAAAGAACTCTGGGATGCCGGTGTCAATGCGTCGTTCTTATTCAAAAACAAACCAAAGCTGGAAAAACAGTGGATGGCATGTGAAAAAGACCAGATCCCACTGGCAATCATTATTGGAGAGGATGAGATCAACAGAGGCGAGATCAGAGTCAAGGACATGCGGGCAAAGGATATGTCGCAGGGAGGAGGAGTGACGGTGAAGCGAAGCGAAATGATTGAGGATATCAAATCTAGACTCTTGAACATCTAGGCTTGTAGACTTTTTGACTGTAATAAATGCGTGTATATATAAATATATAAAAGCTATAGACTCTTTATTTATTGGAAAATTATAATGATAATAAGGTTAAGCATCAAAATGTTGTAAAGACCTTCCGGAATAAAAATGTTTCGAAACCCTTGGCAGGTCTAGGGAGCGAACTAAAAGTTACAAAGAGGACCTAATCTGCCATGGTGCACTAACTTCGTAAAGAGCCGTTCGTTTCAAGTGTGGTCCAGCATCAGAGATTAGTAGATGTGAGAATCTCGACTTGTATAACACAGTATTTTCTTCCCTGGTACGAGGAATTGCCCAGAAATAATTTCAGACCGTTTATATTCCAAAGGGATGGCACACCATGCCACATGGTATAAGAAAGAGAGGTGACTTGTAGATAGCTTTGGCTTTTGGACTGCCCAGAGCCAAGCTATAAATCCTATCTAGCATGTTTGGGCACATATTCCGAAGAAACTTTGTAAAGATAGAGAAAAAGTAATGAGCTTAGAAGAACTTGAAGCAGTGATACACAAGGCATGGCTGGAGATACTACTTCAAGTTCTGGAAACTTTGGTAGCCAGCATGCCAGATAGGCTTAAAGAAGTAATCGAGAGAGGTGGTGACACAACTCATTACCAGAGCTCATACCTTTTCTCTTAAATATATATATAATAAACTATGTTTTCTCTAAGTTTTGCTTTATTCTGAGCACATTTTATTATCAACATTATTGAAAAGAAAATATCGTTCATAATATGCTTGAAAAATAATTTCGAAAATTAGAAGACCGTCCAATGACTTATTACACTCGAGTGTATAGTGGAGAAAATCCAAGCTCTTTCACATTAATCACTGTAATGCATTTCGTCCTCTCACTTTTACCTTCTTGGTAAAAAAAAAAGGGCAAAAGATGTGAACCTTAATGCATCACTTCAGATGACCTTATCATGTCGTTTACTACTTCTATTCAGCCTTTACTTTTAGATTTTCAATTCTCGCAATATTGCCTATGAACAATTTCTGGAATTTACATTTATACTTTGTTATATGTCTATGCGTAGTAAATATGTAACTCTTTTTATTTATAGTGCTATAGAGAAAGACTAAATATATATACCATAAATGTGTATATTAGTGAAGCTTTACATCTTTTCTTACATGAATGTTTGTACATTTATGTGTATGACGGTGTGTGTTTGTGTGAATCTGATGGTTTACTGTTATTTTAATGCTAATCCAAAGAGTCTATTGATTATTGAAATAATTAATGATATTACTCTGAAATTAATTGAGAGCAACAAGCGCAAATTTTACATAATAGATGTAGTATAAACAAAGACTTAATCTATTGGTTGAAGGGTATAAAGTAGATTTTAAAGACTTACAATAAATTTAATTAATAGTGTGTTATGTTGATTAAATAATATTAAGATCACTTTACTCAGAGTGTACATGCATGAATGTATATTCCAATAAAAACAGGTAACAATAGATAAAGAAAAGTCTAACTCACTATAGATATATGTTACCTTTATAAATCATACTCTATTACGATTATCATATTTATTGAATTATTTTTACAAATCAAGCAGGACTATTCTGACCCGGATCCTGATCCTGATCCTAATCTTGAATGAACATGTTTAAATATACTACTTTCTTCAATAGAACAGTCTTCAACAGATTTGAATCGAAATATCAAGACACAATCCTTAAGATCTCTTTTCCAAAACCTCTTGATTTTATAACCTTTGCCAAATTCCTCCATGTCATTTCGTTCCTTATCCTGCTGGCTTCTTCGTCGGAAGTCTTTGTAGTATCTCTGTGCAAATTCAATGTCACGTTTTCCAAGTTCCCATGCAAAGATTCTTTCTTTCCCGTTTGTTTCGTCAATACACACATGGTACCAATTTGATAGAGGTGTCCGTTCCTGATTACTTTGGTCCAATCGGTTGATGCTGACATTTTTCAGTTGCTCAATGACAAAATGCTTAACACATTTGTAAGCATATAAAAAATTGTTTTCAAAAAAAAACGTGATATCGGATGTACTTAATATTTTTAGTTGCGAAAAAGGCATATCCACTAGGAGCTGCCCGGTTTCTTCAGAGTCAGAATGATATAGTCTGATATCCTCCAATTTCATGTATTTCAGTTGCTCACAACGGAAAGATATGTATTTAAAAGTATGTGAATTCATTTTTGTATGCTTAATATCCAGTTTTTGCAATGAGTGTGGTAAGTGTGTAGGCTGTGGATACTCGGGGGAGCAAATATATGAATAACATATATATAATGATTGCAAGACTGGGCAATTATCCAAAATATTTTCCATATCGAGCATAGTAGTATAGTTAATGTACAATACAGTCAACTTGTGGCAAGGTACGAGTAGTTTGGCTTCTGCACGTACGGCAAATATGGAGGAAACATGTAAAAAAATTGCCGATTCAGAAAAGTATTTGATCCAATCGCTTATATCATTCTCTTCTAAAGTTTCACCAAAATAAGTAATTTTGGGATACTTAATCTTTACGTTGAAATGTTGAAGGGCGTCATGAAATATTCTATGTAACCAGAACTCATTATTGCGGGTAATTGTTTTTGTTATTTGTAGACAAGGAAAGAATTGTTTGAGAGATAGCAGTATTTGAAGTCGACTCTGATACTGCGGGTCTTCGCAAGATCTTGGAATCAAACTGCGCGGGGGTGCATGGTAGGCTAAATCAAAGCTGAGAAGATTGGGATACTTGTGCGCAAAGTAAAATATCCACAGTGTGTCAATAGCATCAGAAGAAAAAATCACCGTTCTGATACTGTGTGCTGGCTCGACTCTTCTTATCATTTCTATTTCTCTTTCGTGTATTGGTTTAATAAAGGTATGTATGTCAATATATTCCAGCCGTGGCAAGTGGCGGTGAAGCGATTCAAAGTCGGTCAGATAGGTGCTGAAGTTTTCTTCGCTAGAGTGCGCTCTGGAGATCTCGAGGTGAACAAGGCAAGTCAATACTGAAAGTTGTTCGAAGATAGTTTCCAGTACAAGCTCTTTGCGATAAAATTGTATTTCCAGGTGTGACAATGTTTCCCAAAGACTCCAATCAAGTTTTGTTTTAACGGAGTCGTCTATTAGAAACTCACCCCAGAAAAAATACTTTATTCTGGAATATTTTTGCTGTAATATAGGAATATGCCTATAGTATTTCATATCTATATTACTCATAGCCAACTCTTTTACTCGGTACACATTATTTAAAAATACTTGTTTGACTGAATTTGTTGAACATTTTTTGTAGAGTATTGTTGTCAATATCAATTCTAGCCCAGTAAGCGTCTAAAAATGGTTCTGTCCACTGATTGCAGACCAGGGCACAGTTAAGGCGGTCTTCTTTTTCAACATATGTTGCCAGGTGTATGAGGATCTCTAATGGTAATGCTGCTATCATTGTAACGTAGAGGGAATACTAAAGAAAGAGAGAGAAATCCCCTATTACGTATCCATCAATCAACTGCTTTATACCTTACTTATTTTTTATGTGAAACGAAATACACATTCAAAGCGTGACTTGTAGACCCCGAGTACTGGCTACAGAATCTTCTTTTTTACCATATCAAGAACATAACCTCTTTAAAGTTTCTCATTAAGGTTTTTCTGTGGTTGCTTGGCAACATGTAGCTGCGGACACATACAAGATGTACACACATATATATATATATACACACAATGTATTTGTATTAATTAACTAATATGCTAAAGGCCCATAAATAATATTGTTTACCTTAACCATGACATCTGTGTATAAAGGACAAACATTTTTTTATATATACTTTTCTTAATATGGACTCCTTGGAGATTTGGTTGACTACTTTAGCTTTCACCAAAGTAAACACCTCTAAAACCACTTAAAAGATAATTGATGGTCTTTAAATATATATGTATATATATAAGTATTATTTGTTAGTATCAATATATGCTCGTTTCATATTAGCCATGCGATCCGACATTTACATAAAATGAGTCTTTCGCGCTTTAACAGGTATCTTCTTCCATTATCCATAAATACCAACGTCCAAATCCTTCATATTTGTCGGACCTGGAGGGTACTCTTGCCATTATCATGCAACTTGAATAAACCCAGATCCTTCTTAATAGTAATGAGATATAGGATATGCAGTACTTGTGCAATTACTGATACACTATTGACATTTTCATGGTTATCAACCACCTTTGATATCTAACAAGAAACATTGCCTTCTTGACAAATGCACTTCCCCATCATGTTTTTTATTTAAATAGGTATAAGAAACACGAGACTTCTTTTCCAAAGAGCTGTATATTCCCATATTTTGTCAAGGCTATTAATTACTATATGTATATATATTAAGTAGGAAAAGAGTGTTAGCTATTCAATGTAGATATTATATTTTATTAAGCTTAAAAAACATTCCATCTACTCAAGGATGGATATGTATATCAATTATTTTCTTATTATTGTATATTAGTGTGTTTGGTGGCATTGATCATGGTAATACTAAATGCATTCACAAAGTTAAAATTTATACACTTCAATCAAATTTACAATTGAGAAGGTAATTCAAAGTAGTTGGCTATATAAATTTATAAGAAAGGAACATAGAAAAAACAGATTTTACATTCTACTTGGGCTTTGTAAGCTTCATATAAAAGATCAAAAGAATGAAAATTTGATAGTATTTTAGAAAAAAAGCACGTCACGAGAGAAAAAAAAAGGAAAGAAATTGAATTATAATTATAAAAAATCAAGCCACACTTGAATTCTTAATTCAAAGTTTATCACTTTAGTGCGAGGTTTATTTTCATTTATTTTATAATAAAAAAAGTTATCAGAAAACAGCTCCTTCCATGTCATGCCCTGGAATAGAGACAGACGAGATCATCAACTGCTGAAAGTAAATTCCGAAGAAAAAACAATCAACACACTTCACTCTTTAGAAGGTCTGCTAGTATTCATCTACTAACTTGAATATTGTGTCTAGTTTGAAAAACGTAGAACGGTTATGTACTGCATACAGATCCTGTAGAGTACGGTCACTAAAGAAAAATAGATTTCCAGTTTAGAGGGGGTTTATATAGTTTTTCGAAAAATATTTTGCCTGACCCTGAAAAAACTATAGCCAATCACAAAAACTAAATATTTAAATTCCGTATTCAAACCGTGACTCTTGCTTTTCAAGGTCCTGTGGAGTTACAAAAGAATCTATTGCCATTAGGGAGAGAGAGGGAGGTTTTTTTTTATCTTGAAATTATTCGCTCAGATTGTATAAATCGATTTGACTGGATTATTTTCACTCACGTTTACTTGAAACACACTGTTAATAATAAGAATATGCCTTGTGCTTATAAAAACACATACTTAAATACACTATTATGCATAGATAATATAAGGCTGGGAAAATGTAATTGAAGAGCTCTAAAAACTAGCAGGCTAAATCCATTACATAAAACCATCATATCGTGCTATATTAAGGTCACATTTGAGATGTGTGCGGTTAACAGACGTCGTGTCCCTAATAATGGTAGTTTATCAAAGTTTATCGTTTCAAATTCTTCACTGAGCCAAACAGTATCAATAAAGTTGTTTTTTTAAGAGAAAATAAAAAACCACCTTGACAACGGTATATCATAATAAGAAAAAACAGAAGACAATTATCCCAAGTAGACTTAAGCCATTTTTTTTACAATATGTAAGATGAGGCTTAAAGATGTACAACGTTTCACTTCAAGAGCGATATATAATGTAGTTTGGTTACTATTAATTGGATAATATTATTATCACTATTATAATTTCTTTCTTTCTTTCTCTTTTTATTTATTATTACAATTATCGACATCAAAGTTACCACCCAACATTCTATCGTTTATTGCAACTCATGTCGCCCGAATGAACCAACGTACGTGTGTATTAGTCTGTAAACAGTGGACGGAACCATTTCTAAATGCTTGTTGGGGTAAAATAAGTGTCGAAAAGCTTAAAATAAAGAGCATGGTCGACACATCCAATCTTAAACGTGTTTACACAATAAATACCCATCGTGTGTGGGCATTGGAACTAGCCACTCTAAATCCAGAAGACATGGTATATCTTTCATGGTTACAACAAGCGTATCCTAAGCTGAAGTATTTTGAATGCATGGAAACAAGAGGGCAAGACAGCTGGATTACAGAATCAATTGATTGGAGTCTTTGGAAGTCATTGTCATACTTGAGTATACATTTGGATTATAGTCATGAGGACGATACGGTGGAAAGCTTCTTCTTAAAACTCTCAGAATTTTCGTCCCTTGTTCATCTCACAATCAGTCCATCATACGGTGACCGAAAGCGTACTACTTTCTCCTGGATAGATAATTAAGTACTTTACCACAACTTACCACATCTGGAGTATCTAAAAGTTGATTATATCCTTGCGCCTATCACAAAAGATGACATGGAGATAGTAAGATATATTCCCCCGGCGCATACTGTGACAAGGATACATTTTCCGGAAAGTTCCATTGACACCTTTTGGATATTTTACTTTGCACTCAAATACCTCAACATACTCCATTTAACTATCAGAGAGGATCATATCGGCGAGCCAAGAAATCCCATAAATGACGTCCAAGATTATCAGAATGAACTCCAAGTTCTATCGACTCTTGATATTTTTTCCCTTGTTTAAAAAAGGTAGTAACACCCGTTAGACCTTTCTCTGGATGACCCTTAGCTATATTTTTCGACACTTCAAAATTTTGGCTCAACATTAGAACACATCGAGTTTTTTAATGACGGGCGCTCCACATACCTAGTTGATGATTTCAAAAGTTGCATTCAACCTTTCTCAGAAACACTAAAAACCCTGTCGATCAAGACATTTGATTATCCTAATTCCAAACCAAACACATACATTTTTAGCGTATGTCCAGAACTAGTTGAACTAAGAATTGTGTCTTTTAGTGTCTTGGTAGAAGTAGACTTCATATCAAATCAATTCTTTGCCTTGCGATTATTGCATGTAAGCTCATCTCCCGTATCACTTACCACATCCCCAAAGAACACCCCCGCCCCGCACTCTACAGAAATTGGAAATTCGTGGTTCAAAAGTCGGTCAAACTGTCTTTAAATACCTGTCCTTCAATTGTAAACAGCTCAAATTCATCAAACTGATAAATATCGACGTTTCCGAGACTGGCTTAGAAGAATATGGTTAATTAGTATTCGACATGTCCTTGTCACAACTGGAGGGATTAATACTTGACAACATCAAATCTGGGTATAACATTGTCAAGCACTATATCATTGAGCAAATGGAGGATCCAGACGCTAGTTCATCAGATCAAAATGGCGAGGGACAACCAGCACGGACAAGCTGGTATCATGTGTGCTTGGACGAAACAAACAAAAGAGAAAGGCACTTGGCCTGGGAGCTCGGGAAACACGATATCGAGTTTTCTAAGAGATACTACGGAGATTTCAAACGCAGAAGATTGCGTGAAAAAGGACGGAAAGACTTGGAGCGAAATATTAAGGAGTTACATACCAAAAAGATTCTGGAAAAGGGATCTTCAAAATGGTGCTTTGCTACTTTGATTTAAGTCTGTTAAAAGCTATTTTTTTCATAAAAAAATAAAGCGAAAGGCAGCAGCCAGTATCTACTAGTACAGCCATTGTCATCTATGTCAGCCTGATTTGTACTCTTTTTATGCTTTCAATACAGTTTTGTATGTACTCCATACCTAGCTTTTTTTTTATATTCTTATCACAGCGTCCACATCCATTTAAACCAAAAATTTGCACAGGTCCATACCCAGTTTACTTAATATTATAGAAAAAATTGATTTGTCTTAAGACATATCTCCGTGTACGGAAAGTAGGTCTATCTTTATGAAGAATAACCTTCCTTGATCTAGCTTCTGCAACATTTATAAATCAAGGACAGCCATTTTTTTGTTTACTTGCTATATTACTAATGTATTTATTTTGATTGATATCAATATTATCTACAAATTCAAAATGGCCAGGTTCTTCACCGAACCTCAAACCTAATGTCTCTTTCTTTACATTCTTCATATTATTATTATTTTGAAACACGCACACACACACAGTTGACACTGTATTTATGATATAAACCAAAAGAAAGAAGATACGAAAGAAAAACTGCATGTCGCTTAGCTAAATTGCATTGTCCCATATGTTACTGTAACATTAATTCGCTTATTACTTGAACTATCAATATTTGTCTTTTTAGTGTCTCTCAATCATGCGAGGATTGCGTGCAATACTAAGTTTTGAAGTTAGGTATCTTGAAGTCGCTAATAATTGTTGGTTTGCGGAACAGATATTTTTTTTTATTATGACAATAGTTTGAGCTCGATGAATAAAATCACATAAACTGTTCAGGTATATATATATATATAAGAGGAGAAAAACTCCCGTTTGTTGCTCTTCTACAAACGTTGACCTTAATGCTGGACAATGTCAATCTCAACTCAATGTAAGAAATGAAAGCCGATCTTCTCCTGTATATCCCTTACCAAATGCCTTTAATCCTCATTTATTTTGCCTGCGATGGCTTGCATTTCTGGTGTAAATGGCTCGCCGGTCTCTTTAATTAGCTTAATTATACTTTGCACAACATGCCGTCTCATGCCAACAATGTGCGCAATCTTTCCCAAAGAAACATTTGATTTGTGAAGGTAATAAACACCCCAAGTCTTTTCTACTACTCCTGGCTCTTTTGCAGAGAAATCGTAATCGTCAATTTCGGAATCTTGTGCTGACATGCTTCACTTTAATGAATGTGCTGATGAATAAAATAGAATAATTTATGCAAAAGTATATTGAAAAATTGCATAATTATATGTGACCGTATAATAATGAGCATATTCTTGAGAGATCCATTAAGATAATATATTAAAGCATTAATAACAATAGTAATGATTTTTCCTCCTGTGTTAGCAATATCTGAATTTGCTAGAGAAAAAAACACAGTTTGATATGGAATTCCTCTCTCTAAAAATATTCTTTTACTAACAGGATTATAAGGTTGTGAGTCAATCCACTGGCCTGACCCAGAATTTTACCAACCAAAGTTGCTTGATCATGACTATGCTGACCCACTTGTCGGAAGATAAGGAATATAAACCAACCATATTTCCCAGAACTTTCTATCAGTAGTTCGAGTGGTAGCTTGTACCAGAGTAAAAAGTTAGTTTTCTTTTTATTTCTTTGTGATTTTTCGGATATTGTCATAGTGTTTTGTTCCTTTAATAGATGTGAATCAACGCAGACTGTAATATCGAGCTTTAGAAACATGAAAGAAAATCACTAGTTTCATACTGCGTTTATAGTATGTAGTGCTTATGCACATTATAACTATGATATATCAGTTAAAAGCATTCATAAAAAGATAAAGGTCTATGTATATAGATCAGATAAGTGAATTTTTTACTAGACACACAGTTTCATGAACTATACAATTTTATAGTAAAGCACAGATACTTTTGATATCTGATACCAGAAGTTGTACTGAAATAAATTATTTTTAAAGTAGTACTTCTCAAAGGTTTCGATATAAATTCTACTTAATTCTTGCGAAAAGACAGAATTAATACAATTTTTTTGTTGCTTTTGACACCGTATACACGACCATGGAGTCCATATTCACGACACTGACCTATTGGTATAACATACTTTTCCCACAGTTTTCTTACATGTTATAAATGCGGCTTTCCAAGATCTTCTTGGTTCTGTCTCACACAACGTTATCATGGACGTACAAGAAGAGCTGATCAACCAACTGACATATTTCTTGTAATGCTTCCAGTTGAAAATTAGCCCTTGTGGGTAAGCGGCTAGATATAATTAGACGTAGAGAACCTCCACATCTCTTTGAGTAGAGCATATTGTAGAATGAAAACTCAATTATTTCTCAAAAAAAATAACTTGAAAGAAGGTCATGATAATTGGCCTATTTTTCTTTAAGTTTAACAAAGGTTTCCTAGGAAGAAGAAAGATGATTAGGAAATCATGCTGTTTGTCAAACCATACAATAGCTTTTGATACAGGAAACCCCACCCAATGCCTAAGTTACATACATCAAAGAGAGACTCAAGACATCCATCAATACTGCATTTATTACGAGAACATTAACCGGATAGAACGTTATGACGATATATACTCACATATGCTTAACAATAGTAACGACTCTAAGAAACAACGTGAAAATAGTTATGTAAAGAGAAAACAAAAATAAATGAATTGCCTGTAGTTTCGGTTGAAGGACTTGCCTTTGTTTGCTATTGTCTTCTTTGCTTTCCTAATTTCTTTCTCTTTTTTTTACGGTACATTCTACTCATAAACCTTCAAAAGAAGGTAACAATTATGCCAGGTACTTTTTCGGTATCTATATATATATATACATAAGTAAAAGAATGAAAGTGCAATACGTACGAAGAATATCTAGAATCTGCTTATTTGTCACAGGTCTACTGAATGATATTCTATTACATACACATATTATGCACTGTATTTCTCACCACCAATTATATAAAGAACAGTGGAGCATTGGGAGACTTTGCATAAATCTTTATTTTGTTTCTATGTAACAATACAAAACAATTGGAAACCTATTACTGAGCAGTCAAATCAAAGAAATTGAATTCTGTAGAGAAAAAAAAATTCCCCAATTCCATCCAACCAAGCACACAGTGCAAAATCGTCTCAATTTCAAGTTGAAATGTTGGTTTCGACTTCCTGAGTGGTCAAAGGAGTTTAAATAAGTTATCGAAGCAAAATCGAGTCCGGGAATACGTCCGGGTCCTTATTCCAGAAAATAGTCGAAGAAATGAGAAAATTTGAGGTTGTGGGGGTGAAAAAGTGGTGGGCTGGCAGGGGGGGATTGTGAGTCGTCGAACGGAGAGTGGGAGCGAGAGGTCGAGAGGGCGAATGGTGGGTGTGAGGGGAGAGGATATTTGGAGGTCCTTGAAGTTCATTGAATTCTCTCTTCCCTATACATTCAACAAGTGAGTAAATCAACTACACATCAATCCCCACATTATGGATTATGCTCCAGATGTCTGTGGATGGATTATCTCAAAAAGACAGATGTATTGATCCTCTTAATCTTCTATAGTATGGCTGACTCTGCAACGGCCGGTAATCGTGGTAAGCATACTGACAGTCCACAGCGCCTCTCTTCCAAGTCAAACAAAATGAAGCACCAGAGACCATATTTTTTAAAGAAAAATATGATCCTCCTCTTCTCTGTGAACAAAAATTGCCATACGTTCGCCATCATTCAACATTAATCATTCACCAAACAAAACAAAACAAAAAAAGGCATTTTGTTGAATGTCACCGGGCCTTTTCAGGAATTAAAATAAGAGTGTGGAGAGGAGGAAAGAGATGTCGTTGTTTGATTGGAATGAGCGGGACATTCTTTGATCTAGTACATATAATGGATGAATAATTGACTGATAAACCTTATTTTTTTTTACAAATAAAAAGGACGCGGTGGTTTTGGACGTGGTGGTCGTGGTCGCGGCGGTGCCCGTGGACGCGGTGGACGTCGTGGAGATGAAAAGACCGAGTGGTGAGTTCAATCTCTACAAATAAAAACTAATTAGAAAAAAAACGACAGTTAATTAACCCATCTCATTCTTTTTTTCAGGGTCCCTGTCACTAAGCTTGGCCGTCTCGTAAAGGCTGGCAAGATCAAGTCTATTGAGGAGATCTACCTCTTCTCTCTCCCCATCAAGGAGTACCAGATTGTCGATTTCTTCCTTAGCAACTTGAAGGATGAGGTCATGAAGATCATGCCCGTCCAGAAGCAGACCCGTGCTGGTCAGCGTACCCGTTTCAAGGCCTTTGTTGTCATTGGTGATCACGATGGCCATGTCGGTCTCGGTGTCAAGTGCTCCAAGGAAGTCGCCACCTCCATCCGTGGTGCCATTATCCTCGCCAAGCTCTCCATCATCCCCGTTCGTCGTGGTTACTGGGGTTCTGCCCTCGGTGAGCCCCACACCGTTCCCTGCAAGGTCACTGGTAAGTGCGGTTCCGCCTTGTGCCGTCTCGTCCCTGCTCCCCGTGGTACCGGTATTGTCGCTGCCCCTACCCCCAAGAAGGTCCTCCAGTTGGCTGGTATCACCGATTGCTACACAACCTCCCGTGGTTCTACCCGTACTCTCGGTAACTTCGTTAAGGCTACCTTTGCTGCCATTGGTAACACCTACGGTTTCTTGACTCCCGATCTCTGGGAGGAGACCGAGTTCTCCAAGGTTCCTTACCAGGAGTTCACTGACTTCTTGTCCCAGAAGCAGAGAAAGTAAATGTAGCTTGTCTCAATATATTGACTTGCTTTACTTTTGAATAAACAAATAAATTTCTTTTATTGATCAAATAATAACAATAATAACAATAATGACAATAATAATTATAATAATTATACTGATTTATAATAAGGCTGAAAGTGTAATGTTTGTATTGAATGTAATGAGTGGGATGAGTATCCAAGTAGTATTAGTAGACTATTTAAAAGGGGATTCCATTGGTAAGCTTTTGGAATCTGTCGTAAAGTACTGTTCGCTGATTCTCGGATGAGACTTGGATGCACATTGTCATAAAGTCAGCAGCAGCACGTTCAGACTTATCCAACTGGAAACGTCCTCTCATTCGCTTGATTGTTTCTCCCTTGAAGCAAGGCAAGCCTGACTGGAGCATCAGACTAACCAGTTGCATAATTAATTCAGCGTAAGGTCGGCAGGCGAGATAGGCTTTGATAACTAATTCCGAGAACTTTTTATAACCTTGTTCTGGAGTTCCACCCATAACCTGAATCATTTCTGTCGTCAACTTGAAAGGCGAGTTTTCAAAGGTAATGCCTCCAGGAGCAATATCAAAGATAAAACCAAAATCTGTATAAAATACAAACGGGTTTAGTGATCAAAGGAAGCCTTTTTTTGTATTAATGCAACTCATGTTTCTAACCATACCGATATGAATTATATGACCATCGTCATCCAACATGATGTTTCCGTTATGTCTATCCTTAATCTGTAACAGATATGAAATCACAGAGTAGGCTGCAACACTCTGAACAAAGTTGGTTCGTGCCTTTTGGAAGTGAATGGATTCCGGTCCACCATACTTGGCCACAAAGTAATCGTACATATTGTTGACCTTTTCACGACCGAGCTGATCACGCGAAATAGAACGGGGAATCACATCAATAACACCACAGCCAGGAGCAGTCGCCACTACACGGTAAGGGTAGACGTACAGATCCAAACCCACAGACGTAAATATGTTTTTGAATACGGCAATCAACTGAAGGGCAAGCACGTCCTGACGACAGTCGTCTCCAACCTTGAAAATAGCACCCTGCCAGGCCTTAATCGTCATTGATTTGTTCATTTGTTGTTCTTCCTCGCTCAGCAACGAGTTTGCAATGGGATCAACTTCGACATCCTTTTCAATCTCAAATGTAGCCATAAAAGGAGCCTTTTTTAAACAGAAAAAAAAAAGTAAAATCCTTTTAAGTGTTCTGTACAGGTCATTATTATCTATAGCAATCTTACCTTGGCGTGACTCTGAAGAGGTCTACCAGATTTTCGGTTGATGTCAATTACGCGACCATCCGAATTACTAGGCAAGTAAACACCCTTATCTACCACGATATTTGCAATTTCCTCATCCAGTCGTTTCTAAAATAGAGATAAAAAGCCTTAGTTTTTATTTTTTGTATTCGCTGAAGATTGTACATGTCAAAAGTCATGTTTGCATCATTATTTACCTTTTGCAAAGGCTTCTTCTCGTTCTGACCGAATTTGATGTACTCCTTAAGGTATCCAGAGATTGCTGTGACTTCTCCAAAGAACTTGAACTCACGTTCATAAAACTCACGATCCTCACCAGTAAAGGAGCCAGCCAAATTTTCAATAATCTTTTCCAGAGTAGGCTTGAGAGAATCAGGCTATAGCGTTTTTTTTTTTTTAAAAAAAAAAACAGATAAATATCCAGTCTTCATATTTCTTCTTCTACTACTTTTCTTTCTTTAAGAAAAAAATCGCTTCATTCATACCCTGAGACAATCCTTGTCAGCATCCACAAAAAAGTTGGCTTTCATGTTCCAGATAAGCTGATGAGCAAATAACTGTGACACTTGACCTGCTTCCATAATATATTTCTCAACGTATCCTAAATCATCAAATCTCAAGGCTTGTACAATCTGAGGGATATAGAAAAATACGGTATCGACTGGATAATATTCCAAACTACGCATTGCGTACTGAAGAATCAACGGGTGGTTATTGTAAGTTGGCAAAAAGTAGCTTGTGGCTGTAATAGCAGGAACAGGTGCCCAGTACTGGAGATATTTGAGATCTAACTTGGAGCCTGGCACCAATCTTTCACCCAAAAGGATTACCAAGGCTTCAGGAATATCTACAACATCAAGCGTATTGTTTGCAATCAAATGGTGAAGTTCTCTGTGTACAATTGGCTGTACGAATCGGCTGTCCATCTGAACAGCCAGACGAGGCGAGATTGTCCAAGCAAAGTGTACCATGTCCTTCCAAACATCATCTGTAACCATAGACTTTTCAGTGTTGCTAACAATTGTTGCTGGATATCCGACACTAGTTTCGTTCATTGGATTGCACCAAACTGAGAGTCTGACAAGTTCACTCTCCAAGAAAAGCATAAGAAGCTTCTTGGAAAGTTGATGTTGGCGAACAACATCATCCTTGGTCTTGTCTACAAGTCATATAAATAGAATATGGGATTTATTATCATTTGTTACACTTGCACTTATAGATGACAGCCTTGCATTTCTTGTTTCTTTTATTTTTTGTTTTTTTATCTTACCATTCAAGAACATATAAAGACCAGACGAGACCTTGGAGTTTGAAGTCTTCATAGGTACACTAGTGACAAGGTAGGTGAGGTTCGGAGTGTCGGTAGAAACAGCGTTGTAGAAATCATTGAGAAGTTTGTGTTCCATAAGAGCCAAGCTTCTACGAGCGCCAAAGTGCCATCTAAGATAATACCAGAGAAACAACAAAGCGTTAATTATCTAAGCAGAAATTATAGTCGTTGTACATTATTAAGATACTATAAAACTGTACTAAAATTTATCAATTTACTTTGGATCAAATGAGAACCATTGGAAGGAAGCATCATAGACCAAGGATCTAAACTTATGCTCAGCAAGTGCTTCCATGCGAGTGGAACGAAGAATCTTCATTCCCAGGCGCAACAGTTGGAAGCGGGTATACCGAGACAAAGGATGGGTGCTGTAAGGAAGAGTGTAAGTAGGATTGAATTTTACCAATTTTTGCTCACAGATATACTAATATCTAACCTCATAAGATCAGCATCATTGAATGACTCTTGCAGTAGTCTCACAAGCATATTGACCAAGTGCTTGTTACGGTGGCGAATAGCATAGAAACGACTACTAAGGAATTTGATCCAGCTGTTGTGAGGAGAGAAAATCAACATCGCTGCTTTGTGTTCACGTTCCCGGACAGCGTTATCGGAAGGAGCGTAAGACATCTTGACAACAAAAGGATTCTTGGAGCTATAGGAAATTCATTGTTAAGTTTTGTGTCCAATTCATCATTACAGCCTCTCGCCCAAAAATTATTCCAATAATAATAATAAGTCGTACATACTTTAACAAAGGCGAGAACAAACCCTTGCGATGGCGCTGAGCCCAACTCCACATGCTCAGCATTTCTACCATCAACCGTTTCTCCATATCTGGTCTTTTGACCAAAATCCAGTTCCAAACCGATGTACCGATATCCAAGGACTCGGGTGTAAACATCTCAACTGGAATACGAACAAGGTATCGTAACAGCTCAGGATGAACTTCCGGCATTGCAATTGCATATCCAGCGGCCCGCTTCAATGATCTATTCAAGCGTTCACTCGCAACCTTTTTCTTGTGTTTCACATCGTTGGCCAAAAAACTGAGGAAAGAGAGTACACTTTCCAGTTCATCTTTAATACCAGTAGTCGGAGTAGGCTCAGATAAGATGCCTGCCAATTTTAAATATCGAGAGATAAGGTTAAAAAGTCTTATTAATAATTCTTGGTATCTCTTTTTAGATTTTTCTTATTCTTATTCTCATTATTTTTTACTAACCAAATTGGCTTTTGGTCTTGGCAGAGTATTCAATACCGCTTACTTCACCAGAATAGAATTGCTTGGAGACAAACCCATCAACAAAGTTTGAAGAGTCATCAAGTGAGATTGAAGATATTTTAGGAGCAAACCCTGTAGAGATTTAAAGTAAGAAAGATGAAGCAAAAAGTTACTTTTAGTTAATATCGCTGTTTGATACTTTAAATAAATAAAAATACGTTATTGATTTACTTACCGAGTGATAACTGACTCTTGGAAGAGATTCTTCCGATTTCCAAAGCCAACGAGCGACCAAGATGTGCAGTATCAAAGATGCCGCCTGATCCAAAACGATCGAAATCAGACATATAATCTTGTAAAAGACCACTTGTTTCAAGAGGAGCCCGATCAATGGCAATTAGTAGCCATTTCTTTGCACTCTCATATAAGCGACTGCATATCTCTTTACGGTAACTATAAGAATCTCCCAATTCTAAAGTCACGCCTACTTTCTTAGATGTAAAGTAGTATTGAGGAGAATACTACACAGAAAAAAATACACAAAAAAAAGATCTTGGTAAGTATAATAAAGTCCAACATTTAAGATTCTTCAATATTTACCTCTTCACGGTATTCGGCTTCACAGCTTAGCCATAAAAGTTGAACCAGTTCCAACAATAGCGTAACAAGTTTCTTTTCAACAAAAATCTGAGGGAAAGAGATCACAATGCGCTCTGTGCTCTTAATAGCCAACTCGTGTACTTTTCTAAGGCGGTGACAGCATCGCTCCAAAAGAATAGCAACCTGGGTGGGAAGTTCGTCTCCCAAGGTCTGAGTTAAAGCTTTGCTAGATGCATCCTTGACAAATGTCCCTATTACTCTATCAGCAATCGTCTCCAGACACTTTGAAAGTGGACTTGAATTAACGCCTTCGTTCATAAAATAGCGCAAAATATGACTACAGTTGCCCATTCGACTTCTCATCATCTCAATATGATAGACGCTCGATGCAAATACAACCTGGGCAAACGAAAAACTCTTGATATCGTAGGCAAGAGAAGGCAAGAATCCTGTAAGGCGCTGTCGAGTCTGATTAATGATTTGGTCGGATGTATTGCTTCCTCGAAGCACCGAGTTGCATTCAAGATCACTCTCAAGGTAGCTTGTAGCGCTTTCGATCACCAGGACAGGAGTCTTCTTGGCAATAATGAGCATTGACTCGTGCCATTCGCGAACCCACATCGACTCAGAGACGAAACCAAATAGGATACAGTGGAACCAGAGGTTACGGAACAAAGCAACAGTTTCCTCGCTTGGTTTTTCATGGGGATTGAGATCATCGTGCTCAAGCAGGGTTTTGAGAACAGGCAAGAGAGAGCCAAGTCGAAAAGTGAGTGGTATTTCTATGGCACCTCTGTTCTTGCTCATTATTCGTTGAACAGTATTTCCGTTGTCGATGAAGAGATTGAGCAGATTGTTGAGATATATGAAGTAGAATTCTGAACGTGAAGACATGCCTTTAGCTAATTCACGCTGAGCATTACAGATCTAGAACAGTGATAATGAATTAAAAATTAGGCAAAATATATTATCAAGGTCTATTCGATTTAGTTTTTTTTCTTTGAAAAAATACTTACAGAAATTGTCAATTGCTTATTATCTACCAACAGGGCTTCGCGATTAAACGAAGACAAAAGAATCATAATTTCCTGGAATACACTAATGGGACTGACTAGAGCAAGATCCACTAATCTAGAAGTTAATTGATTCCTTGAATTGATAGAAAGGGTTGTCTGACGAAGCACCAGTACCAGCATTGTGAGGGCCTGTCCAATAATCTATTCATACAACAGATATAAGTTGGGATACTTTAAAAGGTAAATATTATATTTTTTTTCTATCTTTTTAACTTACAGCATCATCTTTGAGGTAAACAGCTATACCAACAACTGCTGAAAATGCGTTTTCGCACACTTGTTGCTTTTGCTTTTCGCTAAGTTGCTCATGAGAGGGAGCGCCAGAAATCACGCTGGACGACCCGAGATTATTATTTTGATTAGATTCTTGTGCTTCACCGCTATAACGTGTAATTTCATTCATCAAAGCATAGAATGTGGAGTTTGCTGTTTTGCTCTGCTGTGCTTGCGGTCCAGCCTAAGATACATTATCAAATCAAGTTATTGTTTTTTCTTTCCATTGGTGTAGATAAATACTGGTTATCGTATTGTTAATAATTATACCTGAACACACTGTGCCAAGCGGGTAATAGCAAGTTGCTGAACTCTTGTTGGGCTTTCTCCTTGAATAGTTATCAAATCAAATACAGGAGACGGAGTAGCAAGGAATCGGCAAAGTGTGTTGATCATATCACCATTCAAAAGAGGGAAGCTGTGAGATAAAAAAATGTAAATAGAAAGTTAAAATTAAGATTTTTTTGGATACATACTTTATAGATATTAATACAATAGCATCAAGAGAAGCAACGTGAACCCATGGATCAGACGTCTGGGGTATATCAAACAGACACTCTGTTACGTGATCAATAAGAACATCGTCGACTTCATGAAGATACACAGATGCTAAAGCGGCAACTTGCTGGTGTGGTGTTAATACTACTTCTGTTCAACATTTCCTTAAAAAGTATCAAAACACTTACCAAGCTTGTACCCATGATTTCAGGCATATAAGCATCTGATGCCCACTTTTTTCCTTCTTGGATACTCTTTTCTGCGTATTTACGGATATCCTCATAGTACCCTAAACTCATAACATAGATGCTTCTCAAGCTACTTTTCATGCTGTCTGAATCGGCAATAATTTCTTCTCCGGCTGTATTTTTCATCAATGTAGACCATGCTGGCTCTACGTGTAAAGTGAGGTGAAGCTTTCGTAGTTGTTTCGAAGGTTGGAGGGCGCAATTTCCAGAAATAGGTTCAGTTTTCGAAATGACGCGAGCTGAAACGTTTCTTAAGATAATTAAAAGATCATAGATGACTCTGTTGCTACTCAAGGGGATATCGTCTTCCCAGTATTTGGCTAGTACACGTCTACTGTAGGTAGTACTTTCGTGTTCTCTGAGACAAGCTGTGATAGCTTGTCGGATAAACACCAAGGTAGTATCCTGAATAAGTGGCTGAGAAAGATGGCATATGGCCAACAGTTGGGTGGGTCTGTATATATAAGGAGTAAGTTGGAGGGCACGGGAAAGGCCAGCAAGGGAGGGTAAAATGAAAGTAATGGCGCGCTCGACTAGGATATACAATATTAGTAATAGTAATTGTTGTTTTTGGTAGTGGTGGCGTGAGCATTAATTTTTTTATACGATATACGGGTTTCTTAGTTAAAATGGGAAAATATATATATAAATAAGTCCTGTATTTTATGCGCTTACCTGTTGTTGTGTTTAATTGTTGAATTATGCATTGGCCATAGCTCCACAGAATACCAACAATTCTTTCATATTCTTCTGGTTGTTGGAAACTGATGTCAAGCAGACCAGAGAAAAGGCTGTAAGTTATTCCATCAGCAGGTGGAAGTCCTACACACAGGGAATTGAAACAAAAAATTATGGGATAATTCATTTAAGCCCCAAGTTCCAGTTTTCAATAGTTTTCTTTTTAAAGGCTTATTTAACCAATTAACTGTATACCTTTGGTAAGGATTGTTTCCTCCCAATTGTAAGCGGGTAGGTATCGAATATATGCGAGTAAACGAGGGAGTAGTTCGTCTTGTCGTTCTTTTGGCGCCTTTGTAGCGTATCTCACTAGCGCAGATAAAGAATGCTGACTTTGTCTGGTCTGCAGTACATTGATATAAAATAATAAAAATTTACTTGTAAATAATACTAATAAAAATATGAATAGAGAGTTGAATTTTATGGTCATTACCAAGACAGCCATGTCCGGTGCATCTTCAGTAGTGAGTATATTGACTTGGTCTAACTCGGTCAACGGTACTGGAGGGCAGCGAGCTAAAAGCCTGTCGACTTCTTCCGCTACTGTCTTTGCTCGAGTGTCCGCAAGAACCTCGGCTAGATTCATAAGGATGCGAGAATGCAAGTCCATGTCAAGTCTAATATTATTTTCGAAGTCTGTTGAGTATTTGAGTGTATAAAACTCACGAAGTTATTTAGTGTGATTATCATTTACCCATTCATCAATAATAGACAGTATTTTTTTTGGGTGTAATGGAGAGGGAAAGGAAAAGGTGTTTCTTGTGGAGTTGACAACCGAGGCGCTGTTTCCATAGCATCCGAGAATAAAGGTTACGCAAGGCACATGCATGGGCGTGACTTCCGAATTGGTAGAAAGCCATGCGCATGGCGATTCTCCTAGGCTTCCGTACTTTTGGGGAACTTCTCTATTTTTGGCTTTAACAAACGTGCCAGGATACTTATGTTTTCAGGTGAATGTAAGTACACACACACACAAATGCATACATAACATATACAAATTTATCTGTTTAATATATTTCTCGCACCAAGAGTGTAGTAGCGCCAATTAAAATTATGCTCACAGAAAGGCGTATTATAGAATCCATGTTTATTTGTGCACGGCCTTGTCAGCCCTTTCAACTAGTGTAATTTCCCAGATATCAAATATCCAATTGAGCAAATTGAATCTTTGGGGTTTAGGATGAAGGTTGTTCTCGAGCATTTTTACTTATTCTGATAATCATACTAATCTTATTCTAGCTTGTTTCAAATACAATATAATGAAATACACGCAGTAAATTGAGATTAATACTAAGAAGCTGCTGGGAAGCAGTTGTTTATTTCTACAAGGTTGTTTGTGTTCTATTGGTTAATTTTATCCAAATATAGACCCAATGTATTCTAATCAATCCTCTTCCTCTTCTTCAGTATCAACAATAAGGTTTGCGCTTGGATAAAGACTCTTGTCATCCATAAGTGTCTGGTCACTCTTGACATCGTAGACCTTGCGAGGGTAGGGGGAAATAATGGTAAACTTATACTTGTGTACATAGTCAGTAGGTGGTGTCTCATTCTCTTCTTTCTTGCCTGTCTCTTTGTACTCCTTCAAAAGAGGATATGCCTCGACAAACTCATAAATTGCCTTTCAAACAAATACCACCCGAATGAGTTCATACTGTTTGTATAAAAGATCCCTCCTTTTCTATTATTTACCTCAATAGGTAGATCGGCTTTGAACTTTCGAATAACACGATCACCGTTCCCCAAACGAAAGCTAAGTCTAGCCACCTTGCCCTCATAATCGGCTGATGGCTCATCTTCAAGCTTAGTAGAAAGATAGCGGATATACTTTAAGCGCTTTTCAATATTATCCAACCGAATCTGCTCCAATCTTTCTGCTTCCTTTTCAGCTTCTTTCTCAGCTTCACGTTCCTCGCGTGCTTTTCTCTCCTGGATATTTTGAATTTTTATTGTTATTAAGAGCTCAGTTAATAAATACCGCCATTAATCTCAATTTACCTTTTCTTGATCAGCTTTGAGACTGTCATGATAAGCTTTATCTTGCTCTTGTCTCAAACGACGCTCAAGATCTCTTTGATCACGTTCCATTTTTAAACGGTTAAGACCTCCCCCATGCCGCTGCAAAACAGCCTCCCATTTTGCAATAAGATCTGCAGGTGAATTGAACCCTTCAAATCTTTCGAGAACAGTCATTGCAGAAGCAGAAGGTCCAACTGGTGGTTGTAATGCAATGGCGGCTGCAAAAGGGTAGGTTGTGGCATGTAGTGTGTTGCTTACTATGAAAAATTGAAAGTAAGATGTATGATTTGTTAGGATCGACACAGCATACAGAATCTCCAAACCCCCTTATATATATATGATTATCATTCTTATAGATCCATTACCTCGATTTGCTTCAGTATTGCGAACATTTCCACCCCAGACCAGAATATTGTTGTTATTTAAAAAGGTTGATAATTCATCTGATGATAATATCTCACTATAATAAAAGAAAGAAAAAGAGAGACTTCCTTGTCAAGAGCCCGCAAAGCAATATCTTGTAGTATCCTTGCACGTTTTTTTTTCTTCAAACATTTTTCTTACCTGCAAAATTTAGGTGTTGCATCGTGATCGTCACATTGCAAAATAACCCACAAAAATCTTAATTCACGTCGTGCAACTTCAAGTGCCTGAGAATATCCACCCTGAAAAAAAGTTGGGTGGGTTGTACCATATTTTTCTTCGTATTCACTTAGAAACTCATTTGCAAGCACTTGAGGATCCTGGTTTCGCGTAGAAGTTGATCTTCTAGGAGAAGACGAAGAAGTAGTTATAGAAGATCTTCCTAGAAAGCGAGCTATGTGTAAAAACTTAATGTCAATAATGGATTGTTGTGAATGATATAAGTTATATAAATATTTGCTTACAAGCAAAGGAAAGTGCAGCCCATGTGATTTGCCAGGCTATGCCAAATGGCCAAACCAGAAAAGAGAATAAACGGAAGGTGCGTGCACTAGGTTGTCTTGGTCTAGGTGCTTGTCGAGGTGTTGAAGGAGCAGGGCGTGTAGTGGCTTCCGGAATTTGTTCATTCTCATTCGTTGCTTCCAAGGGTGCTGTATCTGTATCTGTAGCCACTTGCTCTTCTAGGTTTTCACGTGTTGCTTCTGGCCTACTTCCAATTTCATACACGCTCTGAACCGCCCTCTGTTGGATTGATATTAACAAAAGGTCCAAACAAGATGTCATAATTTAAATGTTTTGTTTATTTTGATTCTATTTACCTCAAGATTCCAGTTATATTCTTCAAGCTTACTAATGGCATCTTCTACATTGTCTGATTGCGTAACTGCCTAGGAATCCATTATCAGATGTCGGAATTCCACATTTATTATTATAATCGTTATTTTATCTATTATCTAATCCATCTTCCCACCTGGAATTGACTTAACGCTTCTTTTTGTTCTGTATCAAGCACATCAAGGGATGTCATTATTATGTGCTACAAGAAAAAAAGAAGAAGAAAGGGCGAATTTTATACTGTTCATTTTTTTTTTCGGGTCTTGCAGCACTTTACTTTCAATATGCCAAAGATGATTGCTTTAATCGGAAGTATATCACGTCATCGCTACCATTGGGCGTATCCCAGACACACAGGTTATGTTGGTTCATGTACTTAATAATTACTATATATTTTAAATCTTTTTATTTTATTTTACCACAAGTCTAGATTCACAATACTCCTTGAGTACAATTATTCAGCTACTGCTATTGTAGCATAAAATTAAAATTTGCCACACACATACATACATATATACATACATATATACAACCAAACTATCGGTAGATAGAATTATTTTTAGTAAAAAGACAAATTTTCAAGAAAATAGCTTCTATTTTATGTTATATTACAAAATAAATAAACAATATTTAAGCAAGTAAACTATAAACACAAAATTATAAGCGCACATCGTCAAATCCTCTCTTTTTTTTTCTTTTTGAATAAGCTATTACAGTTTCTACTTGAGATTGAGACAAATTAGGAAATAGTTTAGGCGAATCATAATTAATTTCTAGACAATAGTGGTCTTCTCCAGCATACGAGCCAAATTATCCCAAGTAGATTGGCTTTTCAATCCAAATATAGAAGTATAAATCCAGAAAGCAGCCATCTTTTCCAAAATGTAAAAAGCAAAGATTACTACTAAACTGTCCTGTAAAAGTTACATTTTATAAATTCTACAGATATAAGATAATGCGTAAAGACGGTTATATTATTGAAAGAATTGAAAGAATTGAAATAAGGTCTTTAGTAGACTGCATCTGATGTTGAACGTATCTCTAAAATAACGGCAAATCTTCTTTGGGACATTTGGATTTTATTTAGCAAGCCCTTTTGAGGCCGGCGAATGTTCAGAGCCAAATTACGTTTTTAGAACAAAGTGAAAATTATATCATACAGCCTACTGCATAAAATAATTTAATAGCTAAATTTGCAATTATTCACTTTTTTCCATTCTTAAATAATTTGGCCCGTATGTTGGAGAAGACCATAGATAATGTCGTTAAAAGTTCTAAACTATTGCTCCCAAAAAAAAAATAAGGACAAAGCATGTCTCACATAGTTTCCCTGGAATATTCTGTTCATCTTTCCTCCATGATACATTGAATAAATAAGCTGTATCTCCATTTTTCTGGCGTGTTCAGAATATTTAATGACACTATCTAATATGCTTACCTTTTGTAGACAGATCGAGAATGAAATTTAGACAAAGAGAAATAAGTTTTCAAACAAAGTAGACATATATTCAGACATTTTACCTGTAATTGTCTAAATGGCTCAAAGAGACAGCCTGTTTGCGTTACAGTGATTGGATCGTTTTTGTTATTGTTGTTGCTGCTGCTGACTGCTTCTTGTTTGCTTGCCTTTATCAGATCCTTGGAAAGCCGTCGGTCGATGGGTTCCTCTCCAAGTTGACAAAGCAACTGTTATCATATTTTTTGCAGCATTAACATCTTCTGCCACAGTATATTACAGGTTTTACAGACCAGTACACTGGAGCCGCGAATGTGATTTGCAGACTCTAGATTCTTCGCTTACCAATTGTTGCACGTCTTTGAGATATTCTATTCATCTATTGTAACAGCGACAAGACCTCCATCTCTCTCTCGTTTCTTCAAAGCCGTACCCATAATTTATGTCACTCCACATCGGTTATTCTTTAATCTTACCAAGCCCTTTCCAAACATCCCGGCCCCAAAAACAATTAACGAGATCTTTGTTTTTTCTTCTTTATACGGGAGAGGTTTTCACTTATTTAAGCTGTCCAAAAAGAAAAAAGAAAAACGTTAAAAATTTCAACCAAAGAAAGAAGAAAAAGAAAAGATTAATTACTCACTTTGTTGGCTTGTTGGGTTTAGGGTTTGTGGCTTCTTCCTTATTTTTCTTTTTAATCTTATTTTTTCTTCTCCTCTTGTTATACTTGCTATCTCCGTTTATCAGTACGTTCACCATTTGCTCGGAAGCTTTCTGGGACCTTTGATATCAAAGAAACTGATATTTGGCAGTGCTAATGCCATAAATATCATATAACATGTCCAGGTGAGCGAAAATATACTGTACGCGGTCAACATATGTTGCATGGGAGATTGTCTTGTGGGATGGTATATGACTTTCAATGGCTTCAATTCCATTTTGCTTTTTCTGCCCAACTTGAGCTGCATGGTCTTGTCGGCCCTGTCATATTGTAGTATTCGTGATTTGTGCCCTGTAGTAGACTATGCACTTTGGTAGATAATCCCTCTGCTGCAATGAAAACGGCCTTTTGTCCAGGGCCGACAAAAACTGGCTTAAAGTTGTGTTATACCTCAATGAACTCAAAATCTGACAATTCAATTTAAATTGTGCTATTTCTTACTTCGATGGGAGTTGGGTTCCTCTTGTAGAATAGGCAATCAATGGAAAAATCCATTTGATCTTATTAAATTTCCAAACATGATTTGATTGTTGCCATTTGGCTTAAGGCCAGAGTTAAAAAAAAAATAACAAGGCTTATTCTTCCCTGCTAAACTGACAATAATGTATATATACCTCTTGCACCCCAGTTTAAGAAAATTGATTACGTTTTTGAACAATAAGAGTTACTTATTGCATCCTCTTGGTAGTGGTCGGGACAAAAAGCAGGATAGTGCATTTGCACTAATAGCTATTGACCAAAAGTGGAAAGATGGTTTTGGAAATAATACAAATAGTCTTGGTAATGGAAGCCGGGTACAACGAAGGGATTATGGTTTGTATGTTTTAGCTCATACTCGAACAAGATTTGCGAAAATGCAGAGATATGCTTCTCAGGGTGTGCTGATAGAGTAGCGAAAGTCACTTTGTCTGGGAGGTGGCTTTTCAACAACTGGCGGATGTTTGTAACTAATGATTCTTGAAGCTCTTGTAAAGTCGATGCACAGATTGGGTCTCCAATACAAACAAAATGATAGCCAATATTCTTCAGATATACTATAAATACTCTTTGGAGATATATTCTAAAATTTATAAAAGTATAAATTTTATAGTAATATTGCCAATTTCTTTTTTTTAGAAAAAACAAGAATATAATGACTTACCACTAATACGTTTTGCAGCGTATAGTGAAAATACATCAGTAATTGTTTCTCAAAGTTTTATACTATATGACTGGTATAACAGCCTGCAGGTTCAGTGAAAGCTTCGGACAGACATTGGCTGGCCCCGCTTTGTAGACTTTGGTTGTATATGGCATTTGTAATCAAGGCTCTATAGATATTCCAGGACTGTACAAGATCTGATGGTACATTAGCGCTCTTTGTTACTTTTCTGCCATTAACAAGTTGGCACACTGAGTATCAAAATGCTTGTTTGTAAATATAGTTAGGTGTTAAATTATGAGAAGATGTAGAGCAGAAGCTGTTTATGAACATCGTTGCCCTGGATATGATATTATGGATATCATTTGAAGTGATAATGATCTTATTTATCAGTAGCTCTTTACATTCATTGTTGACAGCAGTATCTAATGAGAGTTCTCGCGTGAAACCTTGGTAAGGAAATCCAAGATTGTTTGCAAACTCCTTGGACTTTGATAGTATATGATTAGGGCATTCATGAAATTGCAATGTACTGTCGCCCTCTTGTTGACTATTTCTGCAAAGAATTATGGAAAGATCAGAGTCAAATTTTTCTTTTAACTTTACATTTACTTTCCTTGAGACCCAAACTTTGGCTTCTTTCGGTTCTACTGAATGTCCTAACTAATAGTAGTAATTAAAAAGAAAAAAATCCATTAGCATGAAGAGTGTATATAGAAAAGACAAGTTTAAATATGTACCATCGTCAACTGAAGCTTCTTTTTAAAAATGTGCCTTTATAATACTTTTTATTCGCATGTCCTCTTTCTTCACAATTCTCACACATCATACTTATAGCAAAAGATACAGGATTATAAATGATATGAACTTGATTGAATCAATTGCTATCTTTTGCCTTTAAAAGGATCATCTACGTTTTCTTCAGACTTTTTTTTTGTTGATTATTGAAATTATTTCATGTAGTCTTTGTTAAAACAAATAATTGTCTATAGAAATGAACACCAAAAAATAATACATAAATGATGTTCGAGATATTTGGGATTGTTTTTGGGTTAGTATCTCAATAATGGGAAAAGTAGATACTGTGAGAGTGTTATTTATTAAAGAGACAAAATAATATTTGGTGTGGACAGACTAAAAGTTCAAAAAAAGTTCAAAAAAAGGGCAAAAATTTAGGCCATTTTATTGGATGAGAGTTTTAATTAATTTTGCCCTTTTTTTGCCCTTTTTTTGAAGGTTCAAAAAAAGGGCAAAAAAAGGGCAAAATTAATTAACGGCTATGATTGGCCAGTTTTCGTCTGATACTACTTGCATGATAATATCATGCATCCCTTCTAGTTGCATTACACTTAAATAGCAAACGACAATTTAAAGCATATATACTTGCTATAATTAAATACTAGCGTGTATAAAAGTGAGAAATATATTACTCTTTTACTTATTATCTTAAAAAAATGCCGCATACTCCAATAAATATACTCGCAAAATCAACTTTGGATGCATCTGCAGCTATCACTCAACACACGTTGAAGAAGATGATCAAGATGTTGTCCGACTCTAATGTCATTGCTTGTGAGGAAGATCATGACACGTACAAAGATTTTGCAAGCATATGCAAATTAAAGCTACAACAGGAGAAATTGATGGTTACGAAGGTCCAAGACAAAATCAGCAAAGGACGCTATTTTTTCAAAGGGCAAAACAAGACCAAGAAACTTGTAACTCAAAAAGAAAGATTGAATTTTCTGCTTGCCTTGGATGAAAGCGGCTTCCTGGAAGAGTTTCGAATGAGCAAGAGCTCTTTTTATAAGCTGTATGATCTTGTAAAAAACCACGAGCTTTACCAACAATTGTCAGGATTTTACTCGATCGATGTTAGACTACAGATTTCCATTGTTCTTGACCGATTAGGATCAAATGGTAATTCTTCGTCAAGTGGCCGTTTGGCAAGACGTTCTGGAATAGGAAGTAAGTAACTCAGGATAATAGTCTACGACTGTTTACCCACATATACAAAAGCAAATTTATTCACCTGTTTCCTACAATAAAAACAAATAGAGGGCTCTATCGAGAATATAACAACCAGATTCTTCAAAGTAATTCTCTCTTTAGAGCGCAAGTTCGTTTATTGGCCAACCGAATCTGAGAAAGCAGAGATAAAACGAGCAAATGAATATTCATTAGGATTTCCAAACCTTGTTGGGTTTCTTGATGGATGCTTATTTAAGCTGGCAAAAGCACCATCGTGGGAGCCAGAGCAGTTTTTCGGTCGCAGATCCGCTTACTGTGTAAACAGTGTCGCAGTGTGTGATCATAGACGCATAATCCGATACATGTCAACCGGTTTCTTTGGAAGTTCGCATGATATGCGTACTTTGTCTGAGTGTGAGCTTGAAAAATTCCCAGAGCGATTCTTTTCTGATGACGAGTATGTGTTGGCAGACGCGGGGTACAAGGCTACGAACTATATTGTTCCAATCAAAAAGAAGCCAAGAAACAGTGAACTCTCGTTAGCAGACCAAGAGTTCAACACCAAGATCTCGAGCATGCGAGTAAAAATTGAGCATGCATTTGGAATCTTAAAAGAGAGATTCTACTCTCTCAAATCAATCCCTGTAAGGATAAAAAGAAAGGAAGACGTTGTAAAGGTTAACGCATGGATTCGGGTTTGCGTAGCCTTGAACAATTTCCTGATGTGTCAAGATGACGACAAATGGTCTCAGGAAGCCAAGCGTCGATGGGAAGATAGAGAGAAAGCTGAAGTTGAACGCCTGCGGAAGACAGGATATTCAGAGGAGTCTGGTGTAGTAGATGGATCCCAGAATATAGACGGAAATACAAGGTGGATCCAGACACAACGTGTTGTTATGTCAAAAGAGAAGAATAAATCTTCTTGAATAAAGAAAATAAACTTTGATCATTCTAAATACATTAAAAAAAACAGAAGTATTAGCTTTTATATCTATTAGATAGATCTCACTTTTCGGCATTTGACAGCTGTAATTAAATAGATATTTTGTCATTATTTATGTTCTTCTCTTTCTTTAATATTTTATTATCAAACTATTTTGAAGACGTAAGTAGAAGATCAATTTTGCCTGCTTTAATGATAGTATTTTTATATAGTCTACATGCCTTTACATTTTTTTAAATAAAATAACATTAGTTCTGAGAATTTGTATATAAATATATATATAAATTAAACGCATAGTATAAATAGAAGAAATACAATTTATTAATTAAGGTATTGATTATACACCTCTTCTAATTCATTCTTAGTCTTCTCCTCAGACCAGTCAAATGTTTTTGCCATAAGGATCACTCCTTTTACCCGCTGCTCGCATTGAAGCTCTTTTTGCAGCTTCTCCTTCTGGTTCTTGAGCTCTTCCTCGTACTTTGATTCTAAGAGCGATATCCGGGCATCATTGAACTCTTTTATACCATGCCCAATATCCTCTATGCTCTTGACTGATCTTTTTGCCGTGTTCTTCACAATCTTGCCAAAGAATTTAGGGCGTCTTTTGCCACTGTACGCACTGGCGTCAGAGTGCTCGGAGGTGCTGCTTTCACTATTGCTTTGGACAATGGCCTCTCTCTGAGAACTGATCTCATTGCTGACATCAGCTCCCTGTTCTTCTTGGTCTTTGCAGCTTTTGCTGCTCTCACTGGCTTCGTCACCTCCATCATTTTCACCGTCTTCACCGTCTTCATCCTTGCTCATGTCTTGGGCTTTGTTTAAGTCCAAGGGCGTTGTTGTATTACATACAGCAGGTGACTTTGCCTTACTTTCACCAAGTACTTTTCTCATCTGCGTGAAGTTTGGGCATATATCATTAAGATATACTTATAAAAAATAATTTAAATTGTTTAGATGTTTGTTTTAACTTATACGTAACAATATTCATACCTTCAAGCTCATCTTTTTCACGTTGAGACATTTCTTCTTCGCTAATTCTCATTGTGCTGTCTTCCCGGGCTTTGAATGCAATAGGATATTGCTTGGTTATCAAATACGTCAGCTTGCTTTTTATTTGAGAGCTGGTGCGCTTCACACCCTGCTTGTCAAAATACTGGCAGCAGTCGTTGATCACTCTGGTCTTGCTGACCTTGACCTTCTTCCCGTTCTTGAAGCCACCAAGGTACTTCCTCAGATTGTCTGCGTCGTCTTTCAGCAGAAAGTACTGCAGCCGATCAATCGATGACAACCCATCTTTACCACCATCTGGCTTCATCCAGGAATGTGACTGATTGTCATCTTCCTGATGAGAAACGAACTCAATAGCGCTGGGGGTGGACATACTTTTATTACAATAGTTTAATGTAAGGTACAGGCGATACAAGAAGATAATTTTTTTTATAGAAAAAAAGACGAAAAGGATGGAGTTAAAATGAAGGTAGATGAGTATTGATTATTATTTATAACTTTATGAGTAATATATACTGACAAGCTATTTTGGCTAAAATGTTATACCTGTAATAAATGGATTTGTAAAAAAAGTGGTGTAGATAATTAGATTATGAGATGGAGAGAGGTTTGAGCTCAAGAAGAATGATTTTTATTGATGAGAATTGTTAAGAGTTCTTGTATTGATGGGGAGGACTTTTAGAGACAGGGGATATCGTTTGCATACGTATGCTTTGACGATATGCAGATACAGATTCAAGCAGTGAAAGATTCTGAAGAGTTGTAATTGGATAATATAAACAAATTCGTCTTTATCCACAACAAAACAGACTTCTTTATGTTGATATATTTGAATATGAAGCATTGACTATGCTTACTGACAGTGACAGCATTATGAGCATAGCATTACCTAATATGTATTTTGAACTAATTTTGAACTTTTTTAAAAAAAAAGGTGTGGACAGTCATAATTAAAGCTGATTGGCTAAGTTCAAGATGGACTTGTTTTACCCTTTTCTTGCCCTTTTTTTGAACTTTTAGTCTGTCCACACCAAATGTGTTTTCAGCAAATAATATACCCATAAGATATAATTTTCTTTGAAAGCTTTTCTTTTTGCTTTTGTTAATAATAGGTGCAATATACACTTTTCCAATATTTCCTCCACAATCTATAGAATTATGGCCAAGTTGCGTGTATTTTTTTTTAAAAAAAATTCAAATAGCATAGTCATACATTTGGATTTATTTTGAGCAACAAAATCTACCTTTTGAACATCTTACACACAAAATACACAATGTTTTATATAGTAGAAAAAAATAAAGCAATTGAAATGAATATTTATATTTTAGCTAGTGATCTATCAGCATAGTCTGTAGGTTAATGAACTAGATAATTACTATACAAAAAGGTTTGATTTTGATTTTGATTTATTTTGCCTTTTGATCTTTAATTTTTCCAAGTAGATTAAAGAGCACTAAATACCACATTATTTCCCAAAAAGAGACTACGTTTACTATGACATTGTAACAGTATACTAATAATAGCCTGGTATGCTGAAGAGCATCACACCTAGTACTATTCCGTAAGCACTCTATGTAAAGAACAAATCATCAATCTAAGTATGATTCGAATGCATGGTAAGCAATACAATAACAATGGCGTCCCCTTTCTTTGATAAAATAATCTTTAACAGATTTGAACCGAAATATCAAAACACCAAATTGAAGATCCCTTTTCCAAAATCTTTTCTGCCTATAGCCCATATCACCTAGCCTCATGTCCTTTCGTGTCTTTTCATGCCCTTTTCTCCGTTCAAAGTCTTTGTGGTATCTCTGGCAAAATTCAATGTCACGTTCTCCAAGTTCCCATACCAAATTTCTGCCTTTTCTGTTTGTTTTGTCGATACACAGATGATATCAGTTTGATTGAACCGATTGTCCTTTGTTATTTTGGTCCAATTTAGTACCGTTAGCATTCACCAGTTGCTCAATGACAAAATGCTTAACATGCATCTTTATAAAGATGTTGAGGACCTGTAGCGTTTCTAGTTGTGAAAAAGGCATGTCCACTAGTAGTTACCCAGTTTAATAAGCGTCAGAGCAACAAATCGTGACTTCCCATAATATTATAAATTTAAGCTGGCCATAACGGAGAGACATGTACTTAAAAGTATGGTTACTGATTGTTGTACTCATCAGCTTTAGTTTTTGTAGCAAGTGTGGCAGGTGTGTAAGTTTGTAAATTCGCGGGGGAACAAATATCTGAAAAAGATATATATAGTGATCGCAAGACTAGACAATGATCCAAGATATTTAAAATGTCAATTTCACCACAATAGCTTATGTACAATTGAGTTAACCTTTGATAATATCTAAAAAGAACTGTCCCTCTCTCCAAAAGAGACCTGCTTTCGATATACAGAACGTCTAAAGATACGGAAAAATGCTGTTCCAGCTGTCCACATTTTTCTTGTTTGCTATTTCAGCATCACAAGTAGTCTCAACATGTTTTAGCCTTACGTTAAAGTGTTGAATATTCTCGTGAAACGAATCAAATGCCCAGTAATTATATCTAGTGATAAATGTTTTTGCTGTCTGTAAATAAGGAAAAAATCGATCAAGCGTGGACAGGATTTTAGGTTGACTCGAATCCAGCTGTTCACTGTAGATTTCTTCTAATAATTTCATGGCAGTATGGTATTTTGTGAGGGCAATACTGGAAATGAAGTGTCGCAATACATGATGACTAATTTCTTGAATATCAACGTGTACAATGTGTCATTTTTCATTATATTGATAGCTGTCCACTTTAAACACAAGCAAGTGTACATGGACATGATAATCTTAGTATTAAATTGTATCTCCATCAAGCAAATTATCAATTTATTGTTTTTGTTGTTGTTGTTGTTTATTTTTCTGGTGAGCTTTATAATTAACGAAAAAGAGGGAAAAAATGTCCTGCGTCAGGGAGCATACAACGAGGCAATCCTGCAACGACTAACAGCTTCGTTTGGCATTTTTGACGGCTATAAGACACTCTTAAGCTAGAAGCAGAGTTATATGATTAGAAAACGTTCTTGTTGTATCCAAGTTGCAAACAAACAGCCCAATTCATTCTACCCTTAATCTCCTTCTTGAAGTCGACAATAAAATTGTAATCTTCCTCAGACCTTGTCCCATTTCGAGTAATGGCACGACCTTTCATTGGCAGTTTATCAGGATATTCCAGATCTTCCGATGTCGTATCATCGTCGTCATAGGAGTATCGTCGTTTCAACATGGTATTGCATTCAATTCTCTTTGTATAATTATTTTTAATTTGGAGGTCATTCTCTGATCATCCACATAGTCTTCTAATTTTCGAAATAGTTTCTCATTAGTGGTGCAAGCGGTTTTCATGGTTGTAATAAAATTTGATTCAAAAGGTAGTTCCACAGCCATAGCGGAAAGAGAAATTTTGTACAAAGCCACAATGGTTGGATCTTGATGATGACTATGGTCATATACTGTTGGCTGTTGTTCCGTAAGAAAAAGGGACAGCGCAAGTATTGGATTTAATGGAGTATCGATCACAAGGTTGGAAGTCGTGTCCTTAGACACCATGAAGCAACTTTTGGCCCAGCCTGGACACGACATCGAGTAAAGCCACGGCCTTTGGTTTGATAAAGGAGAAAAATGAACAAGGCTGTTTTTAGTGGATGACTTGATGCCAAATATCAGAACGACAGGTAAAGATTTGTAAACGTTGCAAATTTTAAGCGAGTACGAAATCACTCAGCAAAAAGACCCCATTGAGTGTGTTTTGGATTTCAATTAAAATTGGTGGTAATCCACTGGTCTCCAAACGTGGCAGATAAACAATATCTGACCTCATGTTGTTCCAATCTGCATCTGTTACGGTATATGTTCTGGGCGGTGCGTTCAGCAATGTATTTGCAATAAAGTCTACGACTGTTGCATGTTTTAAAACCATTTTAGTTGGCTTGTCTAAACCGGGCAAGTAGTCTATAGGAAGCTTCATGGTTATCAAATCTTGATCTACAAAAAAAATTATGTGATATTAGTTTCGAGTATTTTTAAAACGAACAATCAACCATCAATATCATTTGCATCCATGACAACGGGATAAGAAAATAAAAACAAATGAATAAGAGTGAGAAGAAAGATTGCAAATGGCTAAAAAAGATGCGAGATATAAACCAAAGTGACAAAAAAAAGTTTTTCTTGGGAAAAAATATCCCATAACACCCATAACACCCATAACATCCGTAATATACGTAACATACGTAATATCCTTTGGCTATAAAACGGTTATAGCTTCTATGTATCTGAATTGAGGCTAATAAATATAATACAATTGATTAATTACTTGTTTGGTTGGTTGGTTAAGTGAAAGACGGGAAAACGATAAGTATCAAAAAAGGGTTTATATTTATAAGATTATAATTTAGTTGTATTGTGATGTAATGTAAGCCATGTGTATGTAAATGTCATGAACAACTTTATTAGCATTTGTCTTTTTGTGTGTTCAATGAACTTTACCTTGAGAGAATCAAAAGCAAGTTCCATTGAAGAAGTAGCCAGACTTGAAGGCCACCACTTTTGATTGGTATCAAAAAATCTATTGTTATCCCCCAGAATATTAGTAACAAGAACCAAGAAAAAAACAACGTACGTAAAGAGTGGTTTTAGTGTTGCTCTAACAGCACTGCCGTTAGCTTTGTTGGACATAAGCACGAATTTATTTGGAGCCAAGAGATCGACTGTATTTTTATCGAGAATCCAAGTATGAACATTCGTTGGTGCAGGTCTAATACACCAATCCGCACACACACACACACACACACACACACACACACACACACAAAGGCATGGTGTTAATATGCGTGTTATTAGAGTTGTATGTTTATTTTTACCCAGACTTGGTCGGATCAACAGGATGACCAATGTTAGCAAGTGCAGTAATCAAGGGTGGCATAATCAATTCCACCTGTGTTGCGAAATCGGAAGCATATAATGCGGGTGATGTTACCGCAGCATGCATAGCACGCTGACCAATATATCTCAGTCTATCAAAAAGAAGAGAAAATGATAGATGTATAATTAATACCTGTTTTCCATACATATCTATATCCATATTTTCTTTTCTTTTTCGTTTCGATAATTTACTGGGTAGTTTTTTTTGGTCATCATTGTCACTGGGATCATAAAATGTAGCAAATTTCTGGACAAGACGTTCGTAGTCCACGGTAAATTCAGAATTTACGCCCACAGTTGATCCATCATGATAGTTTGCAAAAACGACAAACTTGTAGAGCAAATCAATAATAGATACAGACACATGAAAACGAAACAAATAAAAATGTTATTTTACTATTAGATTCAGAATAGGTATATATGATTACTATTCGTATTATTAGTTTTGGCTTACGGTTTCACAGGTTAGATTGATAAGCTAAAGGTCTTTTGTGTCAAGGACCATGTTAAGGATTCGGACGACATATTTTGAAAACAAGCTTAGGTCTCGATAACAGGCCTCGATAAGTGCCTTGATGATATCTAAGGACACTTGACTGTTTCTGATTCATTCCATTATTATCATATTATCGCGTTTTATTTAGTGTAATATATTAATATTATAATGTAAACTTAATTTTTTTTGTATTATTTCGGTAAATTTTATTGAGGAGCTGGCGAAAGCGCTCAAGCTCTATAAATTACGTGCACAATAGAGGGAAAGGGAAGAAGTAGAAAACCAAAATTGGGAAAGATAAAATGGAAGAATGGTTACGGGCGCCTACTAATGGACCACTGTTGTAAAACTGTCAAGAATACTATTGGCTGTACTAGCTACTACACTTGCTACGAGCTGGGAGCCGTCAAAAATGAATTGCCAGTGAGCGCGCCTATGGTTTGAGCCGCTACGCTGACTACCAGAGTGCGACGGTCGTGGGCATCGAGGGAAGGAGGAAATTTAAATTTAATGTCATTTAATTTAATGTTAATTCTTATCTCACTCCCCCCTCCCCATATTTTTCCTTCTCCAGATATTCCTATTTTAGAAAGATTCCCGCCTTTTGCAACACAATCACGTAAGCTGGTGGATTTGTTCTACACCTCTTTACTAGAATTTTCAATGCACTTCCTTTCGGTTAATGGAACCATTTCCATTTATTTTCTTTTATCAAATTCTCACAACTTATCTTATCTTATTAGTAATTTAACTTAGGGACACATTTTCTCATACACTATTTCTCTAGTTTCATTACTAAGAAGAGTTTCACAAATTATTATCTTATCAAACCCTTCTATATCTTTTATCCAAATCAAAAGCACTCAATAAACATTGTCGATTTTATTCCGATACAAGTTCTCTAGACAGCGTTCTACTTCCCCTTGTGAATTATCTTCCGTTTATTCTGTTATCTTGTCAAGGCTCCCTTGGAGATTGACTGATTTATATTCTTCCCCGATTATCTGTATTTATAGTAATAGGATTTCCTTTTTCCTTTATATTTTCAGCAGTACAATTTATTTCCTACTTGTATTTCTAGCAATATAACTCTCCTGTTACATTTATATTCCTTGCGATATTCTTTCTCTTTTGATTGGCGTCTCTAGTAATTTATTTTTCCGTCCTATTTCACACCCTAACTGTAATATTTCCTATTTCTTAGTAATCTTCTCACTTTTACAAACCTTCTTCCTTGCTCTCACCCTTAGTAGTAGTAACCCCTTTTATTTCCTTTTTCATAGACTTTTGTTGTCGAATAGACTATTATTTTATTATCCACCTTTTCAAACCCATTGCATTTCCTCATTTCGGATCTTAGTCCCTACTACTAACCCATACCTCTCATTCCGTGTACACCTCCTCCACATCTCAAAGTACCACACACGACACTGGTAGTAATACTTTTGAATATTTAAAAGGGTAAAGACAGGTTGAGCAATTAGGACGGCAATAAAATAAATAACGAAAGAAAGAAAGAAAAAAGAAAAAGCAAGAACCGATTGCATCAAAAGAAGTCTGGAGCTGGATCTGGATCTGGTGTCGGTGGTTTATCACTGATATTATGTATGTGTATATGTATGTATGTATGTATGTATGTATGTGTGTATGTATGTGCGTGGCGTACCTTTGTTTCTTTTCTTTGTTTCGATATTTTATATCTTTTAATACCATTTTCCAGCTTCCATTACTTCTCGTGCTGCACGTGTAGGTATTATTGAGTATTTAATACCGTATGTGTCAATGATTTCTTTCCACAGTGGAATATCTAGATTCATGATGATCTGCTTTTTCCTCAAATCTTCAGCTAATTCTTCGGTTGTTGGTGGTGCACGAGTACCTATTTGTTATTATAATATTGTTAATTGATTTGATATCAAGAAAGTTTCATTAACTACTCTTACTCAAGATGGGCTGTCCACTGGAATCATCAATTCCGGCTACCGCATTTCTGATTAAGAACGAGACATAAAACATGTTCTCTACAGACTGTGAAAATGATTCTGGATTTACAATGAATTCAAAGAAGTTTGTCGGCCCTTGTTCGTCCAGTAAGCGATATATTTGGTTGACATTATTTGACGTTTCGTTTTCCTTTTGTGCAACATCATCCTCTTTTAACTATAAATAAAAATTCAGATTATAAGATTAAAGTTTGTATTTTTCTTTCATCAGGATTTGATCCATTTTGATCCAACTCAATTAGATTATATATTGATACGATGTTTTCTTACTTGAGTTGGCTCTACTAGGACATGCTTCTTCTTTTGGGAACTTCCTTGACGGGCTATCTTTCTTTGTTTCTTTTCTACTGACAAAGGTCCAAGCCTAATAATATCACCATTAAATTAATAATGTATTCTTCATTTTCGATAACATTTTTTTTAACTCACATAAAATCAATTGAGTGAGCACGTTTTCCAAATTTAATTCCGTGCATTCCTATTGCCTTCCAATTCAACTCTTCTTGATTGTCACGATTTGTGGCTGTTTCAGGACGTCCGACGGTTTTGAGCTTTGACACAAATTCATCCAGATTGAAAAGTTGTTGTTCAAGGCGCATATTACGAGCCTTTTGGGCACCGATATCTGCAGACAGGACAAGTAATTTGGAATCAAGTGAGGCTTCCTGTGTGTTTCTGACTATATAATGATAATAAGGATAATGATTATACATTCAATTGACATAATAAACAAACATGCATGTGAGTATTTAAGTCTGTCGTCACTTTACGTTATGTGTATAGTTAGTTGTACGCACCACTTTGATAGAGATCATTTGCCTTGCTGAGAGTTTCATAAAGACCAAGACTTTCATCTTCCATAAAATTAAGTCTGCTTGCTAATAACAGTACAAAAGCAATATATATATATATATTAAATACGGTTAATATTCAAAAAAATTAAAACTTTAGATTTTCTCTCTCTTTAATAATTAATTAAATAATAATAATATTACCTTCAGTCTTTTTGATAAGACTTCTGTAAGATTGTCTAATAACTCTTCGTTGTTCTTTATCTTGGTTTGGATCATATCTTTCTCTGTCTGTCTTTCTTTCAAGAGTTTCAATCAATGCAGTATATCCCGGATCCTCGTCTTCGTCTTCCTCTTCTTCCTCTTCTTCCTCGTCCTCTTCCTCGTCTTCTTCTTCATTGCTAAGCACTTCGTCGTCGTCAAGGCTGAAGGAATCGCCTCCGTCGTTGGGATCTGATTGAAGTCGCTTCCCGTTTTCCTTACTAAGGTTATTAGATCGCTGGTTACTAGACATGAGGGTGTGTAGTTTAAAAAAAGATATCGATGTTCCTAATCGGGAGAGTATAACACGACCAAAGCAAAAAAAAAAAGTGAGAGAAAGAGAGAAAATGAGAAAATGTCCGCGACGTCACGCACGGTTATAGTTATCTAAAAAATGATTGGCTGATTCTTGTAAAGCTTGGTTTATTTTAACCAGTAATTTTCTTTTAAAAAAATGTACAGTCGTTCCAGCATCACAGCAGCAGTACTTCCCCATATGAAAAGGTAAGTCATGGCGTTCAGGGTCACTCATATTTGGTGTAGAGAGATCAAAAGTTCCAAAAAAAGGCAAAAAAGGGCAAAATTAATTAAAGCTCTAGTCCAATAATATAACATCAATTTTTGATCTTTTTTTTTGAACTTTTAGTCTGTCCACACCAACTATCACTATATCGAAAAATAGTGATAATAAGCAGGAATGGTACCAAAATTTCAAAACGATTAGCGTTATATCGAGCTTTGACTGTGCTTTACTTTTATTAGTCCAGAGGAAGAAATGAGTACTATGTATAATAAGTGAGCAATCTATGCCTATTAAGCACAAACAAACATAAATGAATGTTTTTTAGTACTTTTTTTCATATGATCAATATGAATTATAATAGGGATGTGTTTAGAAAACACTATTGACAATGTCTTCCTTTATTAAAAAATATACAACAGACAAGAAATAATAGTTTTGAAGCAATACAATAGTTATGATAAAGGAGATGGTCTATCTTTATTTTTAAAGATATGAACTCTAAGGCTTTCTCCACTTCTATACTTCCAACCAAAGCGCTTCTTTCCTTCCTTTAAGCAAAGCCTCCAATCCATCTTTATGCCTTTTTCAGCCCTTGCTTTTTTGAAGTTTTTTACAAAGTCCATCTGCTCGTCGAGTGCCTCTTCTAGTTCGACATCTTTCTCCATATTTTGGTCCTCGGGAAGGGGATCCGTGGCAAGCTGATCAAATTTTCTTTTTTTCTGGATGCTGTATAGGGACTTTGAAGCGTAGTCTTTGATCGCGCTTCTGGGTAGACTGTCATCTTGCAACATAGCCAGGACCTTCTTGTATTGCTTGCAGTATATATCATTCAAGTTCCTTAACTCGTCTAACTCGACTGTATCTTTGTCGATAATTCTTGCATATGCATCTTGAGAAAGCCGGTAGAGCATTTCCATTGTTGTATTTTCTTTTCTTGATGATAGTTCGATCGACGTGGATTGAGCTGTCAGAAATAGACAATAGGCAGTGAATGGATTCAAATTTGAACCCAAGCCTGACTTACTGGAAATATGTTGTTTGATGCTACTTTTGTCAATAATATAGAACCGATCTGCCCAATAATCGCATGACGCGGCATAGCAAGGCAAATTGTCACAGATTTCCAAGCCATTTCTTGTAGTGATAGAAAGTGACTTGATACAGATAACCAAGAGAATTGGCTCGATCTCAAACCTCTTGTATGCCTGAAGACAATACCCAACTGCTCGTTTCATGAATTTCTTGTCGACAACCTGTTGAAACTCTATAATGATAGGCGCGAGGCTGGAATCTGTCGACTTTGGCACCAAAACAACGTCAGAATGCGTACCATTCGGCCAATCAGTTGATTCTGGAAGGTATCTGTCTTCTATGTTTAGAAGAGCTTTTGTAATAATATTTACTACAAGAGGGTCTCTGGTAAGTTCTTTGGGGATGCGATCTGCTCCTGGTCTTGGCAAATCAGATAAGCCAAAGCTAGTAGACATTTGAGAAAAACAAAAGTAGAAGAAACGCAACCAGGACGGGTACGGGTACGGGTACGGGTTTGAGTTAAATATTGTTTGAAAACATTTGGTAATCTGAGAGTTAAAAAAAAACAAAACAAGCACATTCGTCTAAATTGGTTAGACAAAATAGTTCAGAACAATATTATGATTGTCTAAAGTTAATTTTTATTCACCTGTTTTTTTATATTTTATTTTGAAAATTGTTTCAATTTCAATTGAAAATACTGTGAGGGTAATAGCAGCGACAAAAATACTTATGGTAATGACTGCAGAAAGAAATACTCTTTTGTATAGATGTGCCAAAAAAAAAGATAAACCTGGAGTTAAAAGTCCAGAAATACTTCTTGACACTATTATTTCAATATTCGTGTAAACACTTTACAAGATCTACATAGTAAAGAAACCTTTGAGAGAAATAGAGCTCCACATGCATATGTTTATACACAAGATATCAACTGGTAATATATATACATATATATGCACTTGGCTTATATAGATCAGGATTGCTCATTATTGGAATGGAGTAACGTAGAAGCATATGTATAATTATTTGCTGTATGATCACATACTAAATAAAGAAGAAAAAACAAGAACATAAAGAGCAACAACACCATTTACAGCAATAAAAATCTATTTTTTTTAAAAAATAAATAAATAAATAAATACATAAATATGAAATCTTTACGTAGAGGATAATTGTAACAATTGCAATAGATCAATGATAAAGGAGTCAAGAACAAGGAGCATGTTTGACAGGCTCATTTATGAGAGCAAAACATTCCTTAAAGTACATCTCGAGTTTCAAGTTTTGAGTGGGTCATTGAACGTATTGTGAATTTTGTTGTTTTCAAAACGGATAAAATCTACTAGCTGCGCTGTGTTAGAACAAATAGAAAGGTTTGACCAAACGAAAAACTGGTTGGACATCTTGCTAAATTCAATAGTCACATGGGTATTACAAACCCAAGAAAGAATAAATAGAGTATATAGAGTATATAAAGATATATGCATACTCAGTTTAAGCTTCACGAAGATTTTGTTTCAGATCTATTAATTGATAGCATAAGTAGCAAAAGGCGTAAAGGTGTTTGATTTCAATTTGTGTTTTTGGGATTATATCAAAATCCATTTTTGGTGATTTTTTATGCTTTTTATTTTTTTAATGTTACTTGCAACAAGATCACTAGGTTCACACGCACACACGCACACACACATATATATATCTATCAACCGACAATTATGTTATTAGATGTTTAGAAATTATTTGGTCTGTTCTTGAGCAAGATGGGTCTTGAGAAGTTCAAGAGATCTGTATCAGTGGCAGATCGTGTTATCTACCCCTTTGGAGAGTTCAGAGTATCTATTAAGCACATACACACATAAAGTATTGGTTCATTATGCTATACGAATATTTTTAATTTCAAACATAAAGTAAAACTCGCGTTTTATTGAACCCATCTGGTTGAAAAATAGCGTCCCACCCGAATTTACCAGATCCATTAGGTGGCTCAATTTTTTCCTATTAAACAAAATATGTATTGAGTATTACTTAAAAAAAAACCGCCCTGATTAACAATGTGGCCAGGTCGGTAGACATATGTGTAGAAAGAGCATTTCTGCTTTGTCTCGGTGTGTTTTTTCTTTTTTTCTTTTAAGTTCATGTCAAAGATGTAGTTTTACTTTGCTTCATTGGCTAATGAGTTATTACAATACCAGTTAGGTCCGGAGGGTTAAGTTTGCACACAGAGAACTATATTAATTCTCATTTTGCCCCCCCCCCCCCCCTTATTTTTATTTTTTTATTTGAGGTTTACTCTCTTGATAATCTATTTATAAACCATTAGTAGAAAATATCTTTTATATACAGCAGGTACTCTTAAAAATATTTGAATAAAGGCTATGGATTGATAATATCAGAGTGGGTGCTATGCTGTCAAAATCCAATCAAATTGGAATCATTTCGCCATAGAATTATGGCAAATTCAATTCAAACTGCCATATATTTTGTAACAATCCAGATGAATTCTGGGGCAACTTCAAAATAGAAAGCAAATATTCTGAAACGCAAAAATTTAAACTAAACGACACAAATTCGACAAATATAAAAGTGGGTATATCGCCACAACACAGCACCTACTCTAATTTATAAAGTGCAGTTTAGGTGCCATTGGACGTTATTAAGCACAGGCCAGATGTCATAAGAAATCATAAGATGCAGCTCAGATATTATCAAGTGTAGATCGGACGTTGTACAGCATTATCAGTTAGCCTTCTATCGCTGTCTAAGTCGTAACTTTTAGCTACCTCTGCTGCACCATACTCTAAATTATTAGTGCCTTCGGAATGATTTTCTCTCATTATGAAATCAAATCGTCGATCCATGTCTTTCTCTCTCTCTCAAACTGAGTTGTATACGCCGTGTAAAGTTCTTTTGACGTTTTTTCTTTCTTTCTTATAACAGGCACCATCGATGCAACTTCACCTCTAAAAAACGCTTGACAGTTAATAGAAAAAGGTTAAATATGAATGCACGAAAATGTGCCTACCTTATACTTTGGGTTCCTTTTTAGATTTCCAAAGCATCTGTCAATAATACACCACACGTGAATATCATACCAATTCTCGGAGTGATTATTTGGAAAGCAATCAAATTCGTACTCTTGTAAAAGCATATGTATCAATTGTTTGATCCAGTCCAAGTCGAAGTATTTATCTTGGGGGTAACTGTATTTCAAACTTTGTTTTTGGTTCAATGCTTTTCTTATGTCAACTGTTGATTTGTAGCTGAATTTGATCGAACTTTTTTTTTTTAAAAAAAAAGTCGCCAGACAGCTCTAATGGAACGTTGTCATGGTTAGTTATTATTTAATCAATCTCATCACTCGTGACTTTTCCATGTTCGAGATACAGTTTATGATCATCGGCACCAAAGATGAAGGACTGAGAAGGATACTCTCCAATTTGAAGCTTACCAAATTCGTATAATTGATTTTCTACAACTGCATCTATTGAGAAACTCCATTTGTTTTCATTCTTGAGACTCTTAAAGCCAGTGTCGACTTCTGGCCTTGCTTTGGGTGCTAATAAAAGCCATTGTTATATAAATTACAACAAGCTTCGATTCAATACTCACTATGTTTTTCCCCTAGATGATTCCCGAGCTCATTTCTGGTATCATAATGATCATAACAGCTCGTGAAACCATAATATTTTGCTCATCTGTTGGTATAAATATAAAGAGTGTCAGAAAGAATAACAATAGAAAGTCAATTAATTTTAGGACTTACTTTGTCCGTCAGTTTTAGGAGGGCGAGGTTTACTGATGAGGCGCGACATTCCCTGCTGGGAGACAACATCTTGACTGTGTCTGTCAGAACACAGATTATGGCCTATTTTCCGGCATAGAATAACTCTATCGGGTTTTTAAGGATACAGAATATTCGTATAAAGACTTTATTTTATGCCTTTTAAAAAAAAGGTGTGTGGGGATTACTTACCAGCTGGTGCTGTCGAACTCTAGGAATATTTAGGCGAAAGAAAGAGAAAGAGATTATACACGTATGGCCAATAAATAGTAAAAATATTCAACAAGATTGCGTCACACTCCAATGACAACAGCTTCTTATGATCTATATAACAGGCTATTGATATGGTGTATCTATGACTAATCATTGTTTTTTCTTATAGCCAAATCTAAATTTTAGGGCTATTAATTAAATATATTATATGAATTTCAGGACACACCATTTTGCCCTCAAGGATTAGAGAAAGACACCGATTGGAACAGGTAGTCGCAATTAATTAGTCCGGTTAGATAGAAACGTCGTACCTATAATATTGCTACTTGTTTTAATAACAAAGACGGACAAGGAAAGACTGTTGAAGAGCAGGGAAATGATGCTATGGACTGGGGAGACTATTTAATTCAATTTCACTTGACCACCCTGACTCGTATTAGACAGTACTGAAGCCTGTAAATCTGCCCCTCCCAATCGCCTTTATGGATTTGTACAGAATTCTGTAAGCGTTTTTGAGAAAGTATTTGTATAAGAGACATAGTTAGATCAACAGTCAATAGATAAAGCTTGTTAAAAATATCGAGCTTTAGGGAAGGGAAACCCGTCTTTTGAGAATAAAAACCGCCCTTTGATAAAATAAAAAACCTCCTTTTGATTTATTTATTTTTATTGGCCGCCCTCTTTTTTAAAAAGCCGCCCTTTGGTGTTGGAACGACTGTATATGATTATTATAGTAATTTTACTATATAAATAAATGAATAAATAAATAGGTATACAGTATCGTAACTCATTTTATTTTTTTTGGAAATAAAAAATGGGATCCTCCAATGAAATGTCTTTATTTTTACTCCGAAATTTCCAAATATGGTAGTAGCGAGTTGATTAAACTGAAAGTCGAGTTGAGAATACTATTGATTCTGCTGGAACTTTCTAGTATTATCAACTCGCGAGTTGAAATTACTGGTTTGCCCACAGTTTGATTAACTTTTAAAATTAAATTTTTCTTTTTCTTTCAAAAACTTATTTATTATGTCGCCCTTGCCTACTAATATCACTGCTTTTAAGAGACGCTTTGTTAACGAGCGTGATTCGGAAGAACTAGAGCATTTAATCGAGCAACAAGAAGCTGAGATTTCTAGCGGAATTCAAGTATAAACAAAACAGACAATAGATTATATGCAAAAAAATGCACACCAATATTAACAATATATCTTTATAGCCTACTAGTATTGCTGCAATTTCTGAAGAGGTGCCTAAGAAAGCTCGTAGGGGTCGACCATCGAAAAGGATTATGCTGGTTGAAAATTCAACAGCTGAATCGTCCAGTTCAGCCAATTTGTCTACTTCTGTTGGCTCAAATGCCTTTGTTGCTCTTCAAAGTAGCTCGTCAATCAATGTGTCTGAGTTTGAGCTTGCACTTAAGGCTTTGCCAATGAAAGTACGTGCCAGCACTGCCGCAATTTACAGAATGCCCTTAGAACATTGGAAGGTATGTCTCAACTCAATAGAATAAGAATCTATATTGTATTGATTGTATTCATTTTTTAATGTTGCTTAAATTGAAGGACTTTTGCGAAAAAAAACCGACACAGATATCCTGTTGATTTTCAGTATCCATACACTGTTGGGCCCACTGAATTTGTTATTGCTTTCTTCAAAGAATTTGTTTTCAAGCGAACGTATATGAAAAGTGTTTCAGTAGAGACTGATGTTAGAACACAAATTGGCTTAAGAACAGAAGATAACGAAGAAAGACAATTGACTTTGCTCCAAAGTAATACAAAATTGCATGAAATACATAAAAAAAATCCGTCAATTATACTTAATCATCAACCCATTTTTATAGTTGCTGAGAATGCTCCTTCTAACAAGAACGGTAGTAAGAAAGTTATCGAAGTTCCTTTAGGTATTGAATCTGTCAATCAATACAAGAAAGTCTTGATGTTCTTGCACGAATTCCAGTCCGAGCGCCGAGAAGTTGGATGGCCGTCTCCAAAGAAGACTAAAGAAGTGATCGAATCGATCAAGAAGTATGAACACGACCTTGTTTACGACCAAGTACAAACAAACGTAGATAGAGCAGCCCATTGTGTGATTCGGGACTCTTATAAGTCTGGCGAACTTATAAGAATCCTGAAGAGCCTTTGGACTTCTGACAGCGAATCAGGCTTGCGCGAGATGTTTTCTATCTCTTCCCGCCACCATATGCTACTTAGGGATCAGGATTTGAGAAATTTAAACTTTGCGGATTGCTTTTGCACGATCATTCCAAAGAAACAGCACAAAGGAATGCAACAGGCTCTTGCTTTGGTTTTTAGTCTAGACAAGAGCAAGACTCTGAAGGAAGGAGAAGTCAAATTTGCATGTGCCATGCGCCATGAAAACGTATTCAGATGTCCTTTTGGTGCGTTTGCCTTTTTTATGTTCAGTTTGCTTCAAGTAGGTTGGTCAGCTAAAAAAAGGGACTTTTTTAAAATAATTTCTAACTTGATAAAAATTATAGACCAGTGGTGACTTCTTGAACGAAGACAGATGGCAGAACTGGAAGGTATTACGTGGACGTACCAGCCCTGAGAAGAGTTTAACTGGCGCTTCTCAATGGAAAACTGCAAAAAAGGCACTTGCAGATGAAGAGATATACACCACACGAGTAACGCACGGTGGCCGTCATGCTGGGTCAATGGAAGCTGAGGGCTTAGGGATACCTTTTGATCTGATCAAGCGAGGAGGAGGATGGAAGGATCGACTTGGTCGTTTGGAGACCCATTACTTGGGTAAACTCCCATCTCCTTTTGCCAGAGGTATGGCTGGCTTTTGGGAAAAGTCTTTCTCACTAGCAAGAAATGGCGTGTCACCGCCAATGGAATTACAAAAGATGGTATTTCCTTGGATCGAAGACTATTTCGGTGTCGGTAATGCAGAGTGGGTAGCTGTCTGTGAGAAGGAGATGAATGAAGTCGATGAGAACGAGGATGAGGATGAAGACATCATAAATTTGGAGATAGATGAAGAAGCAGATTCCGTAGAATTCGTGGAGGAAGATGGAAGATTGCAGTCGAAAGAAAAAAAGAGAAAAGGAAAGCAAAGAGCAACTCAAAGCAGTATCAATACAGCAAAGCGCGGATTTTTACGACTCTTGATACGATGCAGAAGAATAATCTTACAAGATGCAGCCGTTTACTTGTACTTGAACAAAAAAAACAAGCACATCAACACAAGAAACCTTCCGTTCTCAAGTAACAGCTTCAGAATGTTCCAAGAGGATATTGTAGCTGCCATTACCAGCCCTTCCATTGGTAGACTAGAAGAGTATGAAAGCCTTGTTCCTAACATTGTCGATACGAACAAAGAGGTAGCCAACAGAGTGACAGAAGTAAATCATCGGATCACACGATTGCAGCAACAACAAGACAGCCGATTTGAGAAAAATGAAAACTCTTTCAACAACTTCATTGAACAAAGTAACCAGCAGAATTAGCTTCTGATGAACACGACACAGCAACTGGCTAAGGACATAAAAATCCTCATGATCCAGCAACAGTGTTTAAATTCACAAATGCAATTACTCATGGCTACCAACAATGCTTCTCAAAGCGTAAATACCAACGCCAGCTTGTCTCAACTGCCTATCTTTCCTGTTCTTTCTACTACTCATTCAACGTCGCCTTTTCCTTTCTCTACCTCTGCTCCTTTTACTCCTCCACCTACTCAGCAACCAATTGCTATAAGTGTCGCCCCACCTTCACTCAATTCAAATAGACACCCCATTGTTTTGTCGAAGCCCAAAGCCAAGAAAAAGGCTAGATGGGTTAGCTACGAGCCTAACAATTAAAAATACTCTTTTTTAAAAGCCGTGATATATACACTACCATATATCTGTTACTATTCTTTATCATATTATCTATTCACCTTATTCTTTATCAGCTACAATACATTTTAATAAAAAATTAAATGTATATATTTACACAATTATGCATTTCGTATGAGTCATTTTAAAAGATGTTGAAGTAAGAAAGACAATATAAAATAAATAGAGTTGATGAATAAAGTATCATATAAACCATGTAGTAGTATAAGGTAAACATACTTTACCTCTGGCGTCTGATATGACACTCAAGATTCGCATTTTAAGAAGACTTTCATGGGTAAAAAACCCGATTTTTTTCCCAGTATGAGATTTCAGTATTGACATATTTTTCTCCTAAAAAGAAAGAACTGCTATTTTAAGTAATTTTTCAACTGCCTGGGCCTATAGGTCAGAGAATTTTTTCATTGGCTGTCCATATTAGGATCAGTTTAGTTTTTATACCGTTACCGTAAATAAAATTTACACTGAAATCTACACACCACACAAAGCACACATAGCACACACATCACACATAAGCAGCACAAGACAACACACACACACACACACACACACAAATATATATAAATAATAAAATAAAATAAAATAAAAAACAAAAAAAAATTCTCTATATTTTTTGAATAATAATTTTCGAAAATTATTATTATTATTATTATTATTATTATTATTATTATTATTATTTTGCTGTATATATTTTTATTTATTATTTTTTTTTAAACGCGCACTCCAAAAAAAGGAAAGAAAAAAAAAATAAAATAAAAAAAAAGACAACCTTTCCTGTTCTTCTTTCTTCCTTCTTCCTTGACCTCTTGCTAAGAATCAAACAGTTTCGACTCCCTCGACTCTCAACCCCCCCTTTTATTTTTCACAACCTTAAGAAACAACAACAAACACTACTTTAACAATGACAACAAACATGAACTTTGGTCCTGAATGGTAGGATATTTTTTTTTCTCTCTCTCTTTTCTTGTTCTTGTTGTTCTTTAATAATACTCTATAAAATAAATTCATTAATGACATTCAACTCAATTCATCCTAATCATCCCAACCCTCATCCACATCCTCATCATCTTTTTATTTAAATAATAATAGGATGCGCGGAAGCTTCCCAAAGAGACCCAATAACCTTGATTCTCAATCTATGCGTTCAATGTCACCCAATGCCTCGACCACGTTGCCTCGCACCAATTCGAGCAACAATATCAACTCGTTCTCCTTGGCTAATCATCATTCCCAGGTGTCAGACAGCAATAACAACACCACCACCAGCAACAACAACAACAACAACAATAATAATAATATAATTATGGGTTTGGAAAACAACAGCAACAGCAACAGCAACAGCAATATGCCATTCGGCGGAACCTTATCGGGCCTCTCGACTCCCTTGGACGAAGTAATGGACCTCAACCCTTTCAAGTACTCTAAAGAGTTTATGTTGAGTTTGTACAAACCAACCGAACTTCCTCTTGGTTTCGAAAAACACGAGTATGTGGCCGTAGAAGAATGTCAGGGCCCACTCTCCTTTGTAGATTTGTCCGAAAACGAAAGAAAGGTAAAGATCATTTAATTTAATTTAATTTAATTTAATTTAATTTACTTTAATTTTCTTTTTCAAAGAAATAAATAAATTTTATATTTATCATTATTGCCATCATAATTAACTTCTTTCTT